ATTCAACAAATCAAATAAATCTGTCTATAATTCTTATAAATTAGATTGTTTCCTTAAAATTTAAAATCAGAGTTTATGCTATTTAACAGAAACTTTAACGCATCAGTAACACTGTTACTTAACATTTGTTCTGCTATTCTAAAATTAAACATGCTTTTGTTTGCAGAGCATCTCTTTTAGCGAATTTCCCTATAAGGGATGTAAGCCATTACCGTAGGTGGCATGGTAAGACCTAGACCCGGGACCGATTTACTTTTTCATATTGATGTCCCCAGAGGCCAAAAACACCATTGGTTAAAATTTTTATATATGTATATATATATATAGATTTATATATTATTAAAGAAATCATACTAACTCACTAAAGTAAAACTAAAGTAAATGGCCTAAAGATCAAAACATGTAGAGTTTTAAAAAATAAAAAATAATTTCAGGGTACTGAGTTAGTATGATTTCTTTAATAATATTTATAATAGTAGCCCTTTATCCAAACAATTGTATAGATTTATATATATATATATATGTGTGTCCGTGAACGCGATAACTTGAGTAATTTTTGTCCGATTTTGATGAAATTTGGTTGAAAGGTGTAAAGCAGATTAAACTTGAATGAGTTCGTGCATGATCGGACTATGGGAAAGGGGGGTTATTGGGGGGTTTTATGGGGTAAAAATAGGGTTTTCCCATTTTTGACCCTAAAAACACAAAATTTCACAATTACTTTCCAAACCATTATGTAGAGCTTAAAGAAACAAATAATTTAGTATATTGAAGCGTTATTATGCGCCTAAGGGTTACGGAGAAAATTCAAAAAAATTTTAATTTTAAAATTCCCATGTTATTCTTATGGAGAATAAGTCAACTGTTGTAGTTTGCTTATTTATGAACATATTTTGATCAAATTTGGAAAATACATTAATTTCTTACTAAACTACAGTACCTATTAACATTTTACATTAAAAAAACACTTTTTTACCCTCCCTGTTGCAGCAAACCTAAGTACTCGTTAAACTAATTCTATTTTAATAGGGAATGTGATATAAGGAGACATTTTAGTGTAAATCCAATGAGGCAAATGGAAATTCGCTAAGTCTGCAGGTTTGCTGCGGCAGGGGGTATTTTTTATATATCAAGATAGTGTCAAGGTAGTGTCGTGATGTTGTTGTATGTCACGTTGTATACAAACATTTTACTGTATAAAACAGTTTTCAATCAGTTGATTAATTAAACTAGGTAGCATTCTAGTGATGCGAAACACCGGCTAGGAGCATGTGCCTCTATTATGTACCGTTTATCTACATGTACACTTTGTACCACAATACTGACTTGTGGAGGGGGGGGGGGGAGCCGAGAAGGGCCGGCTCGTTTCCAAGCGCTTAGCGCAGCTTGAGTCGACGTTCCACTTGTTGTAGTTCTATGTATGGCACCAGTGAGGCCAATCCCAATGATAGCAACCAGTGCAGGTGTTGCTCCAGCACTGAGAATTACACTTTTGAGTCTTTGCCACATATCCGTGGGTTCTGTCCTTTTGGAGAACTTCTGAGATATAATAGGGATCACTTTATAAGGAAAATTTTAGCCGACTCATTTCGTGAACCAAAGTTAACTGTTTATGAAGAAGTGCCATGCGTAGCAGAAGGTGGGTCTCAAGGAAGAATCGACATTCTAATTATTAATGAGGAAAAGGATTAATGGATTTATTATTGACCCAACCCTAAGATTCAAAATAAGTATAGAACAACCACTGGAAATCGATGCTAAAAAGAAAAAGATATATGAGCCGTCGATTCCTTATTTTAAAGAAAAATATTACTTAGGTACAAAATATTGAAGTAATTGGTTTATTTATTGGATCAAAAGGGACTATTACAAGTTTGTTATATACATTTTGGAATATTTTAAAATTGGACAGAAACATTCTAAAGAAAAAAAATTCCATTGTGACATTATAAACTTAAATATCAATAACAAGATATTAAAGCAAGAAGGATTAAGAAGCTTAAAAGCAAGAAGCAAGCTGACTGGATGGAGCAAGAAGGATGTAATTTATTAAAATCATCTTTATTAAGGCGATGAAATTAACCAAAATAATAAAATATTTAACAGATTTTTATGTTTAGATTTAACTAACAAAATATAGGGACAGTTTAAGATCCAATTGTCTGGGACTTAAAAATATTTTCTTTGCACTGTAGCCTAGTAAAAAAAAATTAAGCACTGATTTCATTTGTTAGGTTTTTTGTGCTTTATAAAACTGTGTCTACTTAGGATTAGAGTTTTCTGAATGTCTTCTTACCTTTACGGATTAGTTGGTATGTTCAGTCAACCTGGCCACACTTAGTCATTGATCATTACTCTGAGTGCTGCAACCGACAGAGTGCCTTACATAACCTCAAACTACAACTGTACAGTAGTGCCAGGTAAACACTTGTGACCAAACAGTGATAGCAAGCATATGTTATGTCTGCACATGTACTGCAGGAATGGGTGAAAAGTACAATAAACACCAGTGTTGTAAAAAGCTACGGAACATCTGAAGGTCTGTGTTATAGTGTTGCTGAAGAATAGATAAGTTCTATATAGGTATTTGTGAACTATGTTTCTCATGTTTCAAACACAAATGTGTGGGCATTAAAATTTAGTAACCTATTTGTAAATTGATGTTTTGATATTTGTGAATATATTAATTGAGTTTCTGTTAAATTGAATATTGTATTTACTATTTTTTTAAATATTTTAATTAATGTATAATTTCACAATTAAAAATGAACCATAGTCTATTTGTATTTTATTGATTTTTTTTATCAACATTGGTATATTTACATTTTTTATATGCATTTTGTTGTGTAACTTAAGATTAAAGGGGTTTTAAGCTAGCATTTTAATTTTTAAATAATTTTTATATGATTGGTCTGGTTGTGTTTTAGACAAGATCTGATTTTTCAGAAACAATATCTAAAATCAGTATTGAACTTGCATCAGTTGTATCAAACAAACAATAAGATCAACATTGAGATAGTGCAACCCCCTGAGAGAAAAGAAGTAGGTTATTGTAGATATGGTAATAAGTGCCAGGCAAGCATACCACACAGGTGTTACGTTGGCAGTTGTGTAATGATGTTAAGTGACGGCTATGATTACTAGATCAAACTATTTACTTTAAATTGAGTTACAGTGACAGTGAGCACATTTAATCAATGATTTAGTTGAGGTTTTGTGTGATTTTAAACCTATACTTGACAAGTAATGAGTTATGGTAGATTGGCTTCATTATCGTTATAGTGAGTGATCCACATGCTGAGTATTAATTTTGTTTCAGTAAAAATGTCTTTAATGGCACTGTAGTTAATTATTTTCATGATGATTACAATCTATCACTATGCTAAATGTTTTACTTTAGGTGTAAGTAAAATGTCTAGGTTTTTTAATTTTAGGTATTGTATAATTAAACTGAATAGTTACAAACACATTTTTTATATTAATTTATCATAGTGTATTTTATGCTTATCTTATAAATTTCAGCAATTGAAAAAGCACCAATACTGTCAAGTCCAAGTGAAAACCCACTTTAAAGTTAAAAAAAATTTTGTAAAAAATATTTTCTGAAAACTTGGCTTTAATTAGAAAAATTTGTATATTTTAAAGAAACAGTTCTAATATCAGAATTAATTCTATAATGCCTACAGTCAATGCTATTTTTGGTCCTACTACAATGTCTTACAGAAAAAGGTTTGATGTAGGCATATTATTGGCTACTTCAAATTAAAATATACACTTTAGGTGATGTAAATCAAAGTTTTAAAATTTTTTTATAGATTCCACGGTTTTGATCAAATTTAATTTAATTTCAAAATATATTGGTTCAACAAATACAGTTTACACAAACAACAATTGACAAATAATACATTACCTACATCATTCAAAATAATTACAAACACATACAAATTGTTAATGAATAATTTTTTGGTGTTTAAGAAACATAACAATCTATACGACAGTTAAAAAAAAAACTAAATAATACATAATGCTACATACTATAGGCTATGTATAAAAAATAAAACACTAATAATGGTAAATTTGTAATAAAAAATAATAAAAAAAATGAACCAAGCGTTTTTCTATAGATCTTAATAAGATAATTAAATTAGATTATATGTTAATACTGTAGTACCCCAACAATAAACTACAGTACAGGAAAATAACAAAACAAGTCCAAAAGTCATGAATGATTTTGATTGGAGAAATGAACCTTGGTTCATACTCTAATGAGCACACCAGATAGGCTTGCGGTATTATTCTTGCAGTATCTTTAAGCGTAAATATTGTAATTAAAACCAACTTAGCCTCTAAGTTTTAATTTAAATTTGTTTTGTAAATACCTTTTAGGCTTAACTGTTTTGGAAGCTTTATTTGATATTTTGACGAAAACATGCATTTCACTTCACTATTCAAAAAAGCTCGAAGCACAAACGCTTTTTGGGAACTCTACTTGACTCAAACAATTACTGCTCACACACCTCTAGAGAAAAATAAATAGATTTCAGTGTCCCTAGATAACACAGTATATTGTAGATAGAAGCTCTTATGCATAGATTTCAGTAAATTGTTACAGGCTTAGGAATGTTGAGAAATGACAAATAATGGAATATCAAATGACCAAGTACAGTTAAATAACTAAAAAACAGTCTAAAAAAAAAAATTATCGCAGCACAATTTATGTATATCATTGTCTAATCATGTCTCATTAACTAGTGAAACATATCCACAGCAGCTGTACACAGGGCTCAGATAGTGCATTACTAGACTACCTTAATTCATATAAAATATTGACATTCTTCTTCAGGTAAACACCCTTGAATTACTTAAGGATAGTTTGTGGGGTTCACAAACAAATCTTGGGAAGCTAGAACACTTGATTTTCAAATCAAAGAGTTTACTTTGTTTGCTAATAAAACATACACCCTTTTTAAGCATTTTATTTATATTGTACATTTTTCCAGATGATCCAGCCTTTACGGAACATCTTCGACAGGCAGAGATAGCAATAGACAATGGAATATTGCCTGAGAGAATATACCAAGGGTCAAGTGGTAGTTACTTCGTAAAAAATCCTTCAGGGGTTAGTTTAAATTGTTTTGTATTCTCATATCATTAAATGGTCTTCTAGTTTTTGCTTACTGTTACACTTAAAATTTACAAGTATCCTATGAAAAATACGCTTTAATTTGATTTGATATATTTTTATGATTATTGCTAATTTAAACTTGTTTACTTTGTTTTTTAATCATTATGAACTACTAGTAACAATTATGGCACTGGTTCAAAACCCATTTACATCTTTTGGAATAAAATTGCATGTTCCTCATTCATTTTTGTGCTTATTAGTGGGCACAACAAGGATTATAGTCCATAATTTTTTTCACTTCCATCCTAAAAAAGTGAGTCTTATAATGTAACATTACTTCACTAAACGTTTTTAACTATCTTAGCTTTGTATAAAATTTAAGCATTCTAAAGGTGTCCCTGGGGGAAAATACAATCAAAATTAAGACACAATTTCCTACCAGTAATGTTTTAATAATTATTATAATTAATTGTGAACTTTCTAAATCCAAAACTTATTAATCAAGTACTGTATTTATTATTATTTTTTTAAATAAAAAAAAAACTTGTTGGGCTGCTTAAGATTCCATCAATAAGGATTTTTTTCTGGTTCTATTGTATGAACGTTCTTTTAATATTATTGATAAATCGACCAACGACACTACTGGCTACATCCCCACTACATGATTATAACCATAGATCCAAACAAACAGTATCGGTTGGTTTGGGTTTGGTTTAAACAATCAATAACAAATTGGAAAAACTTCACAGTTTTTAAATTATAACCTGACATTTTTCCAGTGTTAACCAACACTTGTTTAAATAGGCCTAGGCTATATAAAAATATTTGTACAGTATTTGAACTTCATGCTACTATTAGGAATTAGCCATTCGGGCCTGAGTTTGTGTTGTTTGACCAAACCTCAAAACCCTTTTCATTTCAATATTATAAAAGTATTGGCACTTGATCTTTTATGTTTGGTTATCTACTTGAATATTATCTCAATGTAAAAACAAATGTTTTAATTTTCAGCCTGAACATGTTGTTTCACTTCAGCAGAGAAATTCTCAACTCTAGATCTTCTAGATTTCAACAGTTCATACTTGAATTGAATTATGAAATCTAATTTGTTGCAGAAGATAATTGGAGTGTTCAAACCCAAAGATGAAGAGCCGTATGGGAGGTTCAACCCCAAGTGGACCAAGTGGATGCACAAGCTTTGTTGTCCTTGTTGCTTCGGACGAGCTTGTCTCATCCCTAACCAGGGCTACTTGTCAGAGGCCGGGGCCAGCCTCGTGGACCACAAGCTAGGACTTGATATCGTCCCCAAGACCAGGGTATGTATACTCTGCTAGGCTTACTTGTACTGAAACATCCATTAACTCCCACCTAACTCCTGTTTCATCCCTCCCTTATCAAACAAACTTTGCTTTATTTATGACATGACGTTTTTGTTTTGATCACTCAAAAACATATTTTCCCTAAATATGATTACTTGAAGTCAATGTTAGATAGTAACAAAACCAGGGTCTGGACCACCCCCTTACAAAAAAACTTTAAAAATTGCCTCTGGCATGGATAAACATCAAAATAAAAATATCTAAATTTTTAGCTTGTTTATTTCTTGCATTATAACTTTCGCTTCTGTTGCTGCCTGCATGTCCAGGCCGTAACACAAAACCAAAATCAATAGACCATGCTTCCAATAGGTCCGTGTCCGGTTGGTACCAAAGCACTGGCTCTAGTATTTTAATGATGGTTATAGGTATTGGTACTATTCCCAACGTTAGTTCTAAGAATTGCCTTCAGGTACAGTATTGACATATCACGACAGAAAACCAGTACTTCTCCACCACAACTGAGTCTTATATGCATTAAGGGTTTTTTATTTATTTTTTTTATTATACAAGTAGATGCAATCACTATTGCCATTTTGCTGATGTAAATTTATCCCCATGAATTACAGGTTGTGAAGCTAGTCAGTCCTACATTCAACTATCCAAGAATAGCTCGGGGTAAATCACACGTGAAACATGCAATCAATGAACACTTCCCTAACGTTGGTCGCCACTTCCATCGGCTAGGTTTGAAACCAAAGGTGAGTAAAACACATGGTATAGCTTATAAGTAATTAATTATATACATAAAACAACCCGAATTGAACTCATGGTTTTGGAAAAAGTTCTTCCATTGTTATGGACATTGGTTTCAGCTCTTGTATACAAATGAGTCCATTCTTGGAGACTCCTTTTCAAGGACTAAGCTACACTTTCATATTCTGTGTAATGAGCCCAGCATTATTTCATTCACTCCACCTGTAGTTCGATTTTCCTGGATGTAACCCTGTTAATAGCCCTTATATTAGTGTTTATCAAATTTTGAAAGAAAAATTAAGAGCTGTAAAACCTATAATTGATTTGCTCCCTTCATATACTTGGGTTTTAAATTTAACTTCATAGTTAGTTTACAAGCTATGTAATAGAGTAATACTGTAGTTTTTGCTTTAATTTATAATTTTTTAATTCAATTGTGCCAGTTTTTATTACAATATCTTTGAACACAAAATCTAAGTTTTAAAGTTTTTCTACAATTCTGTAAGTTCCATTTATCTAACGTAGGCTATGGACACAATTTAGATGGCAGCCGTCACAGTGGTAGGGGTGTCAGGTGTTGTCAACTGTTATCACCAATAGAAATGTGGGATTTATAGTGAGACCGAGAGGGCAGAGTTTCTAATCCAGGTGCTGAGGTAGGTGTACATGTTAAAGCCGAAGACAAAAGAGTTTCTAAAAGTCACTGATTTGTCCATTTGATAGATATAGAAATATATCTATTGATGCTGCATTCAGGAACTTGTTTCAATTTTTGCATTATCCTACATTGCTGTAAAGATACAACTTCTCCACTGCAGAGGGAATTTATCATGTTAGTAGCACTAAACAGCGCTGCTGCGGTTCGTCGCTGAGTATATAAGCTGAGAAGGTGCGGGGCATACTGCTTAGTATAACAGATCTCTCATTTAACTCAATACAATTACCAAGCCACCAGTTGCTTTAACAGTTGAATGTTGCAGATCGGGTCTTACCAGTTGTTTGTGGAGGGCTACAAAGACGCAGAATACTGGCTGAGGCAGATGGAACTTGAGCCTCTGTCCCCTTACCTGCAGGAGCAGTTCAGACTACAGTTTGAGCGCTTGGTCATCCTGGACTACATCATCCGCAACACAGACCGAGGGAACGACAACTGGCTCATCAAGTACACACTACCCAACATATCCACATCCCCAGTGCCTCCTCCACCCTACACTGGGGACACAGAAATGCAGGACGCCACTGTGAGTAAAGTACTTACATTAAGTTTACATACATGTTTTCCATTTTAGGTGTGTAAACTAGTTTTTCATAACATATAAACTTACATATTCATTCAAATTAATGTGAATTATGATTATTATTTGTTAATTAGGCCTATTTTAGAATCTATTCTAGTACAAAGTCAGATCTTTTTTTTTGTGTTTGATATGAAAAGCAGGCTTACCTGCACCCATTTAGAGTGGATGAGTTTTCACAAATTTTTTAACACGTTGACCGCGCGTGCCGACTTTAGTCGGCGTCACCAGCGCTCCCAGGTGGCGCGCGCCGACTAAAGTCGGCACCAGACCAACAGAAATATATTGAGTCAGTGTGAGCTTAGCCTCAGACGGAGACGTTATAATTGTTGCTAGCCTACCAGCTTAGAATGCGAGCTTTACTTTGGTGTAGGTTGGTACTAAAATTTCCCGTAAAGTCCTGTCTGGCAATGCTTTTGTCCCGGTTTCGGGGATTTTTTCTCTTCAACCCACATTACAAAGACACTGGATACGGATCCGTCCAGTGCTGCTACCTTTGGGTGTTTCAGTGAACTACATCCACTCTCGGGGTAACGCAGCACAGTCACCACTGCTCTTTTGTGATTCGTCAGACTGAAATATTTGAATGCCAATTGCGTTCGCTGATTCGGTTGCGCGCCGGGGCTTCGCCCGCCACTGGGGAGCGCCTGTAAAGTCGGCGCGCGCAGTCAACGTGTTAATGTCTCCTATTGAGAAAAATCACCCACTGTAGAGATAAACCTGCTCTTTCTATCAAAAAGAAAATCAAACCTATTCTGGCATAGAGAGCCCTTTACAAAAAAAGACTAATCGAGTATAAAGTCAAGGTGTTCTTACATAAAAGTAAAAATATTGTTTTTAACAAGCACAATCTAAATAAGGCAAAATTTCTTCTATTACCAACATTAACTATAAACTGTCCTACTTGTTGTCTGATTTAAGAAATATCTCTTTTTTTTCAGTGTTTCCCACCATAATTTCCTAGGCTACTAAAAAAACTTGGTTAAAAACTAACAAACAAACAACAATTCTGAACTGTTCAAAGTATCAATGTTTTATTACTTCTTTCTTTAGACTACTTGGTTTGTTACAGGATTGGAATGTAGTGGAGAGACCTGAAGTAAAGATTGCTGCAATAGACAACGGACTTGCATTCCCCTTCAAACATCCAGACTCTTGGAGAGCTTACCCTTACCATTGGGCATGGCTGCCTCAAGCCAAAGTAAAATACAATATTCAAATTAAGGCTGTGGTTTCCTAGACGCGTAATACATGCGCAGCGGTTTAGATGCGCTTCAGCAAAACGCAGCCGCCGTGAGTGGTTTCCTAGACTGCGTACAATACACACGGTTGGTGCGTAACATAAGTTCACGGGAGAGATTACTAGTGGCTACTATGATGTTATACGATGATTTAGATAATGAAATGGGAACTTTGGTATTAAAAGCTTCGAAGAAGCATAAGTAGTGAAAAGTTCATGATTAGGAACTGTATGTGGCCCTCACGGATGTTTTAACCGTAGTATTAAAGCAAACATGTCAACTTAAAATGTAAACAATAAATCTTAATTTACCCTCTCGAACTTTGCTTTTACTGTTATTATATTTACCTATTCGGGATTTACTGAATAGACGAAAATACATTTTACAAGTATAACTGCAATAAGCATTTCATACTTATACGCCAACCCCGCAAGAAGAACGGGCACTCTGCTAGTAATTAATATAGGCTTATTACTAAGATGTTCCTAAGGGGTTCTTAAAATAATTATGGGGGCTCTTACATTTGGGAGTTGGTGTTTGTGCTGACTTGAAAAGAATATTTGTCAACATTAGGTTTATTTACCAATTACAACAATAAGAAAATATGTGAGGTCAAATTAATTGTAGGGAACATTTAATAAGGGAATTCAATTAAATATTAAAATTACACATTGTGGGAAAATTAACACTACATAACGAATAATATGAAATGCAATACTAATTCAATCAATTTTTCGTTGATGGAGAATTTTGCCTTCTGGACAACATTTACTTCTGAATCCATTGCACAAGACATGTTTAAAACGCAGCGTAACTCAGATTCGACTGCTCTGAAAGCAGTCGGTCAAAAACGCAGCTATTGGTGCGCGCGTATTAGATGCACGCGCATTAGATACGCAGCCTTGGAAACCGCTTACACGAAACTCCATAAGACAAGTGTGCTGTGTCTTAGATGCGCAGACGCAGCGCATCTATTACGCGTCTAGGAAACCACAGCCTTAGTCAGTAGCCTACAGATAATATTATAGTTTATTAACTATTTACATGACACTGAAACAACATGGCGTGTATAGTAGAACCCCTCTCCCATGACCGTGGCACCAATGAGCGTAGCTTAGGTCTCTGCGACATCCGTAATCATCTTCCACGACCGTGACAACGTTTGTGAGTGTAACACAGTCTCCACGACCTCGGTAATTGTTTCTTGCCACGGTGGCAACACCCGTGAGCGTAACAGTGCCAGCTATATCAGTATTTGTCCACTTGACGGCCGCAACACTCGATATCGGCGGCAGTGGTGATCGTCTGCCACGATTACAGCAACATCCGTGATTGGCCTTTCGGTTAGCCAAACGCACTCGGTGTTATCGCCCCAGATAGGAAACAAGTAGACAGTCGAACACTAGGCCAGATTTCCCGAGGAGTCGCTTATTTTGAGGTCAGATATGAGGGATTCTACTGTATAAGCCAAGATAAGTGTTGAATGAATTTGAGGTCAGCCTCGTTACTGACTAAGTTCTTTAGTACGGAATATTTGTTAAAAGTTCGTTGATCATGGACAGCTGGGTCCCGGTTAGAGTCTTGAAAAGCTAACGAGTTTTCTCAGAATCAAGCGAGCAAAACTCTGATTACTAGGCCAGTATTTCATCCATTTAGCTATCCAGCTATATACAATCTCAACTTTACAGACACAATCTCAGTAAAAAAACAAAAATAATGAAAAGGGTTTATAAACATCCTTTAATCGTAAATCCTTAGCTTGTAGTATTATTGAGGTCCGTGATCTAGTAACTGATCAAACAATAAAAATGTATATCTTTATAGTGCCAGGATGTATAATTATAAAATTTATTGGTTAGGTTTGGAGAGAAAGGGCTAATTGCCTGAGAATAGGTGTGAGAAAGGATAGGATAAGCAGGCTTACCTTAAAAAATGTAGGCATCCCACTTCATTCACTACAGAACACGTAAGAAAATACAAACAAAACAAAATAAACACTGGATATTTCGAGGCCACTGGCCCCTTTCTCAACATTCGTGACTCTCCATGTTGAGAAAGGGGCCAGTGGCCTCGAAATATCCAGTGTTTATTTAGTTTTGTTTGTGTTTTCTTCTGTGTTCTGTAGTGAATGAAGTGGGATGCCTACATTTTTTAAGGTAAGCCTGCTTATCCTATCCTTTCTCACACCTATAAAATTTATTGGTTAGGAATTTGAAAACAAAAATCAAATCATAACAAGTGTTATCACCAAGTTATATGTTGCAGGTCCCGTTCTCACAAGAGACCAAGGATTTGGTGCTGCCTCATCTGTCAGACATGAACTTTGTACAAGACATGTGTGATGATCTCCACCAGCTCTTCAAGGTAGGCATAACCAACATCACCACGATTATGACTGTTGTAAGCTCACGTTTACGCGTTTCGTCAAACTACAGAAAAGTATAAGATAAACGGCAGAACGCCAGAGCGGCCATATTTACCTGCGACTCGTAGTAGACTGACTCCTCCGTCTTGTCGTCCAATGGAGGGGTATTGGATCTTGGACTTTGTCCTTGCCCCTTTTGAATATGCTATTATTTATGCGCCTCCTCCGGCGTGCCAATATAACAAAACTTGTCTCTTCTGACATAAGAATTTACTATATATATAAAACACATTACTGTCTTTACTTAGGCTATAATAACTCCTCCCAACAAAATAAGTTAAAAAAAATAAACTTCAAACTGTTCGTTATGTAAATAAACTCAAAAATTTATGTCTTCTTTTGGGAGGTACTTTTCTTGTTTTTACAAGTCCAACTTCCTGGGTACGCGTCGTTCTCGCTGAGAACGGCGTATTGTCACAGACGGAGAATTAGGCTTTCTTATTTCCAGGTTAGGCCTATCCGCTTCAAGTTCTTGAGATTGATTTTCCTTTGATTTAATGTTGGGTGTAATAGGCCTATGCGGTGTCTTCGCTGGGCTTGGTGTAGGTGTTTTCATTGGGCTAGGTGCAGTTGCTTCCATAGGTAAAACAGGTGGCATTGGTAGTACAAGATTTTCCTCATCTGGAATGCACTGATTTGTGCGTAGGTGGTCTGCATGCACAAAACGATTCCTCCCATCGACTTTGACAACGTATGTGACTGGGCTATTAACCTTAGTGATAATACCAGGCAACCATTTGAGTTTTTCTTGCCTAACGCTCCTTACAAATACACTTTCGCCCTCACAAAAAGAACGGAATGTTCCCCTCCTTTCATTTGCATTTTTTTCAATCTTTTCATATTTAGCAGATACGCTCTTACTCAAATGAGGCTTTAGCAAGTCAAGGTGATTTTTAGGCTTAAACCCAAGCACAATTTCAGCTGGCGAAACACCAGTGGTGGAATGAGGAGTATTCCTATACACAAAAAGGAAGTTGTCGATTCGATGTTGTAGAGAACGAGTTGTTCCTGATTTTTCGTCCTGCAACAGCTGTCTCAAGAATGTGTTCTTGGTTGTTTGTACAGCTCGCTCCGCCAATCCATTAGAGGAAGGATGGTATGGTGGGGATACAACATGAGTGATTCCATTTGTTCTTAAAAAGTCGTTAAACTCCTTAGAAGTAAGTTGAGGTCCACCGTCAGTAACAACCGTTGAAGGCAGTCCGTATGCCGCAAAACATGACCTGAGTTTCTCAATTGTTTTACTAGATGTTGTTGAACTCATATGGAATACTTCGAGCCATTTTGAGTGGCTGTCGACAATGATCAAAAACTCCTTATTTTGAAAGGTAGCGAAGTCAAGATGGAGTCGCTGCCAGGGATGCTTAGGCCATGACCAATGCTGTAATGGGGCCAGAGGTATTGAGTTCCGAGTAGATTGACAAATAGTGCAGGTTTTAACAAGTTCTTCAAGATCTCGGTCTAAATTTGGCCACCATACATAGCTGCGTGCCAAATTTTTAATGCGGGATACACCTGGATGTTCTGTATGTAAAAGATTTAATATTTCCTTCCGATATGGTTCAGGGATAATCACTCTTCGTCCCCATAGAAGACACTCTTGATCTACAGACAGCTCCATAGCTCGGGAAAAATATGGTTTTAGGCTATCTTGGGCCACATTATTAGGCCACCCATTCAAAGTGAAGTCTAAAACTTTGGACAAAATCGGGTCATAGCGTGTAGCTATGCTTATCTCCTTGTGAGTTATGGGTAACTCAGAAGTTACAGAGAAGAATGAGATGTTGTCACCGCCGTTAGATTCATCTGTACAAGGCAAACGGGACAGAGCATCAGCATTCGAAACATTGGTACCCTTACGGTACTCTATATTATACTCGTAGGCTGAAAGAATGATTGCCCATCTTTGAATCCTAGCCGCAGCTAAAGTAGGTATTCCCCTATTAGGCCCCAGCAGAAACGCTAAAGGCTTATGATCGGTAGCCAGAAGGAAACGTTTACCGTACAAAAATACATGAAACTTCTTCACAGCGAAGACTAAGGCGAGCGCCTCTTTTTCCAGTTGTGAATATTTCATTTCACAAGGGGTCAAGGTTCGAGAACCAAATGCTATTGGCCTCTCAGAGCCATCCTGCATGCGGTGGGCAACAACGGCGCCTATGCCATAAGGACTTGCATCAGCTGTCACAATGATGTCTAATTTAGGGTCAAAGGGGGTAAGTACAGTACTCTCAAGCAAAAGATTCTTGCTTTTGATAAACACTTCCTCACACTTCTTCGTCCACTCCCATCTGGCACTCTTATTTAATAACTGATATAGCGGGTGTAGCAAGGTCGACAGATTGGGCAGAAATTTACCGTAGTAATTCAAAAGGCCTAGATATGACCTTAACTGGGTAACATTTTTGGGCTGAGGAGTCTTGGTGATAGTTTCCGTCAACTCTTCACTTGGATGGATACCATTAGCATCTAGCCTATGTCCTAGAAATGTCAAACTATTCTTGAAGAATTCGCTCTTAGCGCCATTGATTTTAACACCGTATTGCATAAGTCTATTTAGTACTTGATCAACATATTTGTACATCTCCAAATGATTGCTAGCTACAATCAAAATGTCATCTAAATAACAAAAAACATTGTTTAGACCTGCTAATACTTGGTCCATAGTTGATTGGAAGATAGCGCCAGCGCTAGTGATTCCAAACGGTAATCTTCTATATCTATAGAGACCTTTACTGGTATTGATTGTTAGAAGTTCCTGAGAACTTTCACTGACACAAATTTGGTTATATGCCGCAGACAAGTCCAGTTTAGTAAAAACCTTAGAACCCGAAATACTCGAGAAAATCTCATCCGGTGTTGGCAACGGGTAATGGTCCGTGCGCAAACACGGGTTGATTGTAGTCTTGTAGTCCCCACAAATACGAATTTTGCCATTCGGCTTAGGTACAACAACGATCGGGGTAGCCCATACTGACTTAGTTACGGGATATATTATGTCATTCTTAACTAAATTCTGGAGTTCACTTTCTACCGCACCCTTTAAGGCATAGGGTACAGTTCTTGATTTACAAAACACGGGATTAGAATTTTCCTTCAAAACCAAATCGACTGTTACATCTTTGATAGTTCCAATTTTATCTTCAAAAACGGAAGAATATTTTGATTTCAGCTCATTAATCCTAGTAGTGATTGAAACAGTCTTACCGTTGTCGAGGATCGCTCCGCAGTCCAACTTGTTTCCTTGTCCCACTTTGGTCCAGTCAAGTTTAATTACTTCGAGCCAATTCCGACCCATTAGTGTAGGTTGGTTAGGCACATCATTTCGTACAACAATCATAGGTAATTTGTGAACGCTGCTGCCAGAGCGTACACTTGCCTGAAACTCACCGATAATATTAATATTATGGCCTGTATAAGTTTTCAATGTGATACTGCTTTTATTTAATTTTGGGCTTGAGTTACCAAAAATTGCAGAAAATACATCCTGGGGCATGACTGACACGACAGCTCCTGTGTCAATAGTCATTTTCACTGGAACATTATTAATTTCTACCTCAGCGGTAAAACTTTTGGGTTTAGGCCCATCATTAGCATAGGCAATAGTAAATAGGCCCAAGTCGAGATCATCGACTCTGTTTCCGATGTCATCAACATCGTCACAAAAATTTATTTTACCCTTAGGTTTACTTTGAGAGTGACCAGTACCTTGTCTACATACATTAGCCAAATGGCCTATTCTATTACATTTATTACATTTGTAATTTTTATAGGGACAATTATAACCATGCACTCTACTGCAACGGTAGCATTCTTTCCTAAACCCGACCTTCCCACCATTGGGATTTGGTCTGCCTTGATTGAATTTGTTTTGGCTAGGCCTAAAAGTTGACTTATTACCATATCTTACAGCGTTAACATCACTATCAATATTACTTATGTTACGATCTGCGTAACCATGGGGGTGCAGTTGACGCACACTACGACTAGCATCCTCCATCACCAATGCCATTTCTAACGCTCTTTTAAAGTCTAGGTTACTACCTTCTGACAAAAGTTTTCCCTGAATTTCATCGGACCTAAGTCCGCACAAAAATTTATCACGTAGGGCATCATCGAGAAAATCCTTAAAATCACACGTTGACGCAAGTTTCTTAAGTTGCACCGCAAATTCTGAGATAGGCTCACCTTCTTTTTGAGTTCGCTTGTTAAACAGAAATCTTTCGTAGGTTATGTTTTTCTTAGGTGTGTAGTGAGTCGTAAGTACACCAACTACTTCAGCGTAAGATTTATTGGCAGGCTTGTTTGGTACCAACAAATTTTTAAGAACTGAGTACAACTCAGGGCCCATGACGGCAATAAACAAAGATAGTTTAACATTTTCTTCAGTGATTTTATTAACAGAAAAAAATTGGTCCAGCCTTTCAATATAATTATCAAAAGTTTCTACGTCTTTGTTAAACTCACTAATTTTTCCTAAGATTTGCTTAGAAGCCATGATTGTTCAAACATGAAAGCCTAGGCCTAGTCACTTGTGAACTGATAATTTTTAGCTTAGCCTATTGGAACAAACTTACATCAGATGTCGGTGATATTGTTGTTAGGCCTACTATCAATAATTTCAGTCTTCAGTTCCTTTTACTTGAAATAAAAGTCGAAAACGAAAATTTCCAATGTGACCAGAACATGTGATTGCGTAACAGGTTTCAAAGTGCAAGTTTCCTGTCTAGTCTGGATTGCTTCTTCTTACACAAGTTTAATATTACAATTCTTGATTTTCTTCCAATATTTAGTATTGCACACTATTCTTTATAAATAAACTCACTTTCCTAAACGTTTACTTTAGTTAAACAACTTTTAATTTTCCTCGTCGCCATTTGTTGTAAGCTCACATTTACGCGTTTCGTCAAACTACAGAAAAGTATAAGATAAACGGCAGAACGCCAGAGCGGCCATATTTACCTGCGACTCGTAGTAGACTGACTCCTCCGTCTTGTCGTCCAATGGAGGGGTATTGGATCTTGGACTTTGTCCTTGCCCCTTTTGAATATGCTATTATTTATGCGCCTCCTCCGGCGTGCCAATATAACAAAACTTGTCTCTTCTGACATAAGAATTTACTATATATATAAAACACATTACTGTCTTTACTTAGGCTATAATAATGACGTTTACACTATTCTTTATTTACGCTACATTAGCTTAATACCCTATTTTAATTTTTCATATCAGATAAAAGTGGAATATCAATTTATCAGTCATCCACTGGTGTTCTCAAATTCCTTGGTCGCTGGATGAAGTAGGTATAAATATCTTATGTTGTGTTGCAGCAAGACAAGGGGTTTGATCGTCATCTCTTTGAGAAACAAATGAGTGTGATGCGAGGCCAGATACTGAACTTAACCCAAGCACTCAAAGACAACAAAAGTCCTGTGCAGCTTGTACAGATGCCTGCGGTTGTGGTTGAGAGGTGAGTTATGGACAATGTCACTTAGTTACCTTACAAAAAGAAAATTAATAGGTTATGAAAAGAAACATGAACACTTTTTGCTACAAAAGTAAAATAATAATGCACTAATGGTTTAGTTATCTACTCTGAACTAATTTTGTAGTTTAAAAATCTTTTTAATTTTTTATCTACAGGGTAGTTAATTTTTAAATGAGAAAAAACTGCAGTACTATTATTTATATTGACAGTTAATCAAAATTATGTGGGTTACAAAATTTTAAGGGGGGGGGGGTAAACGTTCTGTGAGTAACTAAATACTACGACTTACCCATTTACATCTAATAGCCTACACCTAGGTCTATGTGTTGTCCACAGCTTAAGCTGTGTGCAAAGAATCTTAGGCTCAAACACAATAAAGCATATGCACACACTCACACTACATATTTACTTGAAATAACATTCCAAACCAAACATGAACACTTCATTTCAGTAGAATTGACACCATTTCACAACCAGATGTTTTAACAATTACACAGACATAACCGCTGAACTATTGTTTGACTGACAGACCAACAGACAAATTTTCAATCAACTATTGGTTAGTTCGTAAATTTGCTTAACATTTTTTCTTCTGAAGGGGATAAAAACTGAAGAAAACAGACTACTGACATTGCTTTATTTTCTTTAACTGGTTTGGATTGTGCAGTGTCATTGACAAAACACATTTTAACCAAAGTTAGTTTTAAAGGCCTATTTTTGACGCCAATTAATATAGCCTGTTTGTTACAAACCATCACCTACTCGTACCATGGTATCTTAACATTAAAACTTGTCACAGTATGACGATTTGAAAGTAAACAAACATGAGCCATATTCAGGGGTGCCCAGACAAGAGGAAAGCAGCGCACTTGCCCCACTGGGATTTTTTGGGGGAATTTTATTTTACATATTGCGGTTTTTTTTATAAGTACCATAACAATAGGTAGCCATAACAAGTTTTTTTATTTTTTATTCATACACTCTATTAACATTTACAACATAATTTTGGCTAATCATAATTAACAAGTTTATGTCGCAACCACCTGATGTCTTAGCGACTGCGGGAGTATGTCAAGATATTGCCATGGTCACGGATTATTCTCATTAAGACAACATCCATGAACCAACCAAATACTATACAGGTTTGAGGTTTGGCATTTGTGATGCAGACAAATAGAAAACCGCATTCTCTGAGAGGGCGCAGGGAGAAAAATATAGTTCCATTTTCTCCAGTCTTGTAGCAAGCGGCTACCTGGTCTTTCGTTTGCACGTTTTTGCTTACTCTACTACTGTCTCGAGTTCTCTTTAATGAGTATGGTCATTTCGTATTTTGTAAAACGAATGTTTCTTATTAACATTTTTTATTGACAGTTAGGTGGTGTTTTTAACTCTAAATTTTGGTTTTAGTGAGAGTAGGTGGCAGGTGGCTAAGTTTTTTGGGAAGAAATGGTCTGTATTAAATGCGAGGGGATTTGTGCTCTTGGCCTTGGGAGGTATGGGCACCTCTGACTGTACTAAGTTTGGCAATTGACATAAGTTTATCAATGTTCAGGTCTAAGGGGAGAGTTGGGACTACATCAAGATTCAGATCATTCAGTGACACTTTCACTCAACGCTTCCAGAACAAGAGTCCTTTCTTCTCATGGTGCTGATGTTCCGGGGCAACATTAATGTGCCTTTACTGTGAGTACAACATTTCTCACCTCAAATCTTTTTAGTAGTGTCAAAAAATTAATTGGTCATTGTGTTCAAGTATAAGACACTAATTACTATGTAATAAACACAACTTATTACTCATTACTCTATTAAATAAAAAACTAAAATTATAATAATTGCTGCAGACAAGCTATAAATGGCTTTTGTAATTAATTGTATGTGTTTTGTAAATTTGTATTTGAAAAAATAAATAAATAAAAATACTATATTAAATATTTAACATTTTTTCAATTCTTTTAAACTTTAATCATTACCTAAATAATCATTAATTCATCTACAGTTTTAATTGTTTAAATTACTTCTATAATATTTAAAAATACATTTTATTGATGTTGAATTCTTACAATATTGTGGTAGAAGTATATATTTGCCAGGGTTGTTTGTTACTGAATAAACTTGAAATAAGGTTAAAATTTTATAAGTGGGTCTGTGTAGATTATCTTAAAATTGACTCTTAATAATCAACATGTTTGTAAAAAATATACTTAACCTATAAAATCAAATTTTGTTTGTGTAACTTGATGCGAGTTATCAGTGTTCAAATTGAGCAGGTCAGCCACGATGATCCACCGGGTTCAGCTGCACTGATGCATCACAGCTGTTCAGTTCTCTTCACTTTTGGTACTACCCTGGAAAATGCAGAAACAGCGTTCCACGATTTGGGACTGGACAGCATCAGTTGGGTTTGAGTATGTCCAGCAAAACCAGTCCAACAACCGTTTTGAGGTTCCTTCTGAGTATTTAGTTTTGAGGTTCCTTCTGAGTATTTAGTTTTGAGGTTCCTTCTGAGTATTTAGTTTTGAGGTTCCTTCTGAGTATTTCCCACCTCACACAGTGGAAAAAGGTATGCTGTTCATCATCGTAGTCGTAGTCCCCATACTGTCATTCTGGGCTCTCTGACTTCCCCATCTTGAGAAGGTAGGCCCCGAAACAGCCATATCCGATGAGCAGTTGGGTGGGATAGAAGTCTACCTCTCCGTGCTGTCGCTCACCCCACCTTTGGAGACATTCGTTTTACAAATGATGAAATGGCCATACTCATTAAAGGCAATTCGGAAGGGTCTCTTCACCAACCCAATCTTAGCTCTCCCCTCCATCTTAGCTTAGGCCGTCCTAGGGGTCATCTGCCATCGGGGTTCCTATCAAATATGTTCTTTGTGATGGAGTTTTGATTTATTCCCATAGTATGCCCAAACCATCTCAACCGTCCGCTTTTGACTTCCACTACAATGTCTGGGTATTTGTAGTGCTCTCTAATCTGGATGTTATGCCTTTTCCTCCATACTCCATCCTCAAGCGTCAGGCAAAATATCTTCATACAAACGTTGTTTTCAAGGTTATTATGTTCTGTTCCGTCTTTTTGCTCATTGATCCATAGAGTATAACTGGTCTTATTATTGTTTTGTAAATATGTAATTTGGTGTTGTGGGATAGCAATTTTGAGCTTAATATTTCATTTTTTTATTGTTATTGTCAATATACTTTATTACTTTATTTTTATTGTTAATAGTACTCCTAAATACTAAAAACTGGTCCTCTATCTTCAAGATATCATCATTTGCATCTTTGACATCCCATCTTCCTCATTTAATGAATTTTGTTTTGTTGTCATTAACTTTTAGGTCTACTTTTTCTGTTTCTTCAATTAATATTTTAACTAATTCTCTAAGATCATCCTTCTTATATGCCATTATGACCACGTCGTCTGAGAAAGGTTAAAATGTTAATTTTTCCTCAATTTTGATGCCTTTGTCTGAGTATTTGACTTTTTGTAGCGCTTCTTCTGGGGCGATTGTAAAGAGCATTGATGATATCCCATCTCCTTGTCTTACGCCCGTATTGACATTTAATTCCTTTGATAGTTGTCCTTATATTTTTAACTTTATATTTTGAATCCTTATCACTTTATATTGTGAGTTTGATTAGCTTGTTGGGTATACTTTTCCATTATTTCCCATAGTCAATTTGGTGTCATAAGCTGTAGTGAAGTCTATAAAGATGCAATAGAAGAACTGCTTATACTCATGATATTTTGGTATTGCTTCTTTCAGTATGTAAATTTGGTCTGTTGTGTTGACTTCCTTTAGTGAAACCAGCTTGGTGTTCTCCAATTAAAATGGTTGAGTTAGAATGGATTTTCTTGTCTTGCATTGGTTACTTCTTTTAAATGTTGAGTAGTTTATTAGTGGTTGGACATTCTGGTATGTTTCTTGCGTTTCTTCATCTTGTTCTTGTACTTCTCCATTTAAGAGGTTTTGAAAACACTCTCTCCATACTTCCATGCCCTTCTCTTTTTGTATAACCATTTCTCCAAATTTATTCCTTACTCCATATATTTGGTGTATAGTCTCTTTTTAGAAACCTGATTGACCGATAGAAATCTCTTGTGTTGTTCATTGTCCTGTCTTGATCAGCCCTATTAAGTAATTTGTTTATCCATTTCAGTTTCTTTTGTAGTCGTAGTCTGAGCCTACCTCTGCCTGTCTAATGGTTCTTGCATGAGGGATGCTTCTTGAGTGTCTTTGATCAATGAGCACATGATTAATTTTATTATAAATTGCACTTTTTAAATCAAAACTTCCATCCTTTAGCAAATTTCACATAAAGGGAATAAGCTGTTACCTTAGGCCTCAAGATTAAGATCTAGACCAGGACTGATTTACATTTTCATTTTTCCCCAGAGGTCAAAAACACCATTCCTTCAGATTCAAAAATATATATATAACCTAAATCTGTTTAATAAAAATTGGACTTAAAACCAACTACGAACTAAATATAACATTCCTGTATAATAAGTTAAACTTATATTCATCTCATCATATAAAAAAAAAAAAATACCCCCGCCGCAGCAAACCTGCAGACTAAGCGAATTTCCATTTGACTGATTGGATTTACACTGAAATGTCTACTTAAAAATATAACATTTATTCCTGATTTAAATAGAATTAGTTTAACAAGTACTTAGGTTTGCTGCATCAGGGAGGGTAAAACTGTTTTTTTTTTTTCGTAAAATGTTAATAGTTAGTAAGAAATAAAAACATTTTCCAAATTTGATCAAAATATGTTCATAAACAAGCAAACTACAACAGTTTACTCATTCTCCATAAGAATAACATGGGAATTTTAAATTTACAATTTTTTTGAATTTTCTCCGTAACCATTAGGCGCATAATAACGCTTCAATATACTAAATTATTTGTTTTTTGAAGCTCTACAAAATGGTTTGGAAATTAATTGCTAAATTTTATGTTTTTTGGGTCAAAATTGGGAAAAACCTATTTTTACCCCATAAAACCCCCCGTAAACACCCGTTCCCATGGTCCGATCATGCTGGATCGCGAACTCGTTCGAATAGACGTAGGTTTACACGTTTGTACCAAATTTCATCAAAATCGGATCATTTTTGCTCGAGTTATCGTGCTGACGGACACATATATATATATATATATATATATATATATATGAATTTGAACGGATGGTGTTTTTGGCCTCTAGGGACCTCAAAACGAAAAAAAAAATCGGTCCCGCGTCCAGGTCTTACCATGAGTACTACGGTAATAGCTTATTCCCTATATGGGAAATTCGCTAAAAACACTAATTACTGCAATAACTGTGAACATTTATCACAATTGATGGCACGCAATGTTGTTGTTACAGGTTTGGTGGCTTCTGAAGTGAACACTATCATAATCCATGTGATACATTACCTTTAATAAAACCATTATATTATATACATACCATATTTACCATAGCTTTTCATAAATGTTCCTCTATGCTATTCTTAAAATGTTTTTATTACCGGTATCATTTTAGCCTTAATCTTACATTATTAGGCTTCAACTTGTATAACAAATATCGTTAGCCCAATATCTTTATCAGTTGTTCTAGGAAAGCAATCCGTATTAACACGTTTTCAGTTTTGTAGCATTCATAATTTAATTTTTATAATTTCTCACGTAGAAGTATGCAATGAAAGAAATTACGTCACTGCTTTTCATAACTATTGTTATTGTATAATTTTGTAATTTTGCGTATTAGTTTGTGTTAGGTAATATATTTCAATGCTTGTTATTTATTTTAATTCAGTTGTAATGTGCTAGGATAGCAGGAACTCAGGCTGGTTTCATTTAGTTTATATAATTATCAGCAAAATTTGATACAGTACTCAGTATATAGTTTCAGTGTACTTTCTTTAGAATTCACAATGAAATTTATCATTATTTTCTCTCACTATCAGCAATACCCAACTTATCATCAGAAATGTATTCTCTACTCAAACAGAGATATAGTATCATATTAATTGTGTACTTTAAAACTTTTTGTATATTGTCAGAAAGTTTTGAATAATTTGTATATGTTATATTTTGTTAAGAGGTCTTAAAGTTTAACATCCAATAACATTATAATTGTTATTAATGTTATTTAATAAGCAAGTGTTAGTATAATATATAGGCCCCTGTTTTAATTTTTTAATCAGTCTAATATATAATTAAGATTACTGGATTCAACCAAAAACGTTTTCTCAAGATAAATTAAGTAATTTCCTGCAATTTTAAAATCTATCAAGCAGGTTCTATTATTATTAAGGCCTTTTCACACCGGCGTACTGGACGTACTGTACGTTTGGTACGTTTTTTTTTCAACAAATCGCTGTCCATGTTATCATATGGGCTCGTTCACACCGCGCGTACAGAACGTACTGTACGTACAGTACGTACGCGATGGTTTTGTGAGAATCGCTCGGAGAGCGATTTTTCTAAATCGTACGAGGCGTACGCGAGCTCGCGCATGCGCAGTGGTCACACCAAAACCACGTGCTCAGCCAGTGTTACTTGTCTGACTGCAAACGAACAAGTGTACGTTTTGGAAGTTTCTGTGCGGTGTGAAAGGACCGCGTACTGTACGAACTGGCCGTACCAAACGTACAGTACGTCCAGTACGCCGGTGTGAAAAGGCCTTTAAAAGCGGTAAACCAAGTTTTATTTATACTTTTTATTGAAATATTTCAAATTAATGGTTTATTAATATATTTCTTAAATTTACATTCTATTTTGGGAAAACACAAAATCTTGTCAATTTAAACTACATAGGCAATTAATTTATTCCTTATTTATCTATACATATTTTGATTTTCTTCGTTTTGAAATGTGTGTTGTATTCATGAAAAAAACTTCTCTCAATGTATAATATTTTGTTGTGATATCTGATGTATAATGATTCTACAAATGAATGTTCACCACCTTGTTTCTGGACAAAGCTGTTAACTAATTTTCCATAGAGTTAGGCATTATACAAGGTTTATTTTTTACCTTTACTAAAAGTTGATATTCACTGTTGTTAATGTTTGCTGTATCTGTTTTTGCATTTGCTAGTCTTCATCTGTGATATGGTCAAGCAGTTTAAGTGGTTGTGACTGCTATTCTAGGCATGTACATGTAAATCATGCCAGTAATTCAAACAGTTGTGTAAAACAGATGTAAATAAAATTTTAAAATTATATTTTATAAGTTGAGAAATTAATTTCAATACCTATTCTGATCCTCCTTAATGTTTTACTGCCAACAAATTTTCTTTGAAATGATAACTGTTAAGATGTGTATAACTCTATTTATTCTGAAGACAAACTCCGACTTCATACATAATAGGCTTCCAATCTTCAATGAGAATTCTAAAGATTGAAAGTATGCTCTGTTTTCATCAATTTTATGTGCTAATTTTGTAAATTGGGAATGAATTTGACTTACATTCTTCTTTAGTTGAGTTAAACAGAACTACTGTCAAGGAGGTTATATAAAACAAACTAAAATAAAAAAAGAGTTGAATAATTTTTTGGATATTTATTAATTTTGATGTATTTAGTATAAAAACTTAACCAGAACCAACAAATGGTGGTTGTGTAATATTCTTGATGCTGAATAATTACACTAAAATTAATTTTTCAACATACTCATATATTTAAGAACATTAGCTTTTAAATTCTAATATTCACAAAATAACACTGCTGCTTTTGGTGAGTTCCATTCGTTTAAATCTTGCTTTCTCAAGTCTCTCTCTAAGTTCTGTAATGTCTTTGCTTTCATTACTAACAAATTTTGGTTGTTTGCATTGCAAGCTTTTTACTTCAGATAACAACTTTCTGAAAATAAAAAAAACAAGTAATTTATTTTTACAACTCTTAAGTTAACCATCTGATGACTTTTGAGCATCATCAGAAGGAGAGACTCTCGGAGTTCAGTTTAAATGAGCATATCGGTTGACTCGGTTGTAGTTTTGAAACAGCAATGGTTTCTTTAGATTCCTCATACGATCGAGGCCCGATATATCGTTCCTTAGCATTTTTGAGATGAAAAATTTTATTTTTACCGATTTTTTTTCTCGCATACTAGACTTCGCCCCCGTAGCAAGCGTAGCACTTTTCGGATGAAATAACTAAATAACTAGCACTTTTCAGAAAATTACAAAAACATATTCTAGCACCGAAAGGGTTAAAGATTTTAAGATTTGACCTTAATTCATTAAAATAACGTAGAAAACTATCGTTTGACACCTACTAGCAACAACACGACACTATTGTACTCTTTTATATTCTTGGCAGACTGAAACTTTGTTAATTTGTTACATTATCTAAGAAACCTATTCAATAACAACTTTTTTAAATTTTATAACATGTAGTTTGTTACTATTTTTTGTCTACTTCCAAATTGTTTAAATATTTTGACATAAATTACAAACATTATGTTCAAAGTAAAAAGTTGATTGCTTTCAAAAGCTCTGTCACAGGTAAGCCTCGCTGGTAATTTGGTGGCAAATTAATGTTTTTGGAACGGCATTATTTTCCACCATAACCAACCCCTTTTTCTATCACTCCACATCTGGCTCAAGCTTCTTAGGTGTGTTTGACTAACATTCATACTTACTTCTGCTCTCGACATTCATCAATGAACTTTTGGGTATCTGCTAAGAACTGTTGTTGCTTCAACTTTTGTTTCCTTATACATATTTGTCTGTTTTCTATTTCTTCTTTTACAATCTTCCTATTGAGCAAGAGTCTCTCATAAAGCTGGAAAATAATCAAGCTTGAAAGGCATTTTCAATTAATATAATTTCTGAAATATTATAATCATAGGGGCAAAAAAACTAGTTTAAATAACACGATCTACCGTATGTTAAATCTTTAAAAAGCATGTTTTGAGTTCCAAGTCAAGAAAATGGCTCTTGATTCTCAGAATCAAATCAAATGTGTGGATAAAAGTTTACAGTCAAATTCTTTGAAATACATAAAAGAGTAATTTTTAAGCAAGAGAATCCATTAACCAAAACTTTCTTTAGAATGTTTTCTTTCCAGTGATTATAATACAGGGAATTAACTACTACTGTTACCAACAAGTTCCTATTGGCTAAATATCTAATTACCTCAGCTATGGACATTTCACAAAGCAGTCCAATATTCATTGTTTCGTTTGGATCAAATTTGTTAGAATGGAGATCTTTGATGCTAGAAAGTGCTTTTATCTCTTTGATGATTTCAATCCGTCTTTCTAGTTCTTCCTTTTGCTGAAATAAATGTTTTTCTTAAAAATGTCCCTCTTTACAGAATACCTGTACCACATGAATCCCAACCCCTGCAATGCTATGACAGTAAGGTCAAATTACATAAAATCTGTAACGTAAACTCACCTTTCAAAATTGAAATGTCTAAATCAAAATTACATTATTAAAGCTTTAAGCAAAAAAACATCATCTTCATGAGTTGTTTGTATTATGCTTGATCTCAAACAAAGAATGACTTGTTTTTATATTAAAAAATGGTGGTGTAGTAAATGTTCGTTCATAACACAACAAACTTTCTGTCAGTTCCTGTTTCAAAGTTATATAATGGTGATATTGAACAAAAGTTATCATTTAGATTTTACTAGATAGAAAATTATGTAAAAAAAACTATCATGTACCCACCCTCGTGATAGCTTCTGCTCGTAGCTGCTTGCTAGTGCTGGCTACTTCCTGGGCTGAACAAACCATGAAAGAAATCAAAACCATGCTAAATGTATTACAATATTTAAATTAAGCTACCTACAAAGCTCTGTTAAAGCTACATACTAATAGAATTAACTATTGATACAACTTCAGTATTCAATAGTTAATGCTAGTAAATTAAAATTAAAATTGTCCATATGCAAATGCTCAGAATTTAACATTGAATGAGCCATCAATAAACACTATAAGTGAATAGGGTGTGTTCTATAAAAGTCTATAAATAGTCAATGATAAAAGCCAATCCTTTTTGATGAATTTAAAATTTTCCAACAAGATCAATCCTGCTCGAGGAAGACACCTATTGCAAAAGAGCTCTTGAAATATACAAAATGCAATGTTGATTTTCTTTTTTTTTCATCAACCACTTGCATAAACTTGTCATACAATTTTATATTTATGTTGCCCAAAATAATAGCTGTATGATTTCAGTAAAAAGTATCTTTCTAGAATAATACTTTTACTTTTCTGACAGAACATGACTGAGAGCAAGATTTTTCTCAGAATGTTGAGCCCTAAACCCATTATGCCAAATGGCACAGATCGGCAAGTGTGGATGCACAGGCGGCTTGGCAATACCGCATGCCGATTCCTAACCGATAGGTTGTCGGTCCAGATGAAAGGAAGCCCAGCCCGGTTGATGTGGGGACGAGCCAAACAGCAGACATCGGCACTAGCCGTGTACCTCACCTCCCTCAGCATATGTGACATGGCCTTCATTTTAGGTTAGCTGCATGGAACGATGCTGTTTGAAAGCTTGCGACAACTATGCTGTGTGTGCCAAGCCAGTCGACTTGGCTGAACGGCCATCATCGGCATAGTGGGGATGCGGCTTTAGGTTTATGTCAAAAGGATGTATTGTGAGGATTGTACAATACAAGAGTATAAATCAAGAGAACAAAATTATGTGAATATAAAAGTCACTACCAAATAATTAATACCGTTATTTAATTATAATACTGTAAAAATGTTTGCCATTATGAAAAATCGCTTAAATATTCTCTATGATACTTTTACATATTATTGAACTTGAATTTCAATTAATTATTAACTATTTTACCTTCCATATGTTTTTTCTGGATGACATTTTGTTTATTTGCTTCTATATTCCTTTGGATTTGTTGTGTTTTTTCTATAATTAGTTTAATTTCTTCCTCATGTTTTTTCTGCATTTTCTTAACAATTTCTTCAGTTTCTCTTTTCTACAAAAATGAAAGGAGCATAATAATATGTAAGTTTTGGAATTAATTGTTATCATAGGCTCCTGCAATAAAACCATCTTACTAATATTATAATTATAATAAGTATTGTATCATACATTTAAAACTGTTTTCTTTATTCTACACTACCATTTTGTTTAGAGAAACTCAATATTTTTCATGTGTTCACCCAGTGGCATTTGTTACATTTTTTGCAAGGAAACCGTCCAAACCCTGGCCTTGTTGCCATCTAATGTCAACCTTTTGTGAAATAGCATCATTAATTGGTGTCTGGGTCCAAAACTGATCTGGCTTTATGAATCAAACCAGCGACCTTCGGATGAATTCGGAATGAAACTGATACAAGCAACACAGATTTTTGTGGATATGCCACAGATCCACCTTGTATAACATTTAGCTTCTCTAACACTGAAGAAGTGTTATCTTTGCCTCACTCTCTGAATAGTTAAATATTAATTAAAATTTTTTATTTTGTTGTATGTATATTTTTTATAAACGATGATTTTGTATACACTTAGTAAACCCACCTCCTGCTCTATCTCTGATCGTCGAGCCTTATTGATGTTCAGTATCCTCTGTCTGGCCAAGATGGCTTCCTCTCGGCTCAGCTGTCCCAACAGATGTTTCCTCTCTACGTCTTGCAGCTTTAGTTGTTCCTCCTCATTTCTCAACTGATTCATCATCTCCTCGTAAGATGTAAAGTCAGCAGCTCCACATACAAGATCATTCATCCTTCAAACAATTTTTTAGTTTTTAGCACGTACTACAGTAAAGGGTATAAGTTTTGTGGCCGGGACCGCAGGAGACGATGATGATGTCTACACAACCGTTGGAGATATTCGAGATTTTTGCAAGATATCGGAAGACGATGATGATGTTTCCGTGATTACAGGAAATGTTCAGAATTTCAGAATGATTCCTATAACTGTAGTATTAGGTTTTCAACATTCTCCCTGTAATCAATCTGGATAATCAACGGTTAACATAGTTGGAATTTGGATGATTGGGGTTCTATATTAAAATTTGACCTGAAGGAAATCAAAGTATAAAAACCTTTTAGAAAATCAATTAGAACCAGCGGAAAAAGAAGATCTGTATAGCACCCACAACCAATATTCTTAATTTTTATTTGAATTTAATGAGGACATGCTTCTTTAGTGCTCTTAGTCTGCTGTGATACTCAACTACCAAGGTCTGTGTCTGGGCATAACCGGCACTTACCATAGATTATGAATAGTTATGTTTAATATCACAAACATTACATTAGTACAACAATTAATTAAGGCATCTAGACTTACTGTAAATTTATATTTCAAATATGAAATGGCATCGATTATATTGTTTGCAAACACAACACCACACTTGTAAATTTGTAAAACAAGCAGCAAGTAGCTTTTCCCTTAGGTATGTCAATGCAATTTTAGTAATAATTTACAGCCATGCATTTTATTATTGCTTAATGAAATCCAGCTAACAATTAAAGTGTTATAGGCCTATTATAAAAACATTGAAGTTATCCAAATCTTTGTCAGATTTACCTTTGTATATCTTTCTCTTCTTCTTTTATCAGTCTTGCAGCCTCCCGAAGTAGCATAGCTGCATTTTTCTTAACAGGAATTTTATTTGTCTATAAATAAAAATAAATAATTTAAAAAATTTCACTCGTAAGTTAGTACAATCCATATTATTTCAATCATGAATTATTAATATTATATGAACTTATTTCCTACTCTAGAACTCAAAATACATCATGATAAAATCACAAAATATTAAGCTAAAGAATAAAGGTATATTGTTATTCTTCACAGATGCACTGGTATAAAATAACTCTATTTAATAAGGCATACTTACAGCTACCTTGTGTCCCTTGTATATTCTCTTTTGATGCTTAGGTTTGTCATCGTAGGTTGAACATTCATTTTTTCTATTAGATTCCTTTGTTGACAAACGTTTGGTAGATTCACTTGCTTCTTCTAGTAATACCTTACTTGCAGCTCTATGTTCGCCTTTCAATTTTGTCAAAATATCATTAATTTTCGGTTCCTTATACATTGATGCAGGAACTGGCTTTGCTGGCGGCAATACCACTTCCTACAAAGTACAATAATCATTAATCCTTGTGGATAGTTTAATCCTATTTATTATTTAAGTTCCAGTGTTACCTAAAAAAATGTATGTTATTGCCATTGTATTCAGTAATATTAGGTATAAAACTTAATTTTAACCCTATTGATGTTAAGATTTTAAAATTAATTTGATAGTTACATTTAGTAGCTTACTGACTTAAATTGACTGTTTTGTCAGCCATTATAATTTATTTAAAGCCAAATGATCAGGGTCAGCTGGTTCCAGTTTTAAACCATCAAAAGGCTACTGACTTTTCTCAGGACCGATCTGGCAACCTTTTGATTGTCATGCGAGCACTTTAACCACTCCCGCAGCTACCCAGCCAGATTTACAATATTTTTAATTTTTAGAGTACAGTAGAGTCTACTATCCAACAATCTATGTAAGGGGTCTCCAACCTTATATGGCCTGTGGGCCATATCCCAAACCCCCCCTGTCCCATCCCGCCTGTAAGCGGATTTTTTCCCGTCATACAAAAACCCAATGTACCCATGCCCTGGCATAGGTAAGTGAACAAAATTCTTTTTGATAGCAAAAGCAAACACCGATGATCTTTTCCCGCGATTGAGTAAGCACCTGTGATCTGGTGGTCTAGGCAATATCATGATCGTTCCCCGCAATCGCGGCAACACTTACGATGTTCAAGCCAAAACTCTTGAGCATATATTGTGGTCTCAGCAATCCTGCCATCAAGGCAACATTAATTGTCACCAGTGATCACAATTTCCTTGCGACCTTAAGGGAGAACCAATGGACCGTCGTCTATGAATGCAGGCTCAGCTATAGGATATTGATGGAACTCTTGAGCTTTTTCAGAATCAAGCAATCAAGTACAACTCAATGGCTTTTTCCTGTTCAACAAAATTCACATACACAATTGCTAGTCTCCAGGTTGGCTTGCTACTATGTTTAAATATCAGTATGGTACATGTTTGTCACCTAACAATTTGTTTTCAATATGAGTAAATTAGAAGTAAACATCTAGTGGCTGAGTCATCTAAATACAGATTTGCTTTAGTAAGATGGAATCATCAAAACCGTGCTACTGTACGTGAGTTGCTTGTCCTTCCTGAGGAGTGTTCACAGGAGGGGGAGGTACAAGGGTCAGTCTCATATGACAGGCTTGGTAGGCTCTCTGAAATACTCTGTTTTCTCTAAACCTTGCTACAGTGAATTGCTTGTCCTACCTGAGGAGTGTTCACAGGAGGGGGAGGTACAAGGGTCAGTCTCATGACAGGCTTGGTAGGCTCTCTGAAATACTCTGTTTTCTCTAAACCTTGATACAGGGAATTGCTTGTCCTACCTGAGGAGTGTTCACAGGAGGGGGAGGTACAAGGGTCAGTCTCATGACAGGCTTGGTAGGCTCTCTGAAATACTCTGTTTTCTCTAAACCTTGATACAGTGAATTGCCTGTCCTACCTGAGGATTGTTCACAGGAGGGGGAGGTACAAGGGTCAGTCTCATGACAGGCTTGGTAGGCTCTCTGAAATACTCTGTTTTCTCTAAACCTTGATACAGGGAATTGCTTGTCCTACCTGAGGAGTGTTCACAGGAGGGGGAGGTACAAGGGTCAGTCTCATGACAGGCTTGGTAGGCTCTCTGAAATACTCTGTTTTCTCTAAACCTTGCTACAGTGAATTGCCTGTCCTACCTGAGGAGTGTTCACAGGAGGGGGAGGTACAAGAGCCAGTCTCATTACAGGAGTGACTCTGGGAGTGACAGGCTTGGTAGGCTCTCTGACATATTCTGCTTTCTGAACATTTAACATCTTCTCAAAATAGCTTACAATGTCCTAGAACCAACAAGAACGGTAGTTCAAACATTGATGCATGCCAGCTTAAAAAAATATAAATGTTACACAAAAAAACCCTGCCATAGTCCACAGCAAACTTCCAGACTTAGCAAAATTTCATTTGCCTGACTGGCTTTTCACTAAAATGTGTTACCAAACGTCCTCTTTAAAAAAAGTAGATTTAACAAGTACTTAGGTTTGTTATTACAGGGTGGGTCCTAAAGTACGGTATGTTTTTTATGAAATATTGAAAGAGAGTATGAAATAATTACATTTTCCAAATTTTATCAAAATACAGTATTCACAAACAAGCAAACTACAAAAGTTAACTCATTCTCAAGAATAACATGGGGATATAAAAAATTGTTTTAAAAATTTCCTCCAGAACCATTAGGCATACAATAAAGCTTCAGGATACTAAATTATTTGTTTTTTTAAGCTCTCAAAACAGTTGAGAAAACAATTGCACACATTAGTTATGTTTTGGGGGTAAAAAATTAGAAAAATCTATTTTACCCCATAAAACTCTGCTCCCACAGTCCGATCATGCTGGTTTGCAAACTAGATTTAGGAAATGTAGGGTTACATGTTTCTACAGAATTTCATCAAAATCTTATTTTTTTTTTTTTTTTTTTTTTTTTTTAACAGAGGGCCAGGCTTACAAGTTACCATGGGATTGCATCGCAGCTAGAACAGCTTATTGTGCACCCTCGTTCACAGGTCCTCATTCTCCGTCAAATCCCAGGTCCTTGGTGAACCGTGAGAGCCTCTTGACTATGGTGACCTGTTCGTCCCTTTGATCTCCCATCAATAGGCCAAGGGATCTCATACGCAGACCTTGTAGGGCTGGGCACCTAAATATACCTTCACAGCTTTCACAAGGTCTCTGGCTGGGGCAAGCCGTAGCGAGATTTCCCTGAAAGGTCTCAGCTCCTGAACTTGCTTGACCAGCCAATCCTTTGTGGCTGCGTTAGCACAGCCTCCACCTTTCTTCCTGGAGGCTTCATTAGAGTCAGCTTTGGGGGTACCACCCTTGCTCTGCTTTTTCCCAGCATCCTAGTTCCCGGAGGAACTGGCTTTGCAGGCAGCAGAGTTAGGGTGCTTGGCAGCCCACACCAGCCTCCTCTCACTTCTGGATAGCACCTTTTCGCCTTTGGCTAAAGCATCCGCTATCCTCCATCTTTGCGACTCGCCCCTGGAAAGTCGTTTTTCGTTCCTTTCCGATTTCTGCGAGCTTGTCGTCATCGTCAGATTTCAGTAGACCTTCCTCCTCCATTTGGGCCAGACTGTCTACATTGTTCTCACGAATACCGGGTATTTAAGTCCACCTCCCCAGTGACCCGATTAGAGAGGTAAGGGGTGTGTACGACTGGGTTACCCCTGGTTCCCAGAAGGCTCCGTTAAGACACTGAATATTAGGCCCCCAGTGCCACAAGACTCTTGGCACGGATCGCATTACACCTTAGTCTAGGGCCCCCCTCACTTGGTTCTGTAGGTGGACCAACACCCAGTGGCAGAAGGTAGCTCTCCGCAGCTAACAATTGAGAGTTGGGGTTTAGGTTGTGGCCAATCTGCCGAACCAACCCCGCATGCGAGGTTTGGCCGGAATGGCGCGAAATTTTCTCCCACTCACTAAACCCCCATACCTTCCTCAAAATCTTATGATTTTTACTCAAGATTGTTCTAACGGACACACATTGCTTAAAGGTTATAGTGGGAAGAAAAGTGAGTGGCTGGGAAGCAATAACCTCAACTACCGTGATGAGAATACAATGTTTACATTCAAACCTCAACACTCAAGATATATTTTTTGAACGTGTGAAACCTCAAATGAAAACATTGAAGAATAATAAATAGTCAAAAGCTACTCTCAAAAGTTGCTTAGCCCAAGGTTAGATAAGTGGAGTCCTGCCCTATTGTTATCTTAATAGGTCTACTAAAATAAGCCAGGTTCTGTAGTCTGTACTTTACATTTCATTACCGTCCATTACTGTGACCTCCATTACAGTAATCTACAATAAACTGTTTACATCTTGTGCTACTACTACTTTGAACCAATATACACTTAAATAAATCACATATTGTTGGGTCCATTTTTGCTTTAAATTTTATATGAGGCAAACAATCACAAACAAATGATTCATGAACGATTTGAAATACTGTATCTATTAGTTAGCCTACATCAACCCCAGAGAATGAATTTTAGCAAACTACATTGACTCTCGTAACGCAGCACATCACCGCACATTATTTGCTATTCGTCAGACCGAATATTTTGAAAGCCAATTGCCCGACAATCGGGTTCGTTCGACATGATAGGCCGCAGCGAATGTGTTAACAAATTACTTGTCATTATTACCTGTAAGAGGTCCTTGTTTTTCTGTATCCTTGTTATAAACATTTCTCTAGTATAATCTTCTTCAAAGTATTTACATCCCAAAATAAATAGCATTTCCTTGGAAGACTCTTTGTTAAAAAATCTCAAAAAATTGACTACCTTTTGAGAATTTAGCGCTTGGCAAATATTAATTACATCATCTTTATTTTTTTCATTCAAAATGTTAATCATCATGTAAGTAAGGACTGAAACAAAAGAGAAAGAAATGTAACATTTGAGTGACTAGCATGGGCATTTATTTTGTATATTGGTCTAATAAATAATATCCATAAGCCTCTAGAATTAAATGTTCAGTTTATGAATATTTTTGTGGGCTTCACTCGCCACCTTTATTTTTGTCTGTGATGTCCAGGACTCACCAAAACACATATAAACACACAAGACACGTAATCGTCCATGGCATCAAAAGTCCACAGTTACGTGGAACTCACAAGAAACGTTCCTCTTTCTCAGGGTTGGAAAACTCAATTTTTTTCCCGCACGCGGGTCGATTGCCTGACCACGACTGCCGGATCAACTGAACTTGAAGGAGGATGGGGGTAGGTGTATTATCTACTGTTGATAAGCCATTCACGCTCCTGGTCTTATCTCGTAGTTGCTCGAGTTCGTGTTTAACAACGTTTAAATACACCGTACTGACATCCACTGATGGTCGTGAAAGTGGCTTGTATTCTATCGCCATGAAAAGCGGCTCTGCCGTATTTTGTTTCCTCCAATCAGACTCATCGTAAAGAATTGTAGATGAACCCCAATCAACAATATGATTCGTTCCTAAAATGTGATCGCATATCTTAGAGCCATGTGTTATACTTATCTTTGTTTTTAACTTTTTTTATGTGCTCATTTATTCGTACTTTGACTGGTCTAGAAGTTTGGCCCACATAACTTCTGCCACAAGAACACGGGATTTTGTAGATAATATCTTTTATACTTTGTTGCTCATTATCAGGTTTAAGGTTTGTGACACAACTACGGATGGTATATTTATTTTTAAAAACAGTTCTTACATTATATTTAGCATTCACCCGTCTCAACTTTTCAGAAATATTTTTAACATACAGAATACATACATTGGTGAGGGGTTTTATCTTTGTGCCTGTAGCAGTAGGTTTCCTGAATACACTCGTGAGACAGCCTTGTTGTGACTGTTTCTGCACCAATACGTCTAGAAACGGTAATCTATCATCTTTTTCCAGTTCAATTGTATATTGTATGGACTCTACCTGACTGTTTAGGTGTTCTTTAAGTTTTAACAGTTTCTGACATTGAATCTTTCCAAATGCAAAAAACATCATCAACATACCGTAACCAGACTCTAGGTTTAGTTTAAAATGATTCAATTGCGTCCTGCTCAAACTTTTCCATGAAAATATTAGATAAGATAGGACTTAACACGCCACCCATTCCTGTAGTTTGTTCATAATATTTATTATCTACCAGAAAGTAGTTCGACCTAACGCAGACTGTCAAGTGTCAACAGTTCTATTATATTGGACACAGGAATTTTGGTTCTCTCTTCCAACATCAGGTCATTTTCGACGTAAGTTACTATTGCTAGACATGACTCAATGGGAACGTTAGGGAACAAGTTTTGTTACATCAAAGCTAACCAATATGAATGTTATTGCTGGGTTTAAGACGGTGTATTTTGTCAACAAAATCCTTTAAATCTTTTACAAAACTGTCGGATTGGCCAAAATATGGTGTAAGTAAAGGCAAAATAAATTTTGAAAGTTGATAGTATGGTGAGTGTATTGCACTAACTATCACTCATAGAGAGATGCTAGGTTTATAGAGCTTTGGAAGTCCGTACAAATGCGGAACTTTACTAAACTGTGGGCTCAGTTTAAAGAAAGTTTGGCCAGTGACATAACATTTTATTTTTGCTAATTCTTTTTTTATTTTACTTTGGACTTGATTTGTCAGATCACAATCAAGTTCTTTATATTGCCCTCCATTGATTGTGTCAGCTATTTTGTTCATGTATTCATTTTTGTTTAAAAAACTACTGCATCACCTTTATCTGAATGCAGTAAAACAAGATTATCATCATCATTCTTAAGTTTCATCAGAGCAGCGTTTTCAATATTTGATAAATTGGGTTTTATAAAAAAAATATCTTAAAATATCTCAAAACATAAATGTTCTAAGATAAGGTAGCTAAACTACATCATTAAAAAAGTCATAAAGAAATAGGAATCCCTTGAGATAATTGAGATAATCGACGAATAGCGCTACTATGTGTCAGAAGGCTTCTTACTCATTAGATGATGCTTGTCACTATTATCTTTCCGTTTTCCTTTACAATAGAAGTAATCAACAAAATCACTGAATAGTTGCTTGTGCTGGACCAGAGCTAAAAACATCTCCACTGCACATTCGTTCTGCTCATCCTGTAAAACTAATTTTATTAATGCCTATGAAAAATATACATTAATGCTATTACCAACAATATTATTTAAATAATTTTGATAACAGATTTAATACATTTTATAACTACATATACAAACTACAAAGTAAATACTTCATTCTTAAAAATTTCTACCGAATTGTTCACTTAGGTATAACTGAAACCTTTCAAGAGCCACACTCTTCCTTATCCATCCACCTTAACCCTTTTAAATAACATTGTAGATAATTTTGCTTTAGTTCATTAAAACGTCGTTAAGAAATAAACAACATCAGTACACAGGGTGTCCAACAAAGAGGTTTAGATGATTTTTTTTTTATATTATGCCCATTTATGCAGCAAAAGATTTGAAATTTTACACAAATTACAAAGTAGGATTTGGAAACATGTTGTGAACATTTCAACTTTCTTGGATTTGTAGAAACAAAATAGCAGCGCATGTTATTAACAATTTTCTTCTATTCAAATGTATACTGGGTGGAAAAAAGTACTGGGACAGTTAAACATTTCAAAATAAATAAAGATAAAGCTAAAAAACCTGGTACAAATTCACTGGCAATAAAAACCATTCTAAAGCTTCATTCAGTGTTACGATATCTCCTTTGGGATACATAAACATAGGTTGACTAGTGGCTTGTAGGGACCTAAGTCCCTAAAAAGCTCAAATGTAAAACAACTTTTTGCAATACCGGCATTTAAACAAACTCAGAATAACATTATCTATGTGTCAGAATAGGCATCCCTACACCATATCTTTTGTGTAAAAACCAGTTTGTTGTTCTTCTTGGTTTGCTTTTGTTGATGTCATTTTCAATAAATAATTTGAATCACTCCAGTGGTTTAACATGAAAAGGCAGCAAACATATCATTGTTTGTGAATAAATACTGGTTTACTAAGGTAGCTTTGGTCTTGTGGTTAATGAGGATAAATAAAAGCTTCCCTGTTTGGAATTCTAAAAATTCATTGGAGGTTCGCCTTCAGATGAATTGAAGACGCCTGCAATTTCATCTGCAGTAGGCTTATTATACCTACGACGATCCATATTTATCCTGTCTACAAACCTATGTTCTAATTCACTGTCACCTTGTACAACCATTTCTTCCGAAGCTCTTTTGTAAATTTGTGCAAATGGATTTTCTAATAGAATTTCAGCTAGTTTTGACAATATTTCAGGTTTTAAGTCACTATTTTCTCGACGCCTTTGACGAATTTCTGTTGCTGTTGATGTGTCAATAATGTTCAATTGGCCATACACGGGGTCTTCATCATGTTGAGACAGCAAATCTGAGATTGAACGATAAATCTGTCCTTGAATTTTTAAACAGTATGGTCCTTTTCCTGGAATATCTTTCTTACTGGCTGAAAAATAAGCAAAAGCCATCGCAATGTTGCATTGTCGAATGAATTTATACAGTTGTGGGCTCTCTTCAAACAAACTTTTAAGTTCTACATTAGTTTTTGACTGAGGAAGGTTAATAAGTCCGTTATGGCAACACGTCATAAAATGATTATTCGTTAGTTATTCTCTAACCCTAGTAGCACAAATATGTATTTTATAAATATTTTATTTAAAGTTGTATTTGATAGAACCTCGAATAAAATATATATATAATATATCTTTAATAATAGTTTGATATATTCAAATATATATTTAAAATATTACCAAAAAGCAATGCAAAATATAAATTAAATATAAGTTTTGAATATATAAAATAGATTCATAATATATATTGATAAAACAAGTATAGAATCTATAATATACATATTTTATATGTATATTTTTCCTATTAAATATTAAAAAAAATTGTGTGTTGAGAATATTTTAAATATATATATAAAATATTTTTGAAACTATATTATACATTTAAATTATTTATAAATATATTTTAAAACACGTCAGATATTTTTTATTAATAAAATAATATTATATTTGTAGAATATATAGCCTATAATCTTTTATAATTAGCAAATACATAATTTGCATCTTTTTGTTTTTTATAGTTTCTATCAATTTATACATGCATTTTTGTATGATAATTGCTATTGTGAAAGCGTTAATATTAAGTTAATAATAATACGTACTCTGAATGGTGTCACTCTATCATACACGTAAAGAAAAAAAAGCATATACTGTAGTTAAGAGGCAGTATACATGTTCGACAGCTACATTTGGGTCAAACAAAAACAAGTTTTGATGGGTTTTATTTTTTAATTGCAATATGTGACAATGAATGTGATCATAGAAATCTCGAATGATTGGCTAGAAAAGGGTGCTAGTGACTGGCGACCTTTTAAGAAACTAATTATGGTTGTATATGACGTTCTAAAAATAATTATTTGATTTACATATGCCATCAATTACATAATATTTGTCATAGTATTTAAATTAATTTTTGTAGTTTACTGTATTTGTATTCGTGGAGACTACTCACTATTCACTACAGCACTATTCAACTCAACTACTTGATGCCAAAACATATTAACAGAATCATATTATACTGTAGTATCAAAAATATTTCAAGTATTGCAACCATTGCAACTGAGGGCCACTCTTTCTCCATTTGAAACCAATGCCAACAACAGTCACAAGTAGCTCAGAGGTAAGGTAGGAGGCTCATAAGTCGAAGGACCCAGGTTCGAGACCCACCCGGGCTGAAAAAAATTCATCCAGTAATTTTTTCAAAATACGTTTTTATGAACTATTTAATCAATTTACTCAACTGATAATTGTGTTTTTCATACTAAATCTTTATTATTTTGTGTTTTTATGTTAAGGCCCCATGGGATGTTTGGAAGAGATATTAAATACATTTTTTATTTAAATATTATTCACTAAAATATATTATTGGAACACATTTTTTTAATATTCAATAGATTCAAAAACATATTTTTTATATATTTAATATATTTTAAATATTATATAAAATTGACATTAATACACACTTGAGATATATAAAATAGATTTTAAATACATTTATTCATATGTATTTAATATATATTTGTGCTACTAGGGAAAATGAAGAGCACTACATTGAATGCACTCTTGGTCCAGTAATCCTGCATCATGGATCTTTACATTTCTCTCGTCTACCATGGGTCTCCTAAAAAGGGGTTGTAACATATCTTGATTAAGTTCGTCATTATCTACTCTTGCTCTCCTAAGCGCACTGTCATTCCTATGAACAGTTCCCCGCCTTTGTGGTATTCCCCTGGCGTTCATATTAATTACAGTACTTATAATGAAAAGAATATATATCCAGCAGCCTACATACCAAAACATCTTGAATCCCTGGTGATTTTATAAAAGTATGATCGAATATGATTACTCTACGTTGTATATTCACTGCACTAAAAGAATTTACTTACGAAGGAATGCAAATAAACCATTTTAGAACCAATAACATTTATAGGTTATTTTAGTTGTATATATTTACACAACCTTAACCTTAAAATGTGTAGAAATATAAAGAAAACAACATCATTTAAAATAAACTTGAACATATGATTTAAAAATAAAAACAAAACAGAAGTTAGATTTAATTTCGACTCTTTGATTATTTATACAGAATATTTATTCTATGTCGTTTATTCATTTAACACGACAATAACGTAAAAGCATGAAAAAATGAAACTTGAGTATATAATTTAAATATAAACAAAGAATATAAAAGTATGATCGAATATGATTACTCTACGTTGTATATTCACTGCACTAAAAGAATTTACTTACGAAGGAATGCAAATAAACCATTTTAGAACCAATAACATTTATAGGTTATTTTAGTTGTATATATTTACACAACCTTAACCTTAAAATGTGTAGAAATATAAAGAAAACAACATCATTTAAAATAAACTTGAACATATGATTTAAAAATAAAAACAAATAGAAGTTAGATTTAATTTCGACTCTTTGATTATTTATACAGAATATTTATTCTATGTCGTTTATTCATTTAACACGACAATAACGTAAAAGCATGAAAAAATGAAACTTGAGTATATAATTTAAATATAAACAAAGAATTTTCCGACTAATCTTCAATATTTCAGTTTTATTATAGTATACATTTCATAGTTGACTGGCTAAAAGTAAACCAAATGCGTGTATTGATCACTGTTTTCAAATCTGTGGCACAGCTGTTTTAATTTCAAAAGATGTAAACAAATTAAACCCCATGTTGTTTTAATGGGAAAAGTTTTATTCTGTTGCGAATTTATGGTAAAAAAAAATAAGAAAAATGAATAGTTTTCCCTCAAAATTCACTTCAAGACCTTTAAAATAAGACCCCTCCCATCCTTCTACGGCCATCCAGTCACTCACAATTTCTTTACAAAAATTTGACTTGGAATTATATATATAGACTAGCTGACCCGGCGAACTTCGTATCGCCTAAGTTATAGGTTTCCCCTAAGACAGACCGATGGAAAGAAAGTACCGTTACGTTTAATTTTCAAGATGATCTCGTTCGCATCGCTCAATCACGTCCTGGTTGAAGTTCGTTCGCTACGCTCACTCACCTTTGGGTTGGAGCTCGTTCGCTACGCTCACTCACCTTTAGGTTGGAGCTCGTTCGCTGCGCTCACTTGCCTTCAGGTTAGCTCGTTCGCTACGCTAACTCGCCTCCAGGTTGAAGTTCGTTCGCTACGCTCACTCACCTTTGGGTTGGAGCTCGTTCGCTACGCTCACTCACCTTTAGGTTGGAGCTCGTTCGCTGCGCTCACTTGCCTTCAGGTTAGCTCGTTCGCTACGCTAACTCGCCTCCAGGTTGAAGTTCGTTCGCTACGCTCACTCACCTTTTGGTTGCAAATTAGCTGTTGTCATAAATGTAAAAGAAATAATAGTGCTGCACCCTGTTGGTAATCCTTGTAACTTTAATGCTATTGAACATCATAGAACAGAACCAACTTGTTTAATTGAAACAGCTGTTAAGATTCATTAATTCCATTTCTCATAAGGTTAACATGGGAAACTCCAGAGCCACTGGGGCGGAGCCCTTTTAAGAATTTCGAAACGGGAAATAGTTTACGTCCGATTCGCATACCTACAGAATTTACACACCAAATTTCATAACGATCGGTGAAGTCGTTCCGGAGGAGTTTGCAGACAAACACTGTGACACGAGAATTTTATATATTAGATATGGACATCAAATTAAAGGTCAACTAGACAAATACAATGCCGCAAATTTAAGCTAAAAAGAACTGAGCCAAAAATGGAAGCAGTTCTCAAAATTACAAATTAATTCAAGTAGGTAATCTTTTAACGGCTGCCATCTTTGACTCATTTGTCCTTTTGAGTATGGGTTTCAAGGTCATCAATTTTTATGTGCATCAACCTATATGCTTACATTAAGTTTTTTGTGATTTTTATGCTCAGTAACTGTCCTGAGCATGAAAAGTTACTACAGTACTCAGAAACTTAACAAGAAACTTTTTGAGCTTTATAAAGGTCTTAATTAGACAAAGACAACACCGCGAATTTCAGCTCAAAAAAAAACTGAGTAAAATGGTAAGTAAAATGGCAGTTCAAAGATTCAAAATTAAATTCAAGTTATCTTTAAACGGCTGCCATTTTTGACTCGGTTAGTTTGGGTTTCCGGCATTGTATTTTACTAACAAAGACCATCAGTTTGATGTGCATAAAAATTTATGCTTACATTTAAGATTTCCTTCTGACTCGATAGCAGGCTTGGAGGTAGCGTATCACTTCATAATTTGTTAAATTGATTTTCATGCTCAGTAACTTTGAGCCAAGTTTTGTAGCTCTACCTGTATTATTTTTTGAAATATTTAACTGTCCCGGAAATTTTTTTCCACCCTGTATACCTTCTCGAGTGTTGTGCTGGGGGATATGCTTTTAGTAGCGTTATAGATAAAGCGGAGTACAATTTCAGGTTGTCTGAGTAATCCAGCAAGAAGCAACTACATGGACAAATCTTTTGTTAGAAACTGGTAGAGATGTAAAATATTTGTGTAACTGAACTTTGCATTCATCAATGTGATTCAAAAATAAAATATTGTGATCAGAAAAGAATTTTAGCAGGAGTAATGGATTACCACTATCTGATATAAACCTGTTTGTAATACACTTTTTGTTAGTAAAAAAGTAGAGACTTAATTGGTAAGTAGGCCTATTTATTACCCGTTAAACAAATGATCTAGATCTCTTGTTGGGTTTGTTTGTTTGAGTTTTTTGCCGAAGCAATCTCGACACCTAGAAGCATCGGTCCACCCTAAATCATCATTTTAGTCTTAGTCCATTAAGTTCCATAAAACGTTAAGTATAGGTAGACTATAATTTCTTATTAAAGTGTCACTTAATCAATCAAATATGGATTATTAGTGAGTGGTGCAGTGAGTAAGCTATGTGTATCTCATGATATCTAATAATTTAAAATTACACAGTACCTGAATTGTAATTTTGTCTTGAGTCAGTTTTATATAATCTGTAGGTGGCATCTCATTATCTTTATAGTTATCCAGAAGAAACAGTAAGCCACTGTGTACTTTTATATTTAAAGTAAGTGCCTTCATTGTCTATGAACACTTTTACTAGATTTTTGACAAATTCACCCTGAAAGATATATTTTTTATCTTTAAAAACATTCAAGTTATGGTGGTGTTATCAAATCATAAATCATAAGTCTTTAAATCATAAATCTTTAAATCATAAATTATACCCTCTTCTACTCATGTGCAAATAATCAAACACTTGGTTAAAAAATAAAATTTAGCCAAAAAAATGTGTTACAGTACTTGAAAAAAGTTATAGAATATTAGAAAGTTAGACAAAAGACCCATCTAGGTACTATGTATTAGAAGAAAATTGAGTATACTTAATTATTATGAACTAGTGTATATCAATGGAAGAACAATGGACATCACAATTTTGCACAATACAGTAGCATTCTTCTCCCTCACTAATAGAATTCAATTCAAATTATTTGAGAACTGCTAATCCAATAGGTTTGCTGTTTTTCAAAAAGTGTTTTCAAGCTAACAGTTTACTAGTAGACACTAATCTCAAAATACAGAATTCAGTACCTGTGTTGCCTATAAGATTTTACAGTAACTCGACAGTTCAGTACCTATGTTTTGGGGTTTTGTGGATGAATATCAGATAATAATATTGATATTGATTCCAATAAATTGATGAACATGAACACGTAAAAATCAAAACTAGGGATATGAAATTATTTGATAAAACATATAATGTCATAACTAACCTTTTATAAAAAAATAAGCTATTCGGAAAACATCTGTTTTGTCAACAAGTTTTAATAAATCCTTCTCAATGAAAATATTAATGAACTGTAGGAGTATTACACCATTCTATGGATGTATTTTTAGATTATATATTTTGTATGTATATCTAGATACAGCTTATGGTTACCGGTACAACAGTACCGTCATAGATAAAAGTCCCTAAGGGGCTATGTTTTATCTATGGTACCGTATACCGTTTTTAATATGCTTGGGAAAAGATCGCAGTTGTATTTTTTCAGGCCGTCTCTATTAACCTTCCGCAAACTGATGGTCCTGACGTATTCGAGCTGGTTTTGCATTTAACCCATGACCAAAATGGGCCCATCGGTCTTTTTGATCAAATTAACATTTTCTTTTAGAAATACCCCCGATGCAGCAAACCTGTGGACTAAGCGAATTTCTATTTGCCTGGATTGATTTTCAATAAAGCTATTAAATTAACATTTAGTTTTAACGAGTACCTAGGAGTTGCTACAGGGAAACTAATAAAGTGTGTTTTTATTAAAATATCAATAGCTTAGTATGAAATGAATAAATCCGCCAAGTTTGATCAAAATATATCCATAAACAAGCCAACTACAACATTTTACAATATTCTCCATAAGAATAAGATGGGAATTTTAAATTAACAATTTTTTGAATTTTCTCCGTAACCATTCACCGTACAAAAACACTTTGATATACTAAATTATTTGTTTTTTTAAGCTCTTTAAAAAGGTCTGGAGAAAAATTGATAAATTTTGTGTTTTAAGGGTATAAAATGAGAAAACCCCATTTATACCCCATAAAACCCCCCGTTAAACCCCATTCCCATGGTCCGATCATGCTGGGGTTCACAAACTCATTCAAGTTTATCCCACCTTACACCTTCAAACAAAATTTTATCAAAATCGGACAAAAATTACTCAATTTATCGTCCGGACGGACACATATATACACACACACACACACACACATATATATATATATACAGGGTGAGTTTTAATTGTCCCCCCCCAACTTTTTTCTAAATTTTTTCAAATATCAATCCCAGACCACTTCCAAACATTGTTGGGTAGTAAGTACTTCATTTTGACAAGGTGGTCATTTCCGGCCGCCATCTTGGATCTGCCATATTGGATGCAAAATATTTTTTTCAAATGTAAAGGTGGGGTTGTGACCCATTATTTCGAACTAGATTTTTACCCTGATTACAATGCCACAAACCGTTTTTAAAAATCTTGATTTATTCTAAAGTTATGAGGGCTCTTTAAAACTTTATTTTTAGCCCATTTTAACATTATGCATGTACAAACTAAGACCATAATCTCAAAATAGTGCTAGATAAAGATAAGTATACACTACCAGTCATTGTTGACGTATTTTTACTTGGTTATGACTTATGAATATTTTTCGGCCGCCATCTTGGATCCGCCATTTTGAAATATGATAAATTATTTTAAATATGAAGGGGGTGTTGTGACCCATCATTTCGAACTACTTTTTTAAGTTAAACTCAATGCCGCTATTCATTTTTTGTTATCAAGTTTTATTTATGAAATATTGCAATATTTTTGTTAAAAATTTCAATATTTCAAAATCAAAATATGAAAATGAAAAACGGATCATTGCAAAGGCAAAGCTTGAGTATAACTGCAATAAGCAATTTATACTTATATGCCAACCCTGTACGAAGGACGGGTATTCTGCTAGTATATACATATATAAAAATTTGAACGAATGGTGTTTTTGGCCTCTGGGGACATCAAAATGAAAAAGTAAATCGGTCCCGGGCCTAGGTCTTACCATGAGACCTACGTTAATAGCTACTTCCCTATAGGGAAATTCGCTAAAAAAGGATAATTAAAGAAACCCAAGGAAAATAAGTGCATGATATGATATCTAAAAAGTTATATTTATAGAAAAACAGCATCATTTTACATTATGAAAATTATGTAAGGTTACACTTGGTAATCTTCTCTCTGTTCTCCAGAGGCCACACTAATGAGCTGAGCATATTCTCTAAATATAATTTAATAATATAATATAATATATCTCCAAATGTACATCTTGCAGCGAGCACACGAGTTCTTGGTTTTTCAAAATATTTTGGAAAGTTTTTACAAAATTCCTCAATGACCTTCAATGTTTGGTGCTGGTCGTCTAGCTGGTGGTGCCTTATTCGTTCAGCAGGGCTACACCTCTCACTTGTAGGATTTCTTGATGGTCTCTTTACAGTCAAGAGACCTGTTGAATCACTGCTCTTGACTTTAGATAGTCAACACAAATATCCATGGGCAAGTCTATTAAAAACTCTCTTCGGGTCGGGTTAAATTTTCCTCAATATTGAAATTTTAAGATAAACATTGGCGTTTATCGCCCCAATATTTAGTAACAAGGAAAAGAATGGTTTAAGCACATCAAGGACTGATTCTTGAACCAGGCCTGAATTCCCCTTTCTTCATTAGGGTTCAAGGTGAAAATTTTAAAAATACACTAAGACTAGGCACATTGGTGTTAACCAATTTAATAAAAACACGTTTGGGCGCTTTGGTACACTGTTTTTGTTACTGTGATAGGTAGTTTTTAACTAACCCCCTCCCCACTACTGCCATTTCGTAGCTCAACCATACAGAACCAAGTGAGGGGGGCCCTAGACTAGGGTGTGATGCGATCCGTGCTGAGAGTCTCGTGGCACTGGGGGCCTTATATTCAGTGTCTTAACGGAGCCTTCTGGGAACCAGGGGGAACCCAGTTGTATGTACCCCTTACTTCTCTAAATGGGCCACTGGGGAGGTGGACCTTAGATACCCGGTATTCGTGGGAACAACGTAGACGATCTGACCCTAATGGAGCAGGAAGGTCTACTGAAATCTGAACATGACGACAAGCTCGCAGAAACCGAAAAGGAACGAAAAAATCGACTTTCCAGGAGCGAGTTTGCGAAGACGGAGGATAGCGGATGCTATAGCCAAGGGAAAAAGGTGCTATCCAGAAGTGAGAGGAGGCTGGCGTGGGCTGCCAAGCACCCGAACCCTGCTCCCTGCAAAGCCAACAGTTCCTCTGGGAACCAGGATGCTGGGAAAAAAGCAGGGCGAGGGCGACACCCTCATAGCTGACTCTAGTGAAGCCTCTAGTGAAGTCTAGTGGCAAAGACGTCAGGATAGCCTTGCTCGCTGGCTGTGCTAACACAGCCCCAAAGGTTTGGCTGGTCAAGCAAGTTCAGGAGCTGAGTCCCTTCAGGGAAATCTCGCTACAGCTTGCCCCAGCCAGAGATCTTGTGAAAGCTGTGAAGGTATCAGCGTTTGTTCCCACCTCAAAATCAATGACCAAGAAGACCTAGAGCTGCAGAGTGACCTTGACACGGACCACTGGGCGGTTGTCGGGGGAAACTCAAACCCTGATGGTCATGATAATGGCAACATACAGTCAAAGAGAATGCTGCAGACACCTATCGGTGCGATAGCGGTAGATGCCCTTGGGCTGAAAAAGAAAACCCTGCTGAAGGTGGTTGGCCTTATCAGCGGCCATTGGGTATTCCGTGGACATTTTTTTTTTTTTATTTATTAAAAACGGCGATACACCAATACAAAAGTAATACAAATATGATAGGTTGAAAACAATGTCCAGTTTCACAGTTTGATTTAACACAGAATGAATTGAAAACAACTACATCCAACAAACAATCAAATTTTCAAATTAGTTCAAAAAAGGCAAGGTCGTAACATTTCATTTTTAGTAAGCAATAACAAATGAAGAATAAAGACTCCGAAAAAAGAATAACAATAACTTAAACTTTTATCTACACAAGATGGATATTCAAGTTGAAAGCCTCTTATGTAGGAAATGTGGAGAGGAGGAGGAGAAAGCCTTCCACGTGATATTTATGTGCCCAGCCCCACAAGGTCTGCGTATAAGATCCCTTGGCCTATCGACTGGAGATCAAAGGGAAGAAACGGTTGCCATAGTCAAAAAAGGATCTCATGGTTCACCAAGGACCTAGGATTTGACGGAGAATGAGGACCTGTGAATGAGGGTTTACAATAAATAAGCTGTTCCAGCTGCAATGCAATTCCATGGTCACTTGTAAACCTGGCCCTCTGTTAAAAAAAAAAAAAAACCTACGCTGAGGAGTATATAGGAGGGAGTGCCCCGGTCCGCTTCCCTCTTCCAGTAATAACAGAAATAGTACGTTTCGGTCTTTTCCACTAACAAGGTTAACTTTTTCTTGTATTCAATTGGTGTGATTTATGTTAATCTGTTTGTAAATTATCAATTAGAAATTATCAATCATTGAGATGGGGACGCCACCTAGGTGCGTATTTCAAGCCAAATATATGAGAGAAGAATGAGTGTATAATGGTGTGTGATGACCTGTGTAGCTTTGTTACTGACTAAGATCAGCGGTTTCATTAGTCAGGATCATTTATTTAAAGCCCAATGATCAGGAACAGCTGGGTCCAGTTTCGAACCATCAAAAAGAAATCTACTGACTTTTCTCAGGATCGAACCGGCGACCTTTTGATTACTGGGTGAGCACTATAACCACAACGGCACGGCCGCCTTTAAAGGCGGTCGTGATAACCACTAAGCTATACCCAGCCAGTCAGATAATAGGGAATTAAATAGGGCTATGTCAAAAATGAACTAAATAAAAAACATATATTTGCATCACCATAATTAATTATAACAATAATAATATATGACGTTGTAATATTTACACCGACTCAACCGTCATTTTACTCAACTAACTGCTTCCTGCTTCTTCTTGGTCATATCATAGACTAACTAAATGAATTATGTTTAATCTATGGTCTTAATATTTAATATGGACTTAATATATGTGATAGATATATAGATATATCATCTTACTGCTTCTATTCGTCTGCCTTCAGTGTGCATACATAGGCTAACGGGCTAACACAATAATAATAATAATTAATTAAAATTCTTCACTCCACGTTGGAGATCAATCGCAGAACTGTAGAGTTGCATAGTATCAATCAAGAAGAGCCTACCAAAGGGTAAAAAATGTTTTGGAGTCAGCTGTTATACTCAATCTGAATCGGGTCTGACTTAGGGGAGGTACAAATGAGGCATTTAGTTCAAAATTCCTCCGTGAACAGCGCTGTAGTAGAGAGCACTTTGGCAATGAAGGTTTACTAATCGCTAAAATAGTTCTGCTCATAAAATAAAATTATAAATGCCTCAAATTCAATTTTACTATTTTTTAATTATAAAATTAAACTATCATAACCTAACCGAACTAACCAAACTTGCTGATAAAGAAATAATATAACAAGAGTTTAGTAGTCGGAAAAATAATTCTGTTTATTAAATAAAACTAGAAATTGCTCAATTAAAATTTTATGACTTTATTATAAAATTAAACTGTAATAACCAAACCAAACCAACCAAACTTGCTGATAATAAAACAAATCTTGGACAAAAAGTTAATGCTTCCAGCGGGATTCGAACCCGGGACCTACAGTATATCAGCCTGGCACGCTAACCATTAGACCACCGAGGCCCGATGGCTATCGAAAGTTTTGTTACGGTAATGGCGTTCCCTCAGCTAATAAGAAGCCCTCAGCTGTCATCGTAGCCTCTTCTATACCTCCCCTGAGTAAATACCATCTGAATCTAGGATTCACTGGATTGAGAGGTTATGTTTTGCTTTTGTGTTTGAAATTTGACGTCAATTCAATTTACATACTTAATAATCGAGACAGGGTTCAGAGAGAGGCTTCTGAGTGACAATATCAAAAAGCCTGCTCAGCATTTTTACCTCAGATCGCATCGGAACTTTTAAGTAAAGAGTAAGTTAAGGCATAACTGGAAAATTAAACCCTGACTATGGCATCTAAGGAAGGTAAGGGAAAGAGAAACAGAATAACTTACAGTATTTTGAAAGGGATCAAATCGTTGAACCTTGATATTAAGCCTATCTCTTTGACATTATTAAAGAATATAAATTGTGTATCAACAGTCAAGGCCAATCAATGTTTGTAGGATTCTAGCTTAGCTTGTTCTCTTTTTATGAGAAGAAGAATCTTATTTTTTGAACAATATTGCTGCAAAGTGAACTAGGCCTATTTTCTTCAGTACTTATACTTAACACTAAGTAGGCCTAATACCGAAACCCTAGCTATGCTGACGCTAACCGAAACCCTCAGTCTGTGAGGCCCTATTTGAAAATTATGGAACCCGCTTAGAAACACACAAACCAAAACCCTGGGCCTGTGAGACCCCGCTTTAAAATACACTAATGCTGGGCTTCTGAGACGGGCATGCGACTGTGTGAATCATGAGATAGGTACTCTTAGAAAAATTAAGTATGCATGGAATAAAAAATACTGAATTAAAATGGTTCATATCATATTTAAAGACCCGAAAACAAAGACTTATTTTACAAAAAATGCAGAGAAATTATAAATCAGAGTGGAACATTAACCCCAATGGAGTTCCTCAGGGCTCCATTCTCGGCCCTTGTTTATTTATTATTTATGTTAATGATCTATGCAATGCTACTAAGATGTTCACCTTTCAATACGCAGATGATACCGCTTTAATTTGCACAGGACAAAACAATGAGTTCATTCAAGCCTCAATAACTAAGGAATTTCAACTCCTTGGGGATTGGTTTGCAGTAAATGGCCTGTCCATGAATGTGGCAAAAACTCAACTAATTAAGTTTTCTGCATCCAATATTAACCAAGAAATAATTGTAAATACAAACTTAACTACAATTCATTCACAACAGTCAATAAATTATTTGGGAATAGAAATCGATTCACAACTAAATTGGCAAAAACACATTAAAAACCTATCAAAAAGACTACGCTCAGCAACATTTGTTCTCACAATAATTCGGGATACTACTAATCTAGAAACACAAATAGTAGTATATCACGCATATTTTTAATCGATTATGAATTATGGAATTACTGTATGGGGCTCATCAAGCCAGGCCAAAAAAAGATTTATTCTCCAAAAAAGAGCTGTAAGATTAATGGCCAGAGTCTCCCGTAGAACACATTGTAAAGATTTATTTATTAATTTTAAAATTTTAACTTTTTTTAGCTCTTATATTTACAAATTGGCATTAATGGTTAAAAGTGATTTCGACACATTCATGGACTGTCAACAATCTCATCCACATAACACAAGATTCAAAAATATTATAAAACCAGTTCAACATAGGCTTAAAATCTTTCATTTATCCCCTCAGTATATGGGACCAAAAATTTACAATAAATTACCTAATGGGATTAAAAACATTGCCTCATTCTCTAAATTTAAACTATCTTTAAAAAATTTCCTTTTGGAGAGGGCATTTTACTCGTTAGAGGAATATCTGGAAAATGAGTATATTTGAAAGATATTTTTTTTTTTTTTTTTTTTTAATAGAGGGCCAGGCTTACAAGTTACCATGGGATTGCATCGCAGCTAGAACAGCTTATTGTGCACCCTCGTTCACAGGTCCTCATTCTCCGTCAAATCCCAGGTCCTTGGTGAACCGTGAGAGCCTCTTGACTATGGTGACCTGTTCTTCCCTTTGATCTCTCATCAATAGGCCAAGGGATCTCATACGCAGACCTTGTAGGGCTGGGCACCTAAATATACCTTCACAGCTTTCACAAGGTCTCTGGCTGGGGCAAGCCGTAGCGAGATTTCTCTGAAAGGACTCAGCTCCTGAACTTGCTTGACCAGCCAATCCTTTGTGGCTGCGTCAGCACAGCCTCCACCTTTCTTCCTGGAGGCTTCATTAGAGTCAGCTTTGGGGGTACCACCCTTGCCCTGCTTTTTCCCAGCATCCTAGTTCCCGGAGGAACTGGCTTTACAGGCAGCAGAGTTAGGGTGCTTGGCAGCCCACACCAGCCTCCTCTCACTTCTGGATAGCACCTTTTCGCCTTTGGCTAAAGCATCCGCTATCCTCCGTCTTTGCAACTCACCCCTGGAAAGTCGTTTTTCGTACGAGGGGTCTCATACGCAGACCTTGTAGGGCTGGGCACATAAATATACCTTCACAGCTTTCACGAGGTCTCTGGCTGGGGCAAGCCGTAGCGAGATTTCCCTGAAAGGTCTCAGCTCCTGAACTTGCTTGACCAGCCAATCCTTGTGGCTGCGTCAGCACAGTCTCCACCTTTCTTCCTGGAGGCTTCATTAGAGTCAGCTTTGGGGGTACCACCCTTGCTCTGCTTTTTCCCAGCATCCTAGTTCCCGGAGGAACTGGCTTTGCAGGCAGCAGAGTTAGGGTGCTTGGCAGCCCACACCAGCCTCCTCTCACTTCTGGATAGCACCTTTTCGCCTTTGGCTAAAGCATCCGCTATCCTCCATCTTTGCAACTCGCCCCTGGAAAGTCGTTTTTCGTTCCTTTCCGGTTTCTGCGAGCTTGTCGTCATCGTCAGATTTCAGTAGACCTTCCTCCTCCATTTGGGTCAGACTGTCTACATTGTTCTCACGAATACCGGGTATTTAAGTCCACCTCCCCAGTGACCCGATTAGAGAGGTAAGGGGTGTGTACGACTGGGTTACCCCTGGTTCCCAGAAGGCTCCGTTAAGACACTGAATATTAGGCCCCCAGTGCCACAAGACTCTTGGCACGGATCGCATTACACCTTAGTCTAGGGCCCCCCTCACTTGGTTCTGTAGGTGGACCAACACCCAGTGGCAGAAGGTAGCTCTCCGCAGCTAACAAGTGAGAGTTGGGGTTTAGGTTGTGGCCAATCTGCCGAACCAACCCCGCATGCGAGGTTTGGCCGGAACGGGGCGAAATTTTCTCCCACTCACTAAACCCCCATACCTTCCTTTGAAAGATATTGCTTCTCCCATAGGTTTGTAGCTTATTATATGCTTTATTTCTTTTGTAAGCTATTTTATTTTAAAATGTAGTATAGTATTAGTATTAGACTTTGTGACAAATCACCTGTCAAGAGAATTGATGTAATGTGATGATGTTTAATAAATAAATAAATGTTATGAACAGACAACCTGTCAAGGTCACGGCACCCATGCAAAATGAACAAACAATATATCAACAGGTAGGGGAGGAAAAGGGGGGAAGGTATTGATGGAATGAAATCCTCCAAGTAAACAGTGTTGCCAACATGCGTTTGTGAAAATTCCCTTGGGCCTGTCAGACCGCGGGGTTTCGGTAAAAGTGTTAAGTTAGCATGGCACCTTTTACCCAAACTCACTGTAAACGGAATAACTTTGCAATATCAAGACAAAATCAAAAGTCTTGGATTGCTGATGAAACACACAAATTGGCTGACTGACACGGTGGTAAATACTTGTAAAAAAGTGTTTGCCGCTGTTCACACACTGAAAAAGATGCAACGACTCCTTCCTTTTCATATTAAACTCTTACTGGTCAAATCACTTGTGTTTCCACTCTTCAATCAGCCTACTGCAACACTGTGGTGAATGATATGTGGCTTTGGCAACAAAATTATTGTATTCGATTTCTATTTGATCTTTAAAAGGCATGACAACCACGACACATCCTATTACATAAATGAATCAATTTTGAAATTAGATGACATCAGAACAATCCGAATACTTTCAATCACTCATTCAGCCATCAGTCTTGGAATTCCAATGCAAAGAATTTTAAATTTTTGAATGAAAGAGGCGCAAGGGTTACTCGCTCTGGCTCGTCCAGGTTGCGCATTCCTCACAGAACAACTGTTTATAATAAATCATTTGTAGTCACAGCATGCCGCCTATGGAACTCCATAGGCCCTACCCGATGCCATTAAATCCATAGAAAACCGATGACTGAAGGTGACACTGAAAGACTATTACCTCAACTTAATGGTAGTGGCGTGGCGGGATGAGTGTATGTGTGTGTGACTGTATGCTAGTGAAAAAGAAGAAATGTACCGGTATCTTATGTTATCTTAGTTTTTCTTATTTTATGAAATTGGCATTTTACTGTTGTTCTGTCATTATTATTACACTACCTATTGGAGGTTAAACTGTAGGAAAAGACCATGAGGTCCTAAGTTCGCCTCAATAAAGAAGCATTTTCATTTAATTTAATTTTATTTCACTATTAAGGTGGCTGCTAAACATCTAAAACCTGTGACATATTTCATTAAATGATACAGAGGGCGAGGAAGCCTCAGGAGGATCTGACTCCAGAGAGCCGAGCCGAGAAGGACCATCAAGCTCACAAGGATATGACGATGATGAAGGAACTGTGGAACTGGTCCGGCGCTACCTTGCAGAGAAGTTAGGGTTTTATAAAGAAGACAAGGAGAAAGAAGATGTACCTAAGGTATTTACTGTAGCCTATTGTAAATAGTTGTATAGTAATATATCTAGAGGATGCAGTGGAGTTTAAAGACAACTGCTAACCGCAAACAAATCGTAAACGCTATCATGACCTTCATAGGCCTAGAAACAATAAAATTATAAGGCCTATGATTTTTAGGCTATGGCTTTACTCTGTCAGTAACTTAGTCAAAATTATGTCAACATTTCAATAACTTATACAGTGGCGGAGCCAGGTTTTGAGGTGTAAAAATTGCTTAAATGCCCCTCTCTCCCAAACATCAAACATCACCATACATAGGTATCATTTCCCTCTAAATGGTCTTTGCAGATATTTTGTTTATGAGTAAAATATGAATTAATATAGGCCTATTTTTAATGTAAAGTTGGCTAATAGAAAGAAGGGACGTTTTCTCAAATAAAGCAACAGACAGGTATCGCCTGCATCTTCCTGTAAAGATTGTTTAACAACTGTAATGGTTGTTCTACATTTTATTTTGGACAAACAGAGAGGTGAATTTCTTGCCGATTCAAAGAACTTACCATATTCAGGCAATAAAATCAAACAACAACAAATGTTACGTCTTTATTTTCTGAAAATATTTTATTGCATAACCTAACTTATGGAAAAATAGAAGAGAGTGTCATAGAGTAGTCCTATAGTCAAAAAAGTGAAAGGATGAATGTTAAGAAAGAATTGTACATTTATCTCAGAAGAACTGTAGACATAGATAGATTACTATATATAGCTATATATACTCGTGATTCATAATGGGACAATGAAGCTAAATAATAAAGGGTATCCAAAAAAGAATTACATCATTTTAAAAGGTCAAACTAAAAGATACCTAACATGGCCATTTAGATGTCAAATTGGAGTTAAAATACCTTACTTAGTTTTGTTTTCCGTGAAGCAAGGGAGGAAACCTTAATCTTGGCATGCGCTAAACAGATGCGTGGTGGCAGGCTACCATTGTGACTTATACGCCTGACGCCAGCGGAAGAAATCTGACAATCCTAAATCGGAATCAAAAAATAAATTGCTCTAAGAAAGTCTTTATATAGTCAAACATACCTAATGTTATTCAACATACTAGTGGTATTCGCAAGAGATTGAGACTTCATGTCTATAAAATTCAGTCAAGAATCAGTTTAAACCTGCTGATCACTCTAAGCTTACAGACTTTGCCAGATTAATGCTCATATAAGATTGATAACAATCCGAGTTTCGTTACATTTTTTCAAAGTTAATCAAAATGTATAAAAATGTTTCTTATTTTACCTTCTATTTGGCATCTAAATGGTTTAATTATCTTTGCCAAGCAACGGCTGTTAAAAATTCTGGCATTCTTTTTCTGATACCCTGTATAATCAATGAATAAGAATAATTCTGTTTCTTTAGATCCGCTGTATGAAATAGTCACTGCTTCATTTTAGCAAAATCTAACAAAACTTATTTTTACTACTTGGTGTAATTAAATTAATTTCTTTGAATAATTTAGGTAGGTTAAGGGGTTAAAATTTCCTATGCTAGGTAGGGTACTGTACTCACTATACGTAGTACAGTGTATAAGTGGTGCTATAGTCCAGTAGTTTTCACATGAAAGACTATGTGACATACTCACAAATATCTAAACTTTCACATTGTTAATATTATAAGATAAGATTTCTGTGAGTTAACTTCTGGTATCTATTTTGCCTATTTGAGTATAATGTTTATTCAATTTTTTTCAGGTGCTAGAAGATGTATCAGTTGATGGAATCGTTAAATTAATAAAAGAGGGAAAGTGTAAAAAAATTGTAACTCTGGCTGGTGCCGGAATATCAACATGCAAGTATTGTAATATTGAATAATGATAAAGTTAGTCTAGCATTTACCTAATCAAAAACTCATGTCTAGTCTACTGGAAACATAAGTTGGCTAACTGCAAAGGATGCAAAGTGATCATTATTCACGTAGCTAAGATAAACTATATCTAAGGGTCTCGATCCCGGGCCTTCAATCCAATCCCGAGATATCGGGATTCATCTCAGCCGATCCTGGGATCAATCCCGGGACTATATTATTTTATGATTTTAACTTTTTAGCCATTTTAAATGAGCGAGAAGTCCCCTCGTTGAGTCTTTTAAGGGAAGAATCACGAATAGCAGCGTAAAAATGTTATTTTGACTGACAGCAATGACTAAAACAATATAAGGTACTGTAAAGCAATAAACCATCTGCTTATGTAGTAGCATGTGTATGAAAAACATAATTTAGGATTGTAACAAATTTCATCACCACACTAATAACAGTAAATAACCAAATACAAAGATAGTTATAGACCTTATACTTAAGCAATCTTAATAATGAAATTATAATGGTGTGTTTATAATTTTTAGGGCTTCAATGTTATCAAGAAAATAATACTTCAATTACCGATTGCCATGCTATGTTTGCCACACGAATTGCGTTGTTTGCGTTTAAAATCAAAAGTAAAACTCAAAATAACTTATAGGCCTACTGTAATTAAGTTCTAACTAATGTAATAACATTTACAGAAAGTAAATCCTATTTGTCTAAAAACATAAAACATATATTTACATTCGTTCGCCTATTGAGATTAATGATAATCAAATTTTCCAATCAAAATAGGTCACAACTACCATTTCATATATATGTTTATCGTCCAAAAAATAAACAGTAGGCCTATATGTGTTTCAATCAAGTGTTATTGGACGTATTTTTTTTATTTTCCGTAAGTAAAACTCCTCATATTCATCTATCTATATATATAAAATCCAATGTATGTTTGTTTGTTTGTCCTTTATGGACTCCGAAACCGCTCAACATATTGTAATGAAACTTTCAGGCATTATTAAGCATTATTCAAGGATGGTTTGTGTGAAGTTTGGTGCAGATCCGTCAAAAGGGCTCCGCCCCTGTGGCTCTGGAGTTTTCCATGATAACCTTATGAGTACTCATATTTAAATGGAATTAAAGAATCTTAATAGCTGGTTCAACTAAACAATTTGATTCTGTGGTGTTCAATAGCATTAAAAAGTTAATAGGTTTACCAACAGGGTGCAGCACTATATTTATTTTTAATTTATGAGAACAGTTAATTTGCAACCAAAAGGTGAGTGAGCGTAGCGAACAAACTTCAACCTGGAGGTGAGTTAGCGTAGCGAACGAGCTAACCTGAAGGCAAGTGAGCGCAGCGAACGAGCTCCAACCTGAAGGTGAGTAAGCGTAGCAAGCGAACTTCAACCAGGACGTGATTGAGTCATGCGAACGAGCTCATCTTAAAAATGAACTAGCTTTGACATAAAACCACATTAGGACAGGACGACGTCTGTTGGGCCAGCTAGTAAAAAATAAATATAAACATAGGTTTTGCAATCCCGTTAATCCCGGGATTAAAAGACACCAATCCTGGGATTTCTAGGTATCAAAAATCGACCGGGATCCTGGGATTGAGACCCCTAACTTTATCGTTACCAAGGTTTTAAAATCGTCCTTTATAAAAGGAGATAACAATACATTAAGTTTACTTAAAATGGTTTACAATACCTGCATATAGTAATCCTTTGTTACTGTTTCGGCAACTAGTTTCGGTTCTTCTGAACCATCACCAGGCCTCAAGATGTCAAGTAATCACTTCATTCGAAGGTCATTAACAAACAGAGTTCAATAAATAAAACATTTAAGACACATGATAACATAGAACGGACACACGTTTACAAGAAACACGAAACACACGAAGGGACATTGACAAAATCGATCGTGACCGGGCTGAAGTAAAGTCTAGACTGGCGTTCTCAGACTAACTCTTTAAAAAAAATTAAGTTTATTATAAGATCAAATGTTTTTTTTTAGAGAATTTCCCATATAGGGAATAAGCTATTACCATAGGTCTCATGGTAAGACCTGGACGCGGGACCGATTTACTTTTTCGTTTTGAGGTCCCCAGAGGCCAAAAACACCATCCGTTCAAATTCATACATATATATATATATATATGTTTATATATAATAAAGAAAGCATACTAACTCAGTACCCTGAAATTATTTTTATTTTTAAAACTCTACATGTTTCGACCTTTAGGCCATTTACAAGAGTAACCATATATATATATATATATATATGTTTATATATATATATATGTTTATATATATATATATATATATATATATTTATATATGTGTACAAAAATTATCCGATTTTGATGAAATTTGGTATAAACAAGTAAACCTACATTTATTCGAACAAGTTAGCGAACCAGCATGATCGAACCATGGGAACGGGGAATTATGGGGGGTTTTATGGGGTAAAAATGGGTTTTCCCATTTTTGACCATAAAAACATAAAATTTTGGAAATTTTTTCTCAACCATTTTGTAGATTTTAAAAAAGAAATAATTAAGTTCATTGAAGCATTGTTGTATGCCTAATGGTTACGGAGAAAATTAAAAAAAGTGCAAATTTAAAATTCCCATGTTATTCTTATGGAGAAAATGAAAACTGCTGTAGTTTACTTGTTTATGGATGTTGATCAAATTTGGAAAATTAATTTATTTCATCCTATACTATTGACGTTTGGTCAAAAAACATTGTTAACATTCCCCGTAGCAGCAAACCTAAGCACTCGTTAAATCTAATGTTATTTAAATTGGGATTATGTCTTATTTATGGAAATATTTTAGTAAATATGTAATCAGACAAGTTGAAATTCGCTTAGTCTGCAGGTTTGCTGCGGCGGGGGATGCATTGCACGACGTCCAAGTGCCACGACGTCCAATAATATTTATTCAGTGCCACGACGTCCAAAACATAATTTTTGAGTTGTTGCACGACGTCCAAGTGCCACGACGTCCAAGAGTACAGTAACTGCCAAAAATATAGTCTTTCTACAAGCTTTGGACGTCGTGGCACTTGGACGTCGTGAAACAGCGCACTATAGGATTGTAAAAAAGTAACATTTGCACGACATCCAAAGTCGCTGCCAGTTGCACGACGTCCAAGTGCCACGACGTCCAATAAACATTTGACTGTTGCACGACGTCCAATATAGCTCAGCGCTGTTGCACGACGTCCAAGCTCCTTCATGATGACCGGTTACGATGACCGGCTACTTGCCGAACAGTGTTCTCTCGTGTAAAATGCTTATGGAACCTTTATTAGTTATATATACATGGGTATATGTTCTTGTTTAGAAATATATATACTATGAATATTTGTACCATTAATTGAAACATCATAAAGTAAAAAAAAACATAAAAAGAAATGATAAACAAGGCAACAGTTGGAAAACTATAAGGCTTACATGGTTTGAAAAATGATGACATTTTGTTAACAACCGATAAACTTCATTATGTTTGGAGTAAGCTTTTAAATACTTATTTTTTCAAGACTAGATGAATGTACATTGATCAACATGATCTTTGAAAACTATTTTTTATACCCTCATTTTAATTTTTACTAGTATAAAGAATAGAATGCCTTTTTCAAACTGTTTTTAGGCTTCAATTAAATGTTCTTATGTCGCAAATATGCTTATTAATAGTATTCACTTAACATTGAATTAATTTTATTTCAATAAATTTTGTGTTTGTGTTTTGCTACACCACTGCAACGAAAAAAAACCAAAATTTAAATTTATTTAATTTAAATTGCAACCAATGAGAATATCATATAAATAAGTTGTTCACAGGGTTCTTTTGTTTCCCCAACTCTAAAATACAACGCACATGAATTGAAAATGTTATGGGTTTTAATAGTACTGTAGCAAATCGAATATCAATAATGTTAACGTATAACAATAAATTTACATATTCCTAGATATTCCTAGGAACACCACAGCCTCAAAATTCAACATTACAGTATATTTACTCAAGATTTATTGTTTTCATATAGCACAGTTGATGTTGCCAACTAGCGTGGGAGCGGAAGTCCTGATAAAGGCTGGTTCTCGGAAAAGTAATAAACTTGTAGTTTGAATGAAACATTTTTTTTATTTTGTACAGGATTCATGGGATCCTCAGCATAAAGTACAAACCACATACAAACTGCAAAATGTGTGTCGAAGGTCTGATTAGACCTTCCGAGGTTTAGACCTTCATCAACTGATCCGTTTTTTACCTTCCTTTAATTTATTCTTTTTCATGTTGTGCTTCTTGTAACATACATAGACTAGAGGGCCGCTCATGCCCTTGACAAATAAATTAACATTTTCGCACAAATACAAATCAATATCGTCATTAGACAAGAATGAAAAAATAAAATTTATAAACAAAACCTACCACGGCATATTCTTGAACAAGTATGCCTACAAACCTACGATAAGCATGTTTGTTATTATTATACTTAACCTACAAATGCTATGACTTTAGGGCATACCTGCTTTCCTAGATAAAATATCCGAACTAATTGCGAGTGCAATGTGAACTTAGAAAAATACTAGTAAGAATTTACAACTGTGAATTTCTCAGAATTGATTGACAGTTCAGACGAACCTATGGCCACAGACTACGGAAACCTACAGTATTATATTGTATTAGTATACTGTATTTGTATTATTGTGTTACTAGCAGAGTACCCGTCCTTCGAACGGGGTTGGCATATAAGTATAAATGCTTATTGCAGTTATGGGAGAGGACACGATTAAAAAAAAAAAATGGTCTTTTAATTTATACGGTATCCTATAGTGTAGCACACATCTACCATAGTCCTGATGTTCTACCACTGCACCTAAGCCATGGAAAAAAGTAAAGTTCTCATTGTGTACCACAACTTTTTTATGCTAGTTGGTTCAAATTAGCTGTGGTCATTAATGCAAACAAACAACATAATAGTGCTGCACCCTGTTTGGCAAGCCTTATAACTTTTTAATGCTGTTTAATATCATAGAACCAACTTGTAAAGTTGAAACGGCTGACAAAATTCTTTAATTTCTTTAAATATGAATATTCATAAGGTTAACATGAGAAAGTCCAGAGCCAGAACCACCGGGGCGGAGACTGAAAGAATTTTTGAGGTAAGAATATGTTAATCGGGGATGTCATCTATCATCATACCAAATTTCAACCTTGTCGGTTTAGGATTTTTCGTGTTTGCTTGTCACAAACATCCATCCATCCATCCATACATCCATACATCCATGGTTTGCACTGTAAACATAAAGCTATCACAATAGTTCCAAACCGACAAATAGAAAAATAGGAAAATATAAATAAATATGGAAAATAGGGTAATTTTCTAACATATTTTAGTGAAATTATATAATCAGGCAAATGGAAATTCAGTCTACAGATTTGCTGTGGCAGGGGGATTATATCACGGTTTACACAAAAATAAATCAAAACATAAACCTCATAACACTCAGAAAAAGGGCCTATAGGTTGATAGGGCAACGATTATAGAATCTTAATTATTTCCTATATCCATGATGAAAGATGTCTTTTAAAACGAATTATTCCCTGTAAAATATTATTACAGCATTTCACAAAAATAGAACAGACTCAGTATAATAGGTCATAAACATAAACAAATGAAGTAACTGAAAGAATCATATGCTAATTAAATTACATTAACATACGGTTTGACAGCTACATTTATTTAAGTAATGTAAAATAATGTTTACATTCGGGCTAGTAACATCATTATTCTTAATTTATAATCCTTACCCTCTCTGTTCTAATATTCGTGCATTATTTAATATGTTTGAACCAGCTGTGTGGAATTGTGAAATCAAAATTCATTTGACAGTTAGTCTGGTTGTTTACATTTTTAAATTTAAATTAGGTGAACCGACATATCGGCCCTCTGATCATCAAAAATACCAGACCTTCATGATTTTTTCGTTACGAAAGGTGTATCCCGAGATTGTGTGACAATCGAGCAATCTCTGGACCTTTCCTCAGACCACTCACCTGTAATTTTAACGATCGCTTCAACTGTTATATCCAAACCTATTCCACCACATTTATGTAACAAAAATACAGATTGGAATTATTTTCGTGAATTAATAAATCAAAATTTAAAGATTTCTGTGTGTTTGAAGAGCGAAGAAGATTTGAATCTTGCTGTTGAACATTTCAACAAAACAGTTCAAGACTCCGCTTGGAGAGCAACTCCAGACCAGAATAAACTTAATATAAAATCTGGAATAAGCTATCCAATTGAAATTAATAGGAAAATTGCCGGAAAACGCCGACTCTGTAGAATATGGCAAAACTCTAGAGACCAGACGGATAAAAGAAATCTAAACAGGCCCACTCAACAACTAAAAAGGTTACTGTTTAAATTAAACAATGGGAGATTTCAAGATTTCACATAAAACCTTTCTCCATCTGAAGCTAGTGACTACTCCCTTTGGAAAGTTACAAAAAACCTAAAACGTCCACAAATTTGCATTCCACCTATTCTTAAAGAAGACGGTTCTTGGGCCAAAAACAACACCGAGAAAGCAGATGTCTTTGCTTCATACTTCAAAGAAGTGTTCAGACCATATAATATAAATTCAAACGTTGAACAAGAAATTTTGGAATTCCTCGATTCTCCAAATCAACTTGATTTTCCGATAAAATTGTTTACACCATCTGAAGTAGCTAAAGTAATAAAAGACAATTTAAACGGCAAAAAAGCCCCCGGTTATGATCTGATATCAGGTAAAGTGTTGAAAGAGCTGCCTAGAAAAGGAATAGTATTCCTTACAGTACTTTCCAATGCAGTTTTACGCCTCCAATACTTCCCAATACAGTGGAAGGTTTCACAAATTGTTGTTATTCCGAAACCTGGTAAACCTTTAAATCAAGCATCCTCGTATCGGCCTATATCTCTTCTTCCCGTGGTTTCAAAAGTTTTTGAAAAACTTTTTTTAAAAAGACTGCAAATTATAATTGACGAAAAAGAATTGTTGCCTTCCCATCAGTTTGGATTCCGCCGAAAGCATTCCACTAACGTCTTGAAAATAAACGATCTTGAAGATCTTGAAAATAAACATTTTTTGTTCATCTGCTTTTTGGACGTAGCCCAGGCGTTTGATAAAGTCTGGCACACAGGACTATTGTTCAAAATTAAAACTTTGCTGCCCCATACACACTATGGAGTGTCGAAATCGTATTTGTCCAAACGCTTTTGTCAAATTAAATATCAAGATGTAGTTACAGATGTGCATGAAATTGAATCAGGTGTACCACAAGGCAGTGTTCTTGGACCTATTTTGTATACATTTTGTTCACGTATGACCTTCCAAGTACTCAGGGTATTACAGTTGCAACATTTGCAGACGACACTGCTTTTTTTGTCATCAAATCAGGATCCTATTCTAGCATCATCAAAGCTTCAGGCCTCAGGCTGCATTAGACGATTTGTCTCAGTGGCTACAGAATTGGAAAATTAAAGTAAATCAAACAAAATCCGTTCAAGTTACATTTACTATGTATACAAGAACTTGTCCCCAAGTAACATTGAATAATGTAATGCTTCCACAATCCAATGAAGTTAAGTACCTTGGTATAAAAAAAATAAATTTTGTAGGTTTGCTCTTGTTACCATGGATACCATCAATCAATATTTTAAGATCTCTCACCTCAAATTTTTGAAAGCCCACGGGGCAGAACCCTAGAACAATAACGAAGAGGGAATAGTTGTATAATATATATCCTCGGAGCTGTAGCTTCATTTGAGTGTAATTTTGAGCCCAGTCGGTTCAGTACTTTTTGAGATTATCTCATACAAACACAAACACACACATACACCAAGACACACATACACACAGACACCACCTCTTCTTTATAATAGATAATAGTATAGATAGATAGATAGATTACTATTATAGTATTATATATTATCTGTGCTATGGCTAAAATACGTTTTTATTACTGCATCAGCTGGAGAAACTCTCTGAATATCTGCTTCAACCATTTGTTGTCAAACATTGATCTCGTCAAATAATGAAATTATTTTTCGTATACACTAATAGAGCTAATGTACTAAAAGAAAACCTTCTTTTAGTTTAAAAAATAAATGTTTAACAGGAAACAATTTTAACCATTGTAGTAACACCATTGTAGCTTAAAAAGTTGATAATTGATAGTTCACATAATATTTAGCACATTTGACGGATAAACCACACTTTGGACCTCGTGGCACTTGGACGTCGTGCAACAGTCAAATATTGATTGGACGTCGTGGCACTTGGACGTCGTGCAACTGGCAGAGGCTTTGGACGTGGTGCAAATGATACTTTTTTACAATCCTACAGTTCGCTGTTTCACGACGTCCAAGTGTCATGACGTCCAAAGCTTGTAGAAAGACTATATTTTTGGCAGTTACTGTACTTTTGGACGTCGTGGCACTTGGACGTCGTGCAACAACTCAAAAATTATGTTTTGGACGTCGTGGCACTGAAAAAATATTATTGGACGTCGTGGCACTTGGACGTCGTGCAACACTCCCGCGGCGGGGGTATTTTGTTATTTTTTTTACATAAATTGAAAATAAAAGTAGTTATGTTAAAGCATTTTCTATATGTTTTTGACCTACTCAAGTTTTTTAATAGTTAGTAAAATTGATCAATTAGTTTCTTCCTTTAGTAAAAATTAAATCATTAATTAATGTTTAAAAAAAATGTATTTTGCTTTTGAGCCTTAAGCTGTCATGTCTAGGAAGATACCTACTAATTCCAAACTTACTAGTTCCAATTATTAAGTTAAAATTATTTATATCTATTGACCAAATGTTTGTTGCAGCTGCTGGTATTCCAGACTTTCGATCACCTGGTTCTGGTCTCTACCACAACTTGCAGAAGTATAATTTGCCTAACCCTCAGGCAATATTTGAGATAGGGTTTTTTCGGGAAAATCCTCAACCATTCTTTACACTTGCCAAAGAATTGTATCCCGGCAGCTTCAAGCCCACTGTGTGCCACTACTTTATAAAACTCCTCCATGAGAAAGGTGTTCTTCTAAGGCACTATACACAGGTTAGTTCTGATTAGAATACATTTTGGTTTACCTCACTGAGCTGGAAATAAACTGGACTGGAGGTAGCACTGGCACGGCAACTGTGCTAGAAAATTGACACGCTGTAAAATTTGGTTATGTTGGTACCATCTAGAGGAATCAAGCAGCTCATTGGCTCGTGGCTTTATCCCACAATCTCCTGTTCTTAAGTAGTGTTCTCTATTACCTAGTTGAGTTCTAATGTACTAAGTACAATCTACTTTACCCCTAGTACATATGGCGGTCAAAGTCCCTCAATTCTCTCATTCAGTGCTACCTCCAGTTGTATCTCTAGCTCAGTGGTGTGCTTGGACAGTACTACCATCTCCCTTATCAAGTTCACATTTCTCTGTCAATGTTTCGGTTTGTCAACTTTTCAACATTTTTAAGTTCTTGGAGTATACTATAACATTTAGTTGTTTATTTTATGTTTCCCTCTTAATCCGTTATTTTTTTTTAATCCTACCACTTATTGGACGTTGTGCTTTGGTAGATTGTATCTTACATTTTCAATCTTTTACTGCCCTTTTTTGTATTTTGGACAAGTTTTAATCCTGTTTGGTCATTCAACAGACAATTTTCAATTGAAAATTCAGCATTATTTGAATGCATAGTTGTGTTTTCTGTATGCCAGAAATAAAATTGGAACACAAATTTGGGTTTTCTCTCATTAATAAAATGTTAGCACTGTTTCAGAGACTCAACAAAGTGAAATTTGTTAAAATAATCATTAAAAACGTTTTAGGCATCACATACAGCTTGATATGCAGCTGGATTGTTACAGAGCTCACTGGTTTAGTTCCGAGAAAAGTAAGCTCGGCTTTTTGATGGCTCAAAACTGGACCCAGCTGTCCTCTACAGTATAGTGCAAATACAGACATATTACAAAAATCATATAATGTAACACTAAAATTGTATTCTACGTGTTTCCTTAGATATAGATTTTAGTCTTCTGATCGATTTAATTTATATACATATATTTAATTTGTATATGTTGATAGAACATCGATACATTGGAGAGAGTGGCCGGCATGCCTGGAGATAAAATTATCGAGGCCCATGGGACATTTTACACATCACATTGTCTTGATTGTAAGAAGGAGTACTCTATGGAATGGATGAAAGGTATTTAGGCGTACTTCTCTTAGGGTATCCTATGTTTGATATTAATATTGCTGAATGATGTTTTGGGATGGTCTCATGTTTTATGTCTAGTCTAGTATACTTTTAAAATCTACAATATTAAATTTTTAAAAAATTTTGTCAATAAGTTGAATGAAGAGTCATATAAAATGGTGGCCAATAATTGTAGGCTACTGGTTGCCTGATGGTCATATTATACAGAAATTCAACTCAGGCTCATTGCAAACCAAACACTTCAAAAATTCTATTTGACCAATTTTACAAACTAACCTGTTTCTCTATCTTGAGATTACATTAGGTTAAGTTGTATTACCATCCATACTTGTGTAAATTTATAAGGTATTCTATAGTGTATCACACATCTACCATAGCCCCAATGTTCTACCACTGCACCTAAACCATAGGAAAAAGTAAAGTTCTCATTGTGTACACAACTTTTTGGCCCGGCAGAATGGTTCAGTCTTATTGTACTGCTGTTGTTGTATTCGGGCGAATGTGCCACGATGTTTCTACCAAACAAAATGGTATGAACATATCTAGCAACAACCTCTTATCAGTCATTACAATATATTGATAGGCAAATTGTGTGGTCACCTATTTTGATGAACTGATATCCCGCTCTTCCAAGTCGTCCTCTTTCTCTTAGTAGTAGGGTCAAAAGGACGTATGATGTAATTGAATGTGATGTTAACTTTTTGGGCACTCTTTTCATAGGTAAGCAAAAATGGTGTGTGCCTTAATGAACCTCTTCAAGTCATTGATCTTCCTTTTTCTACCAGTTGTTTATAAATAAATATTGGGGTTTTAATGCTTTATAACTTTTATACTATTAAACTTACTGCTATAAATAATACATCAAATGAAAAAGCAACTCAAGAGTTTATGCTTTCCAACGACAAATTATTTAACAAAAACGATCCAGTAGAAATATAGATTTAATTGTACAAATTAAAAAGAAATCTTCAACTTTTTCATCACTATAAATTGGGAGGTTGCTTAACATTTTTGAAAATAACTTTTAAATAGTGAGGAAATCAACCAAAGTGGAAGGTAATATTCTGAAAAGAGAATAAACTTGCCTATAATTTATTATTATGCATTTCTTGAAAATACTCCAAAAAGGCAGCCAAAAATTGCCTACAAAAATGTGAAAATTCCCGTTTTCAATGTAGACAATAGAAATAGACATAGTAAACATTAAAAATGGAGATTTTCAGTTTCTTTTATTTTGAGGAAATTTTTGGCTGCCTCTATAGAGTATTTACAAGAAATGCATAATAGTTAATTGTAGGACATTTTATTCTCTTTCGGAATATCACCTTCCACTTTGGTCGATTTCCTCACCAGTTGAAAGTTATTTGCAAAAACGTTAAGCAACCTCCCAATTTATAGTAGTGAAAAAGTTGGAGATTTCTTTTTAAATTGGTACTATTAAATGTATAGTTATACTAGATCGTTTTTGTTAAATAATTTATTGTTGTAAGGCATAAACTCTTTGAGCTGCTTTTGATGTATTATTTGTAGCGGTAAGTTAAATAGAATAAAAGTTATAAAGCATTTAAAACCCCAATATTCATTATTAACACCCGGTATATTATGTTTGTCAATTTAATTTCTTGTTCCAGAGATAATCTTCCAAGACAGCGTCCCTACATGTACCTCGTGTAATGGTGTTGTCAAACCAGATATTGTGTTTTTTGGCGAAAATCTTCCTGCCTCATTCTACTCCAACTGCCCCAAAGATCTCCCTAATGCAGATCTCCTTATCATTATGGGTTCATCGTTGGCTGTGCAGCCGTTTGCCTCATTGGTTGATAAGTATGTTCTTCTTGATTAATTTAGTTTTTTTTGTTAACTATTGTTTTTACAACATTATTCCCTCCCCAACAAAGAGTTAGTTTTTAAAAAGGCTATGTTCGGATTCTATTGACTACTCGATTCCCATACTTAGGACATGTTTTTGGCTTTACTACATTAACCTGTGTTTTGCGATGATGTTTTACCCTCTGTATTGACTTTATATGTAAGTTGTTCAACTAAATAATAGGTTGATTTTTATGAAGAAAAAGAAATCATTTTTTCATATAGGCCTAACCTTTGACTATTGATACAACCAGTGCTTGATTTGTGAGGGAACTTGGCAGAACAAACAATTAAACAGTAGATTATAATATACATATTTGTATGTGACACCAGGTTTTGTATTTTAATTAAAAATTACTAAAGGGTGAGTGCTGAAATTATGAGATAATAGCTTTGTTAGTGGCTAAGATAGAACTAACTATTCCATCCAATGGGATCAGGTTTATAATACTGAAAGTATAGTATAGTACTTTGTAATTAGGCTATTTGTCCTATCTTAGGATCCAATCAGCAACCTTCAGACTAGTTGGAATTAGAAGTACTATATCCTCTAATATAACTAGGGCTGTGCGAATCCAGAAATTTTGGTTCGAATCCGAATCCGAATCATAGCTGTACAGATTTTATCGAATCCGGATCGAATCCGAATATTTTAATTACTCCCGAGTCGAATCTGGGTCGAATCCGAATCTCAAATTTACAGCCATTATCGAACCCGGATCGAATCCGAATCTGAAATTTAAAGCTGTTATCGAATCCGAATATTTAAACCTGTTCAGAGTCGAATCCGAATCCGAGGAAAGTCAGCAGTACCAATTTTCACATTTTTAGACCACATTTTCTGGGGCTGAAATAACTTAGTGAATTGCTTAAAAAAATTCTTGAAATGGGCCAAATAAAAAAGTTATAAAATTTAGGCCTACCTATTTGAAGTTTTGAAACTAAAAAATTGGGCATAGTTAGGCCTCTCACCTAGGCCTAAGTTACTCACTAAAAGTGATGGACTACCAATTTGTGTAGTCTAAAACATAGGCCCAGCCTATTATACACCTCGGTGTTAATCCTCCACACAAGCCTATGTCTGCATTACTATTACAAGTAACAACTCACACTGTGAGGTTAAGTTTACTGATAGCCAAGATAGGGTTCAAATGCGACCTAGACTAATGTGCCTAAAGCCTAACACCAAGTTGGTCAGGTTCCTAACATGAACCAGTCAACAGCAAATCGGAGTGCACAAGTAGTTTTTTAGTGTCTACAAAATTATATTCAATCAGAAACTAGTAAATTTGAATATCAAATCCCAACTCGGATCTATTTCCAAGAAATTCGAATATCGAATCCGAACCCGGATCTCTTACCAGTAAATTCGAATATCGATTCCGAATCCGAATCCAGTTAGAAACAGTAGATTCGTTCTCGAATCCGAATCGAATCTCTAAAAAGATTCGGATTCGATTCGTTTTTCGAACTATTCGCACAGCCCTGAATATAACCTACCCAGCTATATGCAGCTGATGCAACCAGTATCAACAAGTACTACTTAACAAGATTTTATTGAATGATGAACATTTGTTTTTTGTGTAAAGTCTAAAGGATTACAAATTAATAAAAAGAAATGAGTTATGCGCTACTACTTTTTATTTGTTACGTTTCAGAGTTAGGAAGACTTGTCCCAGACTACTGATCAACAGAGAGAAGGTGGGAGGACCCGACAGACTGATGCAGATGCTGGGCATGGGTGGTGGGTTGGACTTTGACTCTCCGTCCAACACACGCGACGTCATGTTGCTCGGGGACTGTGACCAGGGCTGCCAACTTCTGGCTGACAAACTGGGTTGGGGGGTAAGAACACTCATCATTCACCATACTTTCTTTATCCACCATACTTTCTTCTCCAAAAGTGGTAAAGAGATTGCATACAATAGTGCTTCATATTTGTCTTCCAATTGGCTGGCAACCCTCATATAGACATTTTTCTCTTTCATGACTATGCCACAAATAACCAAAATGTATGTTTATCATTGACTTTTGGTTACTGGAAAAGTCCTCCTATGCATATAGACCAGCTGTAGACATTTTTCAATTAAAATAAAATATAGCTGAATGATCCATTCACGGAGTATGCTGCTGTCAAATTTGATTTTCTCCTTTAGTTTTTAGTACTATAATATTTGATGTAACGACTTTAGTTTACAATATCTTTTATAGTTTTAGTTATCCTTTCAATTTTGCTTGGTTATAAAGTTTCTGTAGTCTACACAAATCACTGGTTGATATCAGCACATACAATAGTTGGTTTAGTTATACTTATTAAGGAAATTGACAGGAAAGCAGGCTTACCTTTAAATAAGTCCATAGAGACACATAAAACATCACAAAATTATGGACTTATTTAAAGGTAAGCCTGCTTTCCTGTCAATTTCCTTAATAATTCCTGGCAAATGCCCTATCTTTTTATAAGATAACCTTTAGTTATACTTACATTTTTTAAATCTAAAACGGGCAACTTTTAACATGGGAATCGGTTGTCTGCTTCTACCAATAGTCAAAACATGATATTATAATATTTTAGAATATTCTGCTATTGAAGCTTTATAATGTGTGCACATATATAAAATAGAAATTAATTGTGGAATTCCAGGATGAACTGAGAGAAATGGTCAAAACTGAGCATAAGAAAATTGATGAAGAAAAGAATACTCCAACCAAACAGAGTTCAGCTGAAGAAGAGCAAAAGGGTAGCGACTCTGAAAAGTCATCACTTCCAACCACTTAGCTGTTTTTACCATGGTTTTGCTTTTTTCTCTCCTTTACGAATTTCAATACAACTTTATACTGCTGTGATCTCCTTATACAATAAACTTAAATCAAGTCTTATTTATCATTAACTTTCCTAACCTACGTTTTGACCCAATTTGAAGCTTAATATTATTGTCATAGAGCATTGGTATGTAAATAATGAGATTTGTGAGTACAAAAAGCAGGAAAACGTCCTATTTTATGGAAAACTTAATTTAAACCATAAACATGAATAATTTAATTACACAATTATTTTATGGATGTAAATTTGTGATGATTTATCAAATTTATTACTAAACTTAATAAGTTATTCACACCAACACTTTTTGGGGATTTTTTAAAAACTTTCCAGAAAGAGGATACATTATTAAGGGTGTTTGGTCAAAAATTTGATGTCTTATTTTTTGTTATTGTTCAATTGTACTAAAAATTAGAGATACAAATATATAAGAATTTTTTTTTATTTTGAATATTAAGCGAGATATGGAGCTTGAAAGTAGAAAATTTTTCATCTTTGGTACCAATTCACAGGGAGAATGGGTAATGCGATTCTCACCAAAATTGGCATCCAGGTGTGGAAAAATAATATAATAATTACTAGCTATTTAAAATTATAAATTTAAAAAAAAGTTTTAAATTTTATTTTTTATATTTTTTTTAATAAAAAAAATTTAAAATAGCTCTTTGTTTTAGGGGAAAATTTATCTATATGTTGGAATTTTAAAAACTGTGATATGTTAATTCGTTTGGGCTGTGAATTCGTACCTTTGATGCCTTGCGCCGTCGGAGCACTACTCGTTGAGAGTTTGTACACTAACACAGGGGCTTTAGAATACAACGGTAAACATATTCTTTCAATGTTAAAAGATGTTAATAATTACATGATGTTTAAGTATTCTAAAGCCCCTGTGTTAGTGTACAAACTCTCAAACGAGTAGTGCTCCGACGGCGCAAGGCATCAAAGGTACGAATTCACAGCCCAGACGAATTAACATATCATAGTTTTTAAAATTCCAACATATAGATAAATTTTTCCCAAAAACAAAGAGCTATTTTAACATTTTTTAAATTTTTTTAAAATTTTTAAAGATTTTTATAAAAAATAAAGTTTTAAATTTTTTTTTTAATTTATAATTTTAAATAGCTAGTGATTATTATCTTATTTTTCCACACCTGGATGCCAATTTTGGTGAGAATTGCATTACCCACTCTCCCTGTGAATTGGTACCAAAGATGAAAAATTTTCTACTTTCAAGCTCCATTAATATTAATATCTCCTTAATATTCAAAATAAAAAAATTTTTCTTATATATTTGTATCTCTAATTTTTCGTACAATTGAACAATAACAAAAAATCAGACACGAAAATTTACGACCAAACACCCTTACCCAAATTGTCCTTATACAATGTTTCTGTGCAAGGTTAGCACCTTTTTCAACTGCATTGCTTTGAACAACAGCAATAGTGGTTTCTGTCATCTACTTCTTGAGATAGTGTAATTAAATACCCCCGCCGCAGCAAACCTGCCGACTAAGCGAATTTACATTTTTCTGAATTCATTTTCAATTAAATATATTTAAATAGCATTAGGTTTAACGAGTACCTAGGTTTGCTGCTACAAGGAAACTATTAAAGTGTGTTTTTAGTAAAAATATTGATAGCTTAATATAAAAATAAATAAATTTGCCAAGTTTGATCAAAATATATCCATAAACAAGCAAACTACAACATTTAACAATATTCTCCATAAGAATAAAATGGGAATTTTAAATTTACAATATTTTAATCTTCTCCGTTACCAATAACCGAACAGAAATACTTTTATATACTAAATTATTTGTTTTTTAAGCTCTTTAAAAAGGTCTAAAGGGGAATTGGGAAATTTTGTCTTTTTGAAATTTGAAATTTAGTGAGAAAACCCAATTTTTACCCCATAAAGCCCCGTTCCCATGGTCTGATCATGCTGGTTCGCGAACTCATTCAAGTTCATCCCGCTTTACACCTTTAAAAAAAATTTCATCAAAATCGGACAAAAATTACTCAAGTTATTGCGTTCACGGACGTATATATATATATATATATATATCAGGGCTGTGCGAATCCAGAAATTTTGGTTCGAATCCGAATCCGAATCATAGCTGTACAGATTTTACCGAATCCGGATCGAATCCGAATACTTTAATTAGTTCCGGGTTGAATCCGAATCTAAAATTTATAGCCATTACCGAATCCGAATCTCAAATTTACAGCTGTTATCGAACCCGGATCGAATCCGAATCTTAAATTTACAGCCGTTATCGAACCCGGATCGAATCCGAATCTCAAATTTACAGCTGTTATCGATTCTGAATATTTGAACCAGTTCCGAAAGACATAATATGTCATAATTTATATTGTTTAGAATTTGGTCAAGAGAGTCCAAGATGTCCTACTTGTTTATTTTCTTTTTAAATATGTATATAGTGGATTATATAGGGTTCAAATGCGACATATGAGCCTAAGTCCGTAAGTTATGACTATTACAAGTTAACATCTCACCTCACACTGTGAGGTTAAGTTTATGTACTGATAGCCAAGATAGGGTTAAAATGCGACACGAGCCTAAGTCCGTAAGTTATAACTACCTAGGCTATTACAGATTAACATCTCACCTCCCACTGTGAGGTTAAGTTTATGTACTGATAGCCAAGATAGGGTTCAAATGCAACATGAGCCTAAGTCCGTAAGTTATGACTATTACAAGTTAACATCTCACACTGTGAGGTTAAGTTTACTGATAGCCAAGATAGGGTTCAAATGCAACCTAGGCCTAGAGAATAACACTATGGTCAGGTTCATATTATGAACCAGGCAACAAAAAATCAGAGTACACAAGTAGTTTTTAGTGTCCGCTGTCCAATTTTGACCCATTGCAGCTTAGGCATAATACCTACCTTACATCTATAAATTTGAAATCAAATATCTTAAATACCCTAAGCTAAACCCAATCTAACTTAAGTTTTCTTTGAGACCCTCAAAAAACATTGGCCCATTACAATATGAAAAAGATTGAAGATGATAAGACTAATCTGGATGATCAACTTACTGGAAGCTTTACAAACTACTAATAATCAACAATTTTGATATTAAAAATAAACAGAAATAAATAGGCCTAGGCCTAACTTAAGTTAAAAGTGAATCAAACTACCTATATGGTATAGGCTAAGTTAGGCTATAAACCAACTAATTAATTAGTTATCTATACAAAAAAAATCCTTTTTCAACCTTTTACATAAGTTTAGGTTATGTTTACACTTTAACTTGTACTTGAATGTGGCTATCTGTACCAGTACGTCATATTTTCCATTTAATCAAAAGTGCATCATCAAATCAGAACTATAAATTGGATTAGATCAATAAAGTACAAGTAACACTTTTCTTATAGAACATAACTTAGGCCTAATAAAAAACACAGTTTAACGTATAATTATTAATTTATTTATTTTCCTAAGGTCCATTCTGGCGTCCATTTTCATTTTGTCATACTGATGGATGAGTCGAGTGCTGTCAGTGTCATTGTCCCGTTGTCCTTTCGTTTTCGTTCTATTAGTTGTCGTAATAAGTCACTCAAGAGTCAAACTTAAATGTTCCAGTTCCAATCCCAATTCCTGGTTCAATGAATCAACTCGACAGACGACACCATAGACGACACTGATCATTGATTGATCAAGAAGCAAGAAACCCAACCACGTCCGCCATTCCATGTATCCACACACGACCAAAAAGAATAATCCCGCCTGCTGGGTCGAGAAATCCCGTTTTATCCCGTATGGTCTTTTTAGTTTAATTCCGAGTGTTATTTATGTTTGACGTATCATGTTTAAATAGTTGTTTAAACATTGATATTATGTTTTGCTACAGGGGTTTACCAATTGGAGTTTGTTTTTCCCTAAAACTAAGTAGAAAAAATTAAAAACAGACGTCATAGCTGAAAAATCCGTTTTATCCCGCATCCAATTTAAATCCCGATCGTGGTCTAAAAGTCCCGTTTTCGGGATAATAATCTGAGTCACTGCCGCCATTTCGTTCTCTGTTGGTTCTTGGTTCTAAAACCGACTGACGGAACGACTAAAACTGACCAAGTGAAGTGAAAACCCGGCGAGTGCAATTCAACGACGGAGCCAACGAGTCGATTGTCGAATCAACTGCTCCATAATAATCCGCTTGCAAAACTACCGGTGCGATGGCCGATGATATTACAATTTACTGAAGGAACGAAATAGATTTTACCCTAAATACAGTTTTCTCTAGCTCTAGGTCAGCTGGCAGTTGGTGCTTTAGTGCTTTTGTTTCTAATCTTTGAATGCTGGAGCCAATTTTTAATCAAAATCAGATTATGAAAATGATATTTAAATTCTCATATCGAATCCCAACTCGGATCTCTTTCCGGTACATTCGAATATCGAATCCGAACCCGGGTCTCTTTCCGGTAAATTCGAATATCGATTCCGAATCCGAATAGAGTTAGAAACAGAAGATTCGTTCTCGAATCCGAATCGAATCTCCAAAAAGATTCGGATTCGATTCGTTTTTCGAACTATTCGCACAGCCCTGATATATATAAATTTGAACGAATGGTGTTTTTGGCCGCTGGGGACATCAAAATGAAAAAGTAAATCAGTCCCAGGTCTAGGTCTTACCGTGTCACCTACGGTAATAGCTACTTCCCTATAGGAAAATTTGCTAAAATTAATTTGACCTAATGGTTGGGACTGGAGACCTTAATAAATAAATAGAAATCATGGTTTGGGTAATATTTAAAAGTAAAATTGGAAGAGTAAAATACAAGGAAAATGATAAATTTTCATTTATTAATAAATTGTAGGATTTTCTAATTTCTAGTATGATCGGCCAAACAGAGTGTAGTATTTGGCAGGTTTGGAGCATGCGTGGTGAATACACTTGGTGCCAGGCTTGACTCCACCGTGAGGTTGGTCGAAGGGGATACACAGACTCTTGGCTCCCATAGCTGGAGCACCTGCCTCCACCTCCACACTGCAACACATGTCAAACTTGTGATATATAGTAGAATCAGGAGTCTGTGGTATAGTCGGTTTCCGGGTCAAAATCGTTATAGTACACGGTTACCAATATCTTAACAATTTTCATCTCAGATTGTATCTAAACCATTATTTATAATTTTGATGTATTGACATCACCACGGTTCATGGTTTTCTATCAATAATTACAATACATTATTAAAACTTTGCTCTCAACAGACAAGAAATAAAAAAAAGTTAAGATTCATTACTAAGATAAGTCATAGCTATCATCAAGATTGGTTTTAGAATTAGGTTAAGATTTTTTTGCATTAAAGAAGCAACAATTTAAAAGATTATTTAACACGTTCGTGGTGATAGTTTAACTGGTTTGAGCCAGTGCAAACCCACGTCGTCACAAAATACAGAATACTATTAAGCAGTGCTGTGGGAACTTTCTGATTTTTAACTCTAATCCTGGCTTAAAAATAAATCATTGTGTGCCGCATTGCAGCTTGGGAGCGAGCGCACCCACCAGGATGGCATTTGGGTTTCATGCCGCCACGAACGTGTTAACATAGCTGGTAGCTTTATTCAAGCTAACACAATAACTGAGTGTTACATTTTTTTTACTTTTAAAAACATATCAATTGTGCAATGTATCTTTCAGTACAGTCGTAGTAACAAGATGATCACATTCAATGGATGGCGGAGGCGATAGTAAAGAAAAGAAGAGGGGGAAAAATATCAAATCTCAAAACTTATATATAGTCTACAATAATATTAATTTCAAATATTGTACAATTTCTACAATATTACTGATCTGGTTATATTATAGGCCAAAAAGTTATATCTGCATTCTGAACTTAATACTTCGTTATTCCATATAATGAGAATTACTCGTATGAGATTATGACAAAAGAGATGCTCCTTCCTCAGTACTGTTAAATGAAACTTGGTGCGGTCGTAAGCTGTAATAACACAATATGATCCACGCATTGTGCAATATAGATTCAACCTACTCAATAAGTTGTACTCATGGGATCATTAAATATAAAGATGGACAGGTCCCGAAATTTTGGGAAAAAATATTCCCCATTTTCGGGACGGGATTACATTTGATTCGGGAATTTTCCGGGACGGGATTTGATCCGATCGTCGGCGATTTTACCGTAAGCGAGTGGCGATGACGCCGCTGTCGCGAGAGATTTTCACGATAGTTCCGTGAACGCAGGAGGCGAAGTCATTTCGACGATCACGCCGTGACCGCGGCGTCATACCGACGATCACGCCGGGTTGGCGAAGTAACCGCGGAGTTATACCGACGATCACCCCGTGACCACGGAGTCACACCGACGATCACGCCGTGACCATGAAGTCATACCTACGATCATGCCGTGACCGCGGAGTCATACCCACGATCATGCCGTGACCGTTGAGTTATACAGACGATCCCGCCAAGACTGTGAGTCATACAGATGATCACGCAGTGACCGCGAGTCATTTTGACGATCACACCGTGACTGTGAGTCATTTCGACCGCGAGTCACAAGTTTCTATACCTGTAAGTTTTTACACATTTTTTGTTTTTATATATCAGTGCCACAAATGGTAAAAATTGATTTTGTTTATCATGTTTGGTAACTGCAATGCCCAATACTTTCTTTTTAATCACAGGAAAAAATCCCGTCCCGTCCCGTCCCGAAAATTGGGAAGGAAATAAAAATCCCGTCCTGTCCCGTCCCGAACTAAAAATTCAATCCCGTCCATCCCTAATTAAATAAGACTTGTTATCAAGGTTGACTTCTTATTGAGGTTTGCAATAGCATGTGATTAGGGGTACATTAGTTCAAGGGAATTTGAAAATTATACTTGTTATCAAGGAAAAGGACGACTTGTTATCAAGCGTCTTGTTGTAGAGGTTCCACCTCTACCACCTCTTTTAATGTTAATTTAAAATCTGTAACAAGTAATGAATCATATTTGTAAGTCAAGCAAACTAACCTTGCACTTTCTTCTTTGATTTTGTCCTCGCAAGGTATTTCTCCGCAGAATGGAGCAAGTAGAAGGTTTTTGTTGTCCAGCTCTTTGCAGAAAGATGACCAGTCTTCTACTTCTTTTATGTGGCTCTTCAAATCCTCTGTTGCTCTGTAAAATTTATTTGGTGTGAATTTGTTTAATGTACATTTAGCCCGGTTTTTGATTGTCAGTATACGATTTTATTAACAATGTTTTTATAAAACAAGTTAACTGAAAAAGTTACAGAGAAATAGCTTTAGGTCACATTTGCCAGGCAATACTCGCCAGGCAATACTCAAGTAATAATATCCAACACAATAAAACATATGATTACTTCCAATACAGAGAGGAAAAATAGGATGAATAGCTTAACACTAAAATAAAAACATGGTTTACCTCAAGTTTATTTTCAGATCTTTATCTCAATCAATCAAATTGACCAATACATATATATATATATATATATATATAAAGCATATTCTTTGGTTACTCTTACTTGGCCAACAGATTGGAGTGAATCTCGTCCAACATTTTCTTCAAGCCAGTGGTGGCAGAAGCCATGGGGATAGTGATCTTAGACCCAGTGTCCCTCCTCACGGCTACAAGCTGTTGGTTCTTGAGGTCCTTTGGTCCGATCTCCACTCTGATTGGCACTCCCTGCAATACAATATTAACAATTAGGAATGTTCAAACTATATTCTCTGAAATATGACTTTGAAGTTTTCTATCCATGCACTGCACACCAATCTGTTGAGCATACAATAAACTTACAATATACTCTTCTTAATTTAGGCATGTGGTAACTCAGTTAAATTTAATTAATTCATTGCAACAAAACAGAATATTGAAAAAGTCCATAAGTCCTAGGCCCTTGTGCTCCACGTCACATTATTAATATTAATTTTTGTGTAAGCTTTAAATGGTTTAAGACTATTTTTTGGACAGGTGTCTGGTACCAAGATGCCTGCTGCTAACATTGACAGATTTACTGCTAACATTGTAAAATTTGTATCAATAAGGATGGTGTGTAGGAGGGGATGAGGGAAAGGCTCACACAGGGTGTCTAGTTTATTTCCATTATAAAATTCAAGACTAATTCCAGACTTTTCAAGACTAATTCCAGATTTTTCAAGACTAGTTTTTTCAACAATTAGTGCGTGTTGATACCAAAATGTATCGATTCTCGATTCTTGATACCGATACCAATTGTTATAGCTTAACAAAATTTTCTGAATAATTCTACACCAACCCCTGTCTTTGTCATAAAGTAGTATTATGATAATGTGGTGTTTTCAAGTAAAGAAATAATGCAGCAATAAAAAATTCTAACTAGCAAATTTTTTTTTCATGAAATCTTCCACGTACCGTACGTTTAGACATCATCATTGACTGCAGCGGTTACATAAACGTGATCGTCGTCGTCCGCGATCACGGCAAAATCATGAACATTTCCCGCGGCCTTGTAGACATCAATGACATCATCGTCGTCTCCCGCTGTCTCAGAAACGTCATCGTCCGCAATCGCGGCAAAATCATGAACATTTCCCGCGGCCGTGTAACATCATCGTCGTCTCCCGCGGTCACGGAAACGTCATCGTCATCTCCCGCGGTCACGGAAACGTCATCGTCATCTCCTGCGGTCACGGAAACGTCATCGTCGTCGTCCGCGATCGCGACAAACTCATGAACATTTCCCGCGGTCACGGAATCGTCATCGTCGTCTCCCGCGGTCACGGAATCGTCATCGTCGTCTCCCGCGGTCACGGAAACGCTATCCTTATCTCCCGCGGTCACGGAAACGTCATCGTCATCTCCCGCGATCGCGATAAAATCATGAACATTTCCCGCGGCCGAGCAGATATCATCGTCGTCTCCCGCAGTCACGGAAACATAATCGTCATCTCCCGCGGTCACGGAAACGTGATCGTCGTCGTCCGCGATCGCGGCAAATCATGAACATTTCCCGCGGACGTGTAACATCATCGTCGTCTCCCGCGGTCACGGAAACGTCATCGTCGTCTCCCGCGGTCACGGAAACGTCATCCTTATCTCCCGCGGTCACGGAAACGTCATCGTCAACTCCCGCGATCGCGATAAAATCATGAACATTTCCCGCGGCCGAGCAGATATCATCGTCGTCTCCCGCAGTCACGGAAACATAATCGTCATCTCCCGCGGTCACGGAAACGTGATCGTCGTCGTCCGCGATCGCGGCAAAATCATGAACATTTCCCGCGGCCTCACCCGCGATCGCGGCAAAATCATGAACATTTCCCGCGGCTGTTCAGACATCACCGTCATCTCCCGCGGTCACGGAAATGTTATCGTCATCGTCCGCGATCACGGCAAAATCATGAACATTTCCCGCGGCCGTGTAGACATCATCGTCATCTCCCGCGGCCGTGTAGACATCATCGTCATCTCCCGCGGTCACGGAAACGTCATCGTCATCTCCCGCGGTCACGGACACGTCATCGTCATCTCCCGCGGTCACGGAAACGTCATCGTCGTCGTCCGCGATCGTGACAAAATCATGAACATTTCCCGCGGCCGAGCAGATATCATCGTCGTCTCCCGCGGTCACGGAAACGTCATCGTCGTCTACCGCGGTCACGGATACGTCATCGTAGTCTCCCGCTGTCACAGTCGTCTTTCGTGGTTTCGGAAACGTCATCGTCGTCGTCCACTATCTCGGCAAAATCGTGAACATTTCCCGAGGCCGTGTAGACATCATCATTGGCTTTTGCGGTTACGTAATTGCAAGACGACGATCGCGGCAAAATCATGAAAATTCCCGACTTTGAAATCAAATTTAAGACTAAATCCCGACTTTCAAGACCATTTTGAAATTCAATACTAATTCCCGACTTTCCCGATTTTCCCGACTACTAGACACCCTGCTCACAGCACTGGGAATCTCACCACTAGACACTGCGACAACTAGACAAAATAACAAAAGCAACGTTGGTGATAAAATGGTTCTTGTGTGCGCCTCACCTTGAGCTCCCAGTGGTTAAACTTCCAGCCTGGTGAGTAGTTGTCTCTGTAGTCCCCTTGTACACGTATGTCTGCAGCCCTCAGCTGAGTCTCCAGACCTTGACAAGCTGACAGTAGAGATTTGCGGTCATCATCCTTCAGACTCACTGTCACCCCACACATCACCACAATCACCTGTACAATACAAACAATGGCAAACACATTTTTGGATTGTTTATTCTTATTGATTTTAAGCATTCAGGAGGTTTAAAGCCAGATAATTTTGATAGTTTACTAATAATGATAAATATTTTAGCTGTACTTTTAATTTTTAAAATTTTCTTCTAATTAAATTTGGGTTTTTGAAGTACAGTAGAACCCTGGTTAACCAAAATAAAAGGGGGGGAGCCGTTTCGGATAACCAATTCTTCAGTTAACCCGTCATATGCGAAAAATATCCTATGTATTACCACAGTGTGTATGGACAATGAATTAAAAATAATGTCTATATAATACAGTATTTTATTTCATCTACAAAAATATTACAATGGGTTAGACACAAAGTAAACACCTCACAGTTTACATTTTCCTTATTGTACTTATATTTTAGCCCTGAATTAATTTATGGAACCGTTTCAGTTAACCCAGGTTTCAGTAAACCCGATTTCGGTTAACGGGAGTTTTACTTTTACTAAGACTTGTAAAATGTTTCTAAAATGAACATTTTATGTTTTTTTTTTTTAGTGAAAAATGAGGAATTGACTCTTGGCTCTATATGTAATTTTTTCATGAAAAAATCTATATTTAGTTGGTTCTGTGTTCTCTGTTTTGTAAACACAGGGTTTTGGTTTGTTGAGGTTTATATTGAATCCAAGCTATAAGCTATATATTTCTTAAGACACAATTTTATTATTTCTATTTATTACAAAAACTTGGTGCAAAATTGCAATTCCTAAATCAATAAGGTTCTATCTATCAATATTGTTAAGGAAAATTTGGTTATAAGGTTCCAATTGCAAGTTAAAACCTTGATGAATTTACTACCTATCTTGCGATTTTTCTAACCAATAAGGTTCTAACTGGCAGTTGCAACTCTCATGCTCTAGGCTATTAAGAAAAATGAAAATAAAACAGTTCTATCTGGTTGTTTAAAACCTTATTGCACAACTCAAACGCTCAGCTAAGAGCTATAAGGTTGCTCACTTAACAGAAAATGCTTAATTATTTAATATCGTGAGCTGTCTTGTAAATAATGTTGATTTAAAAGATACTTTCAAGTAATGGTAAGAAACGAGAAAATTCTATGGTGCTATCCCAAGCCTAGAAAGTATTATTTCTGAAATGCTGAAACTTTGAAAGGCTCTCCTGAAAAGTTGTGCTTGATCCTTTTGGAACCCTACTGTTCTAAGGTCGCGATTTGTTATGTTTGGTCCAAAAGTGAGGCCTTTTGGGTAAGTGTCAGGAAATATATATTTCTGACCTTGGGGTGGAATTTAATTTTATTCAGGATTTTTTGGGGCAGGATTAGTTCTAGTTGTCAGCGATTTTGACAATGAAGAAGTTCGGGGAATGCGGGAGATGTTCATGAGTTTGCCGGTATGGCGCGTGACAATGATGATATCTCTGTGATTGCACAAGATGTTCCAAACTTTGCCACTATTTCAGTAAAAGATTAAGGTGTATATGCGATCACAGATGATGTTTACGAAATTGCCACAATCACGTTAGATGTCCACGATTTCAACAGTATGGCAGGTGACGATAATGTACCCACGATTGCAGACAATATCCACATTTTGTCGCTATTGTTAGTGGATATGATGTCCCTATTATTGAGTGAGATGTTAACAATTTTTATGCTATGGCAGGTGATAATGATGAAGTCCCTACAATTGTGGAAGATAGTACAACGATGGTGTCACAATCAAGGATTACAGTCATGATGACATGGAACAGTGCAATTAAAACCACATAATTGATTTTGGTTGTTATTATTGTTGTTTGCAAACTGAAGTTTCTATTTTTGCCCAAAAATAAAAATCCTGTCCTGTTTCCCTCCCAAAAAAAGGAAGAAAAATAAAATCCCCCCCGTCCTGAACCTATAGTACAATCTCGTCCCCTTGCTAATAATATGAACAACTCAATAAAAATAGTGGGAAAGATGAAATATTAGCAATAAACAATAACCTTTATTCTGTTAATGGAATTCATGTAATACCTGTACGTCTGCCACTCTTGGAGGGAGCACTAGACCTTGGTTGTCTGCGTGGATCATTATCATAACACCTGAAAAAACAACAGTTAATCTTACATAGCAAAGGTAACATACAGTTTGGTTCTAATTGAAAATAATTTTAGCAGCACTGATCACTGATAGACAATGTCAAATTTGGTTCTAACAGTTATAATTTTTTTTCTTGAAAAAATCTCAGAAGAAACCAATTAGTTTAATGTGTTAACCATTTTGTGAATATCAACTACTTGAGTTTGCGCTTCTTTTCCTTCCTTAATTGGCACCACAAAATCTTTTTAGGAACATTTTCATTTTCCAAAGACGTATCATCTAAATACTAAGTAGCCCATATATTTATTTTATTTTATGATAATTCATTGTAGGTTTAAACTTAGAACCCCAGGGATTGTGTATGTTTTTATTTGTCCTCATACTCAATTTGTTTGTACAACTTAATCTGCATCAGAGTAACAAGCTCCAAACCAATTAACATTAAATGTTTTGCAGGAGAAAAATTTAATTTCTTAATCAGTTAATAACTTCTTCCATAACTTAAATAAGACGTTACCTATTGTTCTGGTAGTCAAACCCCAGGAGTTTTGGTATACAAACTGTCTCTCTTGAGTTTCAGGATCTTCGTAGTCAATCTCAAACATTTTTGAAAAGTTTTGCCCTAGATGGTGTGATGTGGCTCCCTGTAAACAGTCCTTATTGTTAGTACATGAATAGTCAATATTATTTTCACTACACTACACAGTTAGCAGCTGGTTTCTGTAGCCTACACTTTTTAGTCGAGAAAGATGTTATTCACAGAAAGGGACAGGTAACATCAACAGTGGATGTTTAGTGGAGTGCAGTAAATTTACCGATCAGTTTTGCAATAGGCTTTAAACGAACCTAGCATGCCCACCACATCAACGCACCTCCCCCACCTATAACAAAATCGCCCACCACAACAATGCAAATACAGTATTCAAGTTTGAATCAATTCAATTGACAAATGGCATTGTTTAGAGTATTTATATGATTTACGAATTTATTGCGGAAAGAGAAAAACTGTGTAATTCCACATGAAATAATATCTAAGTCAAACAAAATAAACTCAAATTTGCTGTCTGATGAATCCTAAAACAGGTATAAGTTGTAGTATTTCATGTTTTCAAAGCGGTAAAAATGTTAGTCTACATCTCTAAAATAGCAGAAAACTTATATTGTTGGTAGTAGGACAAATTTACCGTACGAAACTAATACCCGGGAGGGTATTTACAGAACTTTCCTGAAATCAGCACAAACATCCACAGAACTTTCAAGACTCTTGTTAACAAAAACATAGTTCAACAAGCCCACACTCACCTGTATTGCTCTGCCACTAGCTGAGATGAAGGCCTCAACAGTAGTAGTGTACACAGCTCCAGCAAACTTTTCCTTCTCGGTTTTCCTCCCCTTAACGACAGGAATAGCCAAAAGTTCAGTGTAAACTCCTTCATACAAACCTACAAATAAAAAAAGGATGTAAGGGTTTTCGCTGTAACATCCATTTTTTACCCGTCCTACTTAGCCGATTTCTAAAATTGAGATGTCATTGTAAAGGGGATGATCATGTTAGGTGAAGAATGGTAACTAAGAGGTAATTTCCTTTAGGGATTCGTCCCCAGCGTTTAATTTATTTCTAGGCTTCACTTTAAGATCCAGTGTTGCTGACTAACTTTTCTTTATAACGGTTTTAAATGTGAATTTTAATTTAACAGCTGATCCTTTAGTTTAATGTTTAACTACAGTTAGGTTGTAAACTAGAGACAAAACAGTTTATAAAACTTAACGTTAAACAGGCTAGCGGTACTTTTATTTATTATTTATGAATCTCATTGAGGTAGGCAAATCACTCTTTATGGTGGTGTACAATAAACAAATTTATTTTAATTATTGTAAATAAGTAGTTTTATCTACCGTCCTAATAACTGTTTGAAACAAACATAATCTTTGAAAGGTAAAAGAGTGTTATAATTTCTGTTTTGGCTTGCAAACAAGTTTTGAACCCCTCTCATACAATTTTATTAGTAGAATACCCATAGGAAAATGTGTTGATGTATCTATCAAAGAAGAATGGCTTGTTAATTAAATTTGAATATATTTGATCATCCCGAGGATCAATTAAAATCAAATTAATTCAACTATTTACAGAGATTTACAGAGGTACCACAAGGATTACTTGTGCCGTTTCGTTTGCATTTATATTTCTACAAATACAATCCATAATTGTCTTCATACAATTAATTTTTATAGGTTATAGTGGCATGACAATTTTGGACCAAGACCCTTGGAAAGAATTTTTTAGTCTCCTTTTAGAGAAACAAAGTTAGATAAAAGTCTTTGGTTCGACTGAGGTCAGTGAAGAACATATTTAAACTTAACATTTAGAGAATCCTTCTTTATAGCAGTAAATTCAAAGTAAATATACCAGAAAAGTTAAGCTATTAATAAAAAACACCTAAAAAGTTCTTCTTGGTCCCTCAAAATTCTGCTCCCTCTCCTCACAAGTAAGACAGTTGGTTGGTAAGCTCACCTAAAATGTCCATAACCTCTTGCTCAGCATCAGGTAAGCTAGCATGAGCCGTGTGACCCTCTTGCCACAGGAACTCTCTGGTGCGAAGGAAAGGTTGAGGGTGTTTAAATTCCCATCTCTACAAAATGATAACAACGATAGAGAAAGAAACTGAAACAACTCGAAAATGAAAACTGATCATATGTTACTAAAAAACACTGAATGATTGTATAAGTTGTGTAAAATACATTGGCATCAACAAAAGTAGTTTAAACTATAAGTAAAGATTTTTGATTTAGATTCCTTATTTTTAAATATTCTGGATTCCATTGCAATTGAAGAGTCATTGATTCTGTCTCTTCTGTGATTTCTGATTTTTTTTATTATGGTTCTATTGGCCAATCAAGTTACAAATTATAATGGGTATATAATTAAAAATATTTTATCCCAAATAAATTAAAGATGGGTGTTGAATGGAGTAAGAAGCCTTGTGTAGCTAACTTTGTTACTAACTAAGACCAGTTGTTTCATTAGCAAGGATATACAGGGTGTTTTTTTAAAAAACTTGCATCTTTATTTATGTAAAAACCGCAATAGATAGAAATATGCAGTTTGCGGGAATCATCTATTGACGTAGGGGGCCCAATTTTTTTGAATTCACCGTTACATTCACATTCCCCCCTGCCCACAACTTAATTTTTTTAAATAGCAAGGTACCCCTTGTGACATATCAAATGAAAGAGCATTAAAAAAGAAAATGTTTGATGATAAAAATTGAAAATCGGTTCATAAATTTGTGAGATATCCCCCCCCCCCTCCCCGGAATTCAATTTTTTTTTGAAGCAAGGTACTCCTTGTGACATATCAAATGAAAGAGCATGAAAAAAGAAAATGTTTGGTGAAATTTATTTTTTATTTGATATGTCACAAGGGGTACCTTGCTATTTAAAAAAAATTTAGTTGGTGGCAGGGGGGGAATGTGAATGTAACGTTGAATTAAAAAAAAATTGGGCCCCCTACGTCAATAGATGATTCCCGCAAACTGCATATTTCTATCTATTGCGGTTTTTACATAAATAAAGATGCAAGTTTAAAAAAAAACACCTGTATATAAAATGTATAAAGTGAATAAAGATAATTTGTTTTGATTTTGATTTGATTTGATCATTTATTTAAAGCCAATGATCACGGACAGCTGGGTCCAGTTTCAAACCATCAAAACTACTAACTTTTTTCAGGATCGAATTAAGGTCATTTTAATTTTCAGGCAAGCACTATAACCCATCAGCTGCATTTTGCAAAGAATAAGAATGGGAAGTAAACAGTAACACACAATTTATTAGTGTGACTCAATTTCCTAATGGTAAATAGTCGACGAATGATTTTAGCATGAAACTAAAAGTTTAGAACACCTAATATGCAGTTCTCACCACAACATTGTTCCACTGGTTTAGCTTGATTGGTAGATCTCTGTGTGATTGTACCCACTTGGCGTAGGCTGGGTACATGACAGTCTCACTGGTGGGTCTGATGGCGATGGGCTCAGCCAGCTCCGAGTCCCCTGACTTGGTTACCCACGCCACCTGTCAATCAAATATCATGTTAGTAGACTCCCTGTAGTCCTGCATTGGTCTTATGCCAGTCATTCACCCGCAATTGAGTTTATTACAACAAGAACAAAATTGTTCCTTTAGTTTCTGATTCTAAAAAATATCTACCTCCATTCAGTCTACTATTGCTGCCTAAGATGAGAGTATGTTATGCACTGACTTAATATTAATCAACCAGTGTAATCAAGCAAGGAATTTTTCAACCTAAGAAGATAATGTAAACCAAAGAAAATAAACTAAATAATTATTTTAAAGCAAGAACAATTTCATATTTTTATTTATTTTTCACACTAATGTATTTCTTGAAATAATAAATAAAGATGTTTGTATATTGTCTATTTTCAAATCAAGTATTTTATACTCAATCTTCTTGAAACAAGAATACCAGTTTTAAATTTGTATGAGAATTGTATACAAGTTTTATTCATGTGGTGTACTTGCTACAAATAACATTTGCAAAAAATACATACAGGTTACCATTCATTGCACTAGGGAACATAAATGTTAGACAGACTATACATTTGGGTCCTATATTATGTAGGCAAAGTATTATATTTGGAGGCAATAGAAACATTTTGGCAAGTCTTCTAGTTCTAGCCAAACGTTTGGTCACGAGTGTTGGCCATTACAATTACTCGCCACATTACAGTTACAACTAACCTCTGGAGCAAAGTCAGAGACATGAGTTTTTTCCTTCTCAAGAACAGCTCTAGACACAAAGATGGGGAAGTAGCAGTTCTTGACTCCGTAGCGCTTGATCCCAGCATCCAGCCAGTCCCGGATGTGCTCCCAGATACTGAAGGCCCAGGGTCGTAGTATGTAGCAGCCACTGACATCGTAGTACTCTATCAGCTCTCCTTTGGTGATCACCTAAACACAAACAAAATGTTTATATGAGTACCACGAAGCATGTCAACAAATGGCTACTACAAAACAAAAAAAGCTTTTTGTGTTCGGACTAATGCTATTGTTAGTGTTCAGCGGAACTTTTGGACTAAATTTCAAAGAGGAGTCATCGGAACTGTCTAGCTCGTTAGGTGAGGCAATTCAAGACAACTGGATGTCTTTGTGCCGGGAAGAGATTGGGCCGTCCTCAGACTCCGCTATACGCTGTGGAGAGAATTAAAGCTAGGATTGTAAGTAGCCATATGTTGTCAGGCTGCGTGGTACTCAACTTAGAAGCAACTAAGACAAAACACAACCTTGTCAAGTTTTGCACCATTCTTATTGAATAACCCTCTATTGCACTTTGTAGAGTAAAAGATTTTGAAGTTATGAGCTATGTCTGGACTTTGTGTACTAATCCTGTTATTTTAAGGTACACTGTCTCTAAAGCTCAAGTTGACTATTTTTTAAATTTTTAGCAAATTTCCCTATAGGGAAGTAGCTATTACCGTAGGTGGCATGGTAAGACCTAGGCCCGGGACCGATTTACTTTTTCATTTTGATGTCCCCAGAGGCCAAAAACACCATTCGTTCTAATTTGTATATATGTATATATATATATATATACTAGCTGTACCCGCGGGCTTTGCCCCGTTTAACTTCATATGTGAGCTCGTTCGCATGGCTCAATCACAGCCTGGTTGAAGTTCGTTCGCTACGCTCACTCACCTTTACGTTGGAGCTCGTTCGCTGTGCTCACACGTCCTGGTTGAAGTTCGTTCGCTACGCTCATTCACTTAGAGTTGGAGCTCGTTCGCTACGCTAACTCGCCTCCGGGTTGAAGTTCGTTCGCTGCGCTCACTCACCTTTTGGTTTCAAATTAGCTGTTGTCAAGTATTTAAAAAAAATAATAGTGCTGCACTCTGTTGGTAATCCTTGTAATTTTAATGCTATTGAACATCATAGAACAGAACCAACTTGTTTAATTGAAACAGCTGTTAAGATTCATTATATCCATATAAATATGAGTACTCATTAGGTTAACATGGGAAACTCCAGAGCCACTGGGGCGGAGCCCGAGAGTCCGATCAGAATAAAAACCACTTAGTTTTCCTATTTAATGCCTAAAGAATCAGTGTACTAAATTTCAGCCTCCTAGGTAAGTGGGAAGTGGGAGAATTAGTGATGAGTGAGTGAGTGAGTCAGTCAGTGAGTCAGTGAGGGCTTTGCCTTTTATATATATAGAAGATATATAGATTTATATATATATATATATGTGTCCGTGAACGCGATAACTTGAGTAATTTTTGTCCGATTTTGATGAATTTGGTTTTAAGGTGTAAAGCGTGATAAACTTGAATGAGTTCGCGAACCAGCATGATCGGACTATGGGAACGGGGGTTTATGGGGGGTTTTATGGGGTAAAAATAGGTTTTTCCAATTTTTGACCCTAAAAACACAACATTTCACAATTTCTTTCTAAACCATTTAGTAGAGCTTAAAAAAACAAATAATTTAGTGTATTGAAGCATTATTATGCGCCGAATGGTTACGGAGAAAATTCAAAAAATTGTAATTTTAAAATTCCCATGTTATTCTTATGGAGAATAAGTCAAGTGTTGTAGTTTGCTTGTTTATGAACATATTTTGATCAAATTTGGAAAATACATTAATTTCTTACTAAACTACAGTACCTATTAGCATTTTACATTAAAAAGACACTTTTTTACCCTCCCTGTTGCCTAAGTACCTAAGTAGGCCTACTCGTTAAACTAATTCTATTTAAATAGGGAATAAATGTGAAATTTTTAAGGAGACATTTTAGTGTAAATCCAATCAGGCAAATGGAAATTCGCTAAGTGTGCAGGTTTGCTGCGGCGGGGGTATTTTTTTATTTAAAATGTCCTCAATAATCCGATAGTAGTTACAGACTCCATTTTCAATAATGAACTTTTTTAGATTAAGAACAACAATATTGTATATGGGGAAAAATCATATATTTGTTAACATTTATTTCATAGTTTTACACTCTTCTTTTTCAAAACCCTGTATTTCGCTCCATCTCTTAAAAAATATTACACTTTTCGGTACTTTCCTGTTAAAGGGAACATTCATTATTATCGATGATTTTTTTCGATATATCGATATTAACAAATTGAAACATATCAGCTGACAACTACGATAAATATTTTTCAGTATAAGAAACTGTTCTAAAAAAATAACCTAGCATAACTAACCAAACTTGCTGTAACATTTAAAAATTCCGTGTTTAACTTGCCTTTTCTATTATGAAACCCAAACGGAATTTTTAAATGGTACAGCAAGTTTGGTTGGTTATGTTAGGTTAGCTTAGAACAGTTTCATTTTTTAATCCATATATTAGACTATTTTAGCCTAAACAAGATCAGTTAGTTATTGTTGTCAATTTGTAATGGATCGGATCGGAAAAAAAAATATCGATATATCGAAACAAAATCATCGATAATAATGAATGTTCCCTTTAACAGGAAAGTACCCACTTTTCATAATCTACAGATTCAGCATCAGTATTGAAGAATAGCGTTGAGTTAATTTTTCCTCACCCCCAAGTTGCTATTTTTCTACAAGGCCAAAATATGTCATTTGGATACACTGTAATAACTTAAACATCTCAATCAAACAATTAACGATTACAACACAAGTTGAATGTAGTAATGGAATTTACCTGAGAGTACCACTCTGGTAGATTTTCTTCCTTCTTTGCCTCCAGTCCTAATCGAGTTTGTTTCTTCAGACCTCCAGCATTAGCATCGTCAGCCTAAAAAATGACTGGTCCTTTAGATAAAGGAATAAAATATATATAATAACCATAAGAGATGCCAAATGTCAATCATGCATATTTAAGGATGAATTTGAAGATCTTTCATCTCTGAGACTAATGTACTGACTTTCCAGCTCTATTAAAACTAAAACAATAAAATGTTATCATTCTGGGTTTAATACATACAGTTTTGGTGTTGCGGGTATTACTCCACAATGTGTGTTACCAATGTTTTTCATGTTAAATACTGTAAAAGCGTGCAACTTCTTCAGCCAGAGAAAATCAAAATCCAAGGAGCTAGGAAACTGAATTTAAGATTTGCTCTTGACTGGGTAATACAACACACAAAAAAAATCAAAAGTCTATCATTGACTCTAATTTATAGAAATAATCATACTTCAGGAGTTTTTTCTTTGGCTTTCTCTTTCTTTGGTGCTGGAGGCTGCTTCTCTTTTTTCGCACTAGGAGCTCGTTTGGGTGCAGGAAAATCTTTACCAGTCAATTTCTTGTACTCTTCTTTCAGTGCAAGTAGTTGTGCCACAGCCTGGTCTATTGTTGACTGAAACAAATCCATAATATGTTCAAAATATTTTTTCATGCAGAATTAGGTTAAAAATACCAAGCTAGTAGATAAAAATAGAGAGTGAATGATGATTGAAAACAAACATCTGAAACGAAAAAAGTAAGAAAGGATAGTGACTAAACTTGTACCATAGTATTATTTCCAGACTTTATTTAAAACGTTAAACAATTTTTTAAACTGAGATTTATAAAGCTGACTGATGTTGGAGCAAATTAATTTTAATTTGAGAGAATTCCATTTGCATTAAGAAGCACCACAGTGAAAGGCTAGTCAAATGATCAAACAAATTGGGAGCAACAAAACCTGTTAGGATGCTAAGGATTATTATGTACAAGTATAGGGATCAGCTAGCTTACCTAGTAGACAGAGTCCAGAATAGCCTTGATTACACATAAAACACACGACACAACACAGAGAAACTTAATATTTTGTCCCAGATAGGGACTTCATCAGAAGGTAGATGGACAATTTTCTTTCTTCTCCCTCCTGATGAAGTCCCTAACTGGGACGAAATATTAAGTTTCTCTGTGTTTTGTCATGTGTAATCAAGGCTAATCTGGACTTTGTCTACCAGGTAAACTAGCTGATCCCTATCCTTGTACATAATAATCCTAATCAGCCAATTGGCCGTTCCCTAACTCCTAACCTGTTATAATGCTTAGTGATCAAAGGACTTGTTAAACATTTTCCGAAATTTTCACAGAGTTTATGTCGTAAAACAGTAGTACCTTGTAGCCAACCTTTAGGTAAGAGATAAAACTGGTGGTCATCTTCACTCAAAATGTATAAACAAATATGGCCCTACACCATGATGAAGTTGAATGTGCACTATAGGGAAACTTGATTGGTAGACTAGACTTTCTCTGATGGATCTTGGTTACCTTATCAGCTCCAGAGGCCTTGAGCTGACGCACAGTGTCCCCTTGCTGTGTGACTTTGGCTGTGATATCCTCAGCAGACATGTTGTTGTCTGGGGGTGGAGCGTCTACAATGTTCTCTTTGACTACAGTTTTCTTCTGCTGTGCTGCTGGAGCTGGAGCACGGGGAAAATCTTTCCCTGTCACTTGTTTGTACTCAGCCTTCAATGCCAACAGCTGAGCTACAGCCTCGTCAACTTTGTCCTAAAAAAAAAAAACAAAAAAAAACTCCTTATCATCATATAACATCAGTTGAAGAAAATAAAACAAAATAAGTATATTAATTAGGAGAGTATATGCAAGAAATGATTCAACCAACACATTAGAATTTGAAGGAACACCAAAGGCATTTTGTCTTTACTTCTAGTAGGAACTGAAATGTTTCCAACCCATTTATTTATGAAGGAGCCTTTTCTTTGGATAGGGAAATAGCAATTTTTCTGCTTAAATAAAATCTTTAATACCAATTACAATAAGAAATATAAAAAAATAAAAAATAAACTAAAAGATAAATAAAAGAATATTTAGAAATACTTGTCCTTATTCAGCCAAAAATTTGATTTGTAACAAATAATATACCAGCATCATATTTATACTTTGTTTATTTTTAATTGGATGTTTTTCTTAATTTGTTTTTCTAAACATTTATAAAGAAAAAAATACATAAAATAGCCTATGTTTATTTGTGAAATATTACAATGATACAAACTTAAATGTATGATTGTATGATAACTTAACTTAAGTGGGGCGAAAAAATGAGTGTGGCAAAAGAAAGTAAATGCAGCAATTGGTTACTTTGTATGCTGAAACCAGTGCAAGGAAGCCCACTTAGTCAGGTAACTGTAGGAAACATATTTTGAAATAAGTCAGTTATTTGACACATGTTTTTTCAAGTAATAATTAATTGTAAACCCATCTTATGATGTATTTTTTGTGATTGACAATTTTTTAAAGTTACTTCATATAAAATTAATAATATTGATACTGTATAGTTTATTTTATAGAGAAATCTAACATTCTATTAAAAACTGTGTAAGAAAATGTTGGCTAAAAGTTGATTGTAAATTGTAATATGTGTTATGTCATATTACTGATAACAACATAAACCAAGAGATAAGCTCCCGCTTATAGGACGTACGTTTCTAGTGTGAGTAGCAGTAGCAAGTATATTCTATGCGTTGTGTTGGCCTACCTTGGGTGCTCCTGATGTTTTCAGTTGTCGCACCAGGTCTCCCTGCTGGGACACTTTAGCTGTCAACAACTCGGCTGCTCCTTGTGTTTCTGGTACACTAGTTTTCACATTAGCCGTGGTTACTTCTTGCAGCTTCCACTCATTCCCTGTTACAGCTTTAAAATCCTTCTTCAGTTCCAAGAGAGCTTGTACCTCTTTATTGATGACTTCTTTGCCAGCTTTCTCGCCCTTGAGTTGTCTCACTTTATTACCCTGGGCTACAATCTTCTGGTTGAGAGCTTCAGTGTCTTTGTTGTCGACAGGTTTATTTTCCACAGCAGATTTGGGTATTTGAATCTGGGGACTCCAATCTTGACCTGTCACTTTCTTGAATTCAGCCTTTAAGTTCAACAAGATGTTAACTTCTGAGGTCACCACATCTTTAGCGGCTTTCTCACCTTTCAACTTGCGAATCTTATCACCCTGAGCTGTGATTTGCTGATGAAGTGAGTTCGCATCACCTGCTGAACAAGTCTCTGGTTGCTGCTTTGAGTCTAACGAAGCTTTTGCCTCCTTGAGAGCCAGCAGCTTCTTCACCTCTGCATCAATAGTCGCCTAAAACACAAAAAGATTGTTTGAATCCAAACATTATCATTATCATGAACAATTTGTAAAAGTAAAAGTATTCTAAAAGAGTAACTCATTGAAAGAATCAGAATCATAGAAGAACATAGTGTTAGAATAAATAAATTCATATTATTTAGGTTAAAATATGCCATGAATAATTACAGGAATTATTGAAACAGCCATGAAAATAAGAAGTAAAATTCCCATTTATTTTGTGATTCAAATAGACTAATCGAGAAACAATAATTTAGGAACCCCACAACAGCTAAATTTCTAATCAGTATACATGATTGTAATGATTCAAATATCAATGTACACCAAACAGTCCAATGCAGAACATTAGTGATAAGTTAGTGAATGAATGTAAGAATAGTCTTTATGTTAGACAACAAAGAATATTAAGTGAATAACATTGAAGTAAACCAGAAGTACATTATCTCTACAGATATCTTTACATTCCTTATCTTCTCTTTATATTTATGCAATAAGAATATAGTACACATTATATTGACTTTAAACAAAATGTTTACTTCATATAGTCTATATAGCTACTATAAACATTTAATTTTCATAACAGATGCATAGCATCAAATTTATAACTATAACTTTAAATGGATACCTCACTGAGTTTTCAACCAAATTTTACAGTATTTAACAGAGTTACATTCAATGTTTATGCATTCATGAATGTCAAAATAATTTATTTTATAACATTTGTTAAGATCATGTAAAAAAAAAACAGCAAAGAGTAGTACAGTATTTTATACTCATCTCAAAATCACTACAATAAAGATTACAATTTTACAACATTAATGGTACCGATAACCCATAATACAAGGATTATATTGCACTGAAACACTGTAAATAATGTATTACCTTGATAAATATGTCTGTTATACTAACTATATAGATATTAAATATAAAAAATAAAAAACTTACACAGGCACTTCTACCAAACCGCCTTTTACCGGATTATGGAAAGACAGATAATTTATCAGTTGTAAAAACCAGTCTTATGTACCAGGCTGTCTAACAAAACAAAGTTTTTAAAACAGAAATTGTATTTTATTTCTATTTACTAAAATTAATAATTTGTCACAATCACTGGTGACGATGATAATATCCCTGTTATGGCAGGGATGTTAACGGTTTTGCTGCAATGTATTACTTTATTTTATAGTTTACTGGCAAAATAGTAGTGTTTCTATGTTGTTCATTACTTTTTAATGTTTTGTACAGATGGCTTTTACACAACAAAGTTAGTGGTTTCAACAAAAGACAATAGTTCTTTTATACTTAAAGTTTTAATAGCATATTACAATGGATTTGTTGGTATTATTTGTTGTTATGTGACTTTTTCGCTCGTCATGTTCACGACTGTTCATAACTCTACTGTACCGTACATGTAGTAATGACTCACCTTGGGAGCCTTCTCTGCCTTGAGCTGGCGAACTCTGTCTGCTTGTTCCTGTAGGTGCTGTTCTACTGTGCTGGGGTCTACAGGCAGCGCAGGGCTCACCTCCTCTACTGGTGACTTCTCTGCTGACTTGCCCTTGGCCGACGATGCCTTCTGTGGAACATACATCACCACGTGTTGAGTTAATGTCTCCAAACCACTACAGAGTTAGCCTTTTTGAGTAACTACCCACGGCTTCCCTGAAATTTGTAGGATAGTAAAGCCACAGTTGTTCAAACCTCGACGAACCGAGTCTTGGTTTAACTAAACTACTGACAGACATCGCAAAGTAATTTAAACTGTGTAATGAACTGTGATGAGACATGGGTTAAACCTTTGTATTGTACCAAGAGACATCTACTCCTAGTTTAAGGGATCCAAAGACAGGGCCATACTAATGGCTTGTTTAATTCATCGGAATACTGTGGCAAATTTTACTGATGAAAGATAAATCCGCATTACTTAGGTTAATTAGTGCGTGAACAGTAATTATTAGGTTAATTATTACTTAGGTTAACAGTAAGTAACTTAAATGTTCAAAAGGCTACTGTCAATGGAGTCCATGCTTCAGTGAAACATATCTGTAATGATAATGGGATATCATTGTGCAGCCTCAGGCTAACTAATGTGGAGGAAATCAAAAAGATTGTTCTGTCACTAAAAAACAAATCATCCGTTGGCTGGGATGAGATCCCAATTAAATTGATAAAAGCCACTGTTAATATCATTGCTGAACCTTTATCTCAAATTATTAACCAGTGTTTAATACATGGAATTTTTCCGGATAAACTAAAACTTTCCCAAATCTCACCAATATTTAAAAAGGGCCTAAAATCGGATATTAACAATTACCGTCCAATTTCTGTATTGAGTAATTTTTCTAAAATATTTGAGAAGGTCATAAATTTGAGATTGGTTAGTTATTTTGAAAGCAATCATCTATTTTATAACAAACAATTTGGATTCAGGAAAAATTTAAGCACAGGTTCTGCACTAACACAGTTTATAAATGAGGTTACCCAGGCTTTGGACGGGTCTCAGGCTACAGCTGGTGTTTTCTGTGACCTGTCCAAAGCTTTTGACTGTGTTGATCACTCAGTCCTTCAGCTCAAGCTGAGTGATTATGGTATTAGGGGAAGTTGTCACTCTCTATTGAGTTCTTACCTTTCTAATAGAAAACAAAGAACTGTAATAACACTGGATAAGATCAAGTACTATTCGCCATGGGAAAACCTATCGGCAGGTGTGCCCCAAGGTTCAATCTTAGGTCCTCTATTCTTTCTAATTTACATTAATGACCTCCCTAAAGCTATTGATCAGGAACTAATTCTTTTTGCAGATGATACAACAGCCTTGATAAAAAATAATAGTACTTCTGAAATGCTATCTTCTCTTGAAAATGTGGTTCATGACATGGAAGGTTGGTTCTTGAACAATGGATTAAAACTTAATCTTGAAAAAACGCAAACAATAAAATTTTCTGTCAGAAACAATGGTAATAAAATTGAATCCCTTAAATTGGCAACGTCTCATAAATTTCTAGGTGTTTACATAGACGAATCACTTAAATGGGATGTACATCTGAATCAATTAAAAAGTAAACTTAGATCCATGTCAATTGTATTTCTGCACTTAAGGGACTGTGTTCCTAAAGAAACTCTGAAAATGGTTTATCATGCTTATGTAGAATCAGTATTGAGGTATGGTATAATCTTATGGGGTCAGGCTACCGGAGTCAAATCAATATTCAGGCTACAAAAACGCATTATCCGTATTATGACCAGCTCTCATCCACGTAGTTCATGCAAAAACCTTTTTCGAAATTTAAAAATCCACACCCTAACAGGACTGTACATCTTGGAATCACTAAACTACATTCATTCAGCTAAAAACGACCTCCCAGAATCAATTCAAATCAACCATAGATATAATACTCGAAATGAAAACATTTTTAGATTTCCAAGGCACCATTTGACCCTTTATGAAAAAAGTCCACTATATGCTGGGCTGAGGCTGTACAATGTGCTGCCTGCAAACTATAAATTGCTAAATGAAAATAATTTTAAAGATAAAATAGGTGAACTCTTAATTGACAGAGCCTTTTATTTAATTGCAGATTTTCACAATGCCCCTTTAGTTTAGAATAGTTTTATCATTCAATTTTGTTAATTATATTATCATCTTGATTACTATTTTATTTTTCATATTCTGACAATTCGAACTCTGACAATGCACCTATTCTGTATGTAACACATGTAAAGAATGTTATGTGCAAATAAAATATGTCTATGTCTATGTCTATGTCTATGTCTATGTCTAATCGAGGCTCTACTGTCTTAACATTTACGGTATCCGGAATTTAATTCTATGAACTCAAGAAATTGTAGCACATGATTGACTTAAGCATAATTTTAACTGTTCAAACAAGATAAACTTCAAAATTTTAACCACAGTTAAGATGATCTATTGGTATTCTGGAGTCAGAGGCGCAATAACAATGAATTGTAATTATTAAACTGGACGAATCTAAAAAACCATGATGATGAGCGTCATCGCTAACTCTGTTGATGATCATAAAGATATCGGTTACTCTGCCATGATGATAGCGTTCTGGGCAACTGTATTGACGGTTGCAGCAATATCGACAACTGTATCGATGGTTGCAGCGATATCGGCAACTGTGTCGACGATTGCATAGGTATCGGCAACTGTATTGACGGTTGCAGCAATATCGACAACTGTATCGATGGTTGCAGCGATATCGGCAACTGTGTCGACGATTGCACAGGTATCGGCAACTGTATCGACGATTGCATCGATATTGGCAACTGTATCGACAGTTGCAGCGATATCGGCAACTGCGTCGACGATTGCACCGGTATCGGCAACTCCGTCGACGGTTACAGTGTTATTGGTCACTTGTCGACGGTTCAGCGATATCGGCAACTGTGTCGACGGTTACAGCAGTATTGGCAACTCCATCGATGGTTACGGCGGTATCGGCAACTCCCTTGACAGTTAAGGCTAGTACTCACTAGGACACCCGGTCGCTTATCAACCGGCGACCTGGTTGACGAGCGACTAAGTTGTTGATTGAACGTTTTATTGCCGGGGGGTACACACTAGGATACCTAGCACTTTCAACCGAGCAGGAAATCAAAATTTGGTGGGGATGGACTGTGTTTGGTTCTGGAATCTGGTTCGAGCTCTAGTTGCACTGACCTGTGTGTTGTGACAACATGCCCACCTACGAAGAAGAGATTGCTGCCGCAGTTATAATTCTAATTAATTGCAGTAACCATAGAAGAAGGAAGACATTGTTCAAAAGATTTTGGGCTAAAGAGTGGCTTCAACGCAGACACAGTTACAGCCACATGGCACTTCTACGAACTTTGCGAGATGATAATCCTCAGGATTACAAGAATTATTTGAGGATGTCAGACGACAATTTCCGTCACATTTTGCAATTGGTGACGCCTCATATTGGAAAAAAAGCTAGCTTGAAAGAGACCACGTTTAGCACTAGCACTTTTTAGTTTTGACAGTTGACACAAACAGTGTACTGCGCATGCGCTAGCCGTCTTTAGTCGATCGACTTGGTCGCTGAAGCGTACACACTCTAGTTTTTTGAGAAATCTGATTGCCCGGCGATAAAATGGTTGATCGGAAACCCCCAGGTTTTCGATACATGTCCGAAAACCAAAAAGTTGCCTGGCAACCTACAAATCGCCGTCAACCAAATTGACAGACACGTACACACACGGCGATATTTGTGCAATTTGGTCGCTCGTCAACCAGATCGCCGGTTGATAAGCGACCGGGTGTCCTAGTGAGTACTAGCCTTTACAGCGGTATCAGCAACTCCGTCGACGATTGCAGCGGTATCGGCAACTCCGTTGACAGTTACAGCGGTATCAGCAACTCTGTTGACAATTGCAGTGGTATCGGCAACTCCGTTGACAGTTACAGCGGTATCGGCAACTCCATCGATGGTTGCAGCGGTATCGGCAACTCCGTCGACGATTGCAGTGGTATCGGCAACTCCGTTTACAATTACAACGGTATCGGCAACTCCGACGACGGTTACAGCGGTATTGGTCACTTGTCAAAGGTTGCAGTGGTATTGGTCACTTGACAAAGGTTGCAGTGGTATTGGTCACTTTGTTGGCGATTGCAGCGATATCGGCAACTCCGTCGACGATCCGATCGCGATGGCATTGTTCCGTCGACTTGATGGGCCTAATCGCGGCAAAATCGGGTACACCGTCGACCATGTATTTTTCTAGTAATCGTGGTATTTCCTTAAAAAAAGTCAGAGAGTACATTAACGAAGTGACATAGGTTTTGTACTTTGGCTGGACATCGAACGTGACACATTTCTAGTTAGCAGTCATGTGCATACTTTCTAAATCTACGCATTCAGTAACAGCTGATGTTGATAAAAAAAATTACATTTTTATTTCATTTCATATTTACCTCTGACAGAAAATATTGGTTTTATTTGCTTTAATTAGTTAACTTATATTGGTTGCATTTCATTATATTTTACTTTGACAGACACTCTTGTTTTTATTTGCTTTTATTTGTTTACTGACGGGTTCTTGGTATTCTTAACCTAAAGACGATACAACAGTTCACAATTTAATTATTGAAAATTAAAACATAAATAAATAAATAACGAGGACTAAAATTGAATGAGAAATCTATTTTCACATTATTGAAAAGTACGAGTACAAAATTCAAATTTATTAAAATGTTCTAAAACAACAAAAGATCTTTCAACTAGGCCTCTTAATATTGATTGCAGCTCCTATTTTAAACACACAATTGAAAACTTTAAGAGCTATCACCTTATCAGGTACAGTATATTTACATTTGTTTAGTCGTTTGTTGTCGGGCTTTGTACCACTGACATATGCTACACAAACGCACACAACAACACGCGGGCAGTCTCAGATCTACACGGCTGTAGACTACACGCACGCGCAACGTGGCCGCAGTACGTCACGTGACACGGTGACAGATATCACTCTCTCGCTCACTCACACTTTCACTCTCACTTTCGGTGTAAACTGGTTGTGTTCTGCTGACACAGAAATACTTCGGGCCAAATC